GAGATAATTTTTTATATTTATTTATTATTTTATTAAATTTTATTCGATATTTTTTTATTTTTACACCCTAAAAAAAGTAATTTTCAATCTAGAGGATTCCTCTAAAATAAATGCATATTTTCCTCTTAATTTTGGTATCAAAATTATTATTCTTCATTTAAGAGGATTTTCCTCTTAAATTAAATGTCGACATCCAAACCTCGTAAAATTGTTTTTAATGTCAAAGCCATCAATAAAATAATTATAATTTCAATCAAATAATAAAATCTTTGCAGAAAATACATTTTTAAATTAAAATTAAGTAAAATTATAATAGTTCATTTCAATATAATAATAAAAATTGTTTTTTAATATAACATTAACAATGTCATGTTTTTGGTTAATTATCAACATTTTATATTGATAATTAAAATACAAAAAATAAGTTTTCATTAATCAGTTGTAATGATCAACGAGATTTTCAGCGCAAAAATAATTTTAAAACATGATGATATGTTTAAAAGTTAACATTTTTTATAGGACAGAAAAAAATTTCATATATGAAATTATTTAACGTTTTAAAACTTTTTTAAAAAAGTAAATAAAAAAATTTAAAAAATTCGAAAGATTCAAAAATGGGGTTATAGTATTTCTATTTACCTGAGTAGTAAAATTTCACAAGAAATATCCAAATTTTTTTAAATCTAAAAATAGCGTTAAAAATATTCATTTAATTTGAATTTAACTATATTTTCTGTATTTTTAATAAAGCAAATCCATTTTTTTGTCCTTTTTGTTGACATTTTACCAGAAATATTAAAACTGAAAGGTTAAAAAACAACTTCACAACTATCATACCCAGGGAAAGGGATCAAACGATTACATTATTTTTTTCCGTTTCCTTTTTTTAAATCTTCTAAATTTGAAACGGAAAATCTTAATTAAAGAGGAAAATACAAAAGGAATCCTTTTGTCATTCTTCCATTAAAATGAAGAATAAAAATATTCTACATTTCAATTGAATAATCTTGTTTTAAGAGGAAATATTTAGAGGATATTAGAAGAGGAATTTTCCTCTAAGTATAAGATTACTTTTTTTTGGGTGTATATAAAATTATTTATTTATTATTATAATTTTTCATTTTATTTATTATTTATATTTAAAAACTGAAAAAAATATTCTTATTCATATTCAGAATTTTTATTTTCAAATCTCGAATTGTTAAAATATATAATAAATAAAATAATTTCCATAAATAAATACAGATATAAACTTTCAACATATCGAATAATTGTAATCTGCAAATTATTAAACTAAAGAATCAAAAAAAAAATGATAATAAGTAATGATTGCTTTTTCAAAAAAATAAAAAAAAAAAGAAGAAGAGAATGATAAAATATAGCGAATCTTGAAAAATCTTTTTGCTTATGGTCGCAAAAGATTCATATAAATAAAGCTCATTCTATAACAGGAGAGAGTGTATTTATATATATTTACAAAGAAGCAGTAAGAGAGGAAATAATTTTTAATTTATAGTTAAAGAGGGTGGTATAGAGAATATTTATACAAGGCGGTGTAGATTAAAGATATAGTTGTATATATATATATATGGAATATATAAAGAGTGCGTGTAAGAATTATTTCAAACAAGGGTAGATATACCAATGGTAAAGCGACGATCGTTAAAGAAACTTTGATGATCGTCTCTTGCAAGTGAGTCTGTGTCACAAGTCATCTCTTAATGGTGACATTAAATACCTCGTAACCAATGTTAAAACCTTGTATATGTGCAAGTTTTTTTAAAAAAAAAAAATTTTTTTTCTTTTTTTTTCAAAAAATGTCAATTATAACGCACAAATTCTCCCTTTTTCTCATTTTCACATTTTTCATCTTCAATTAGAATACATATTTGCATTTTCATAATTAAAATTTTCTTTTTCTTTCTATTCTATAAATAAAAATACAAATTAATTCTATAAATAAAAATATATTTACTTGTATGAAAAAAAAATATATTTAATTCTATAAATAAAAATACAATTAATTCTGTAAATATAAAAATATATTATTTTAATTTTGTATTTGTTAAAAGAATTTTTTTTTCCTGAAAGAAAGAGAAGGAATAATTTATTATTATTTTTCATTCTTATCATATAAAATATATATATGACAATAAAATATGATGTTAATCATTTTATGAATGTAATTTATAGTTTGTAATTAAGAGACTTTATGTTTAGTTCTGATTCTTTATTTAACGAGAATTCGATATCGATTTTTTAAAGTATTCAATAATTGACAACTGACCTTCTTTGTGAAACAAAAGGTACTCAAGTTGCGCAAAAAAAAAAAAAAAATTGTAAACACAGTATAAACTTGATCGAAAAGCATAAGTCATAATAAATGAAATATCGTTACGAAACATATATTGTCTCGCAACAGAAAACTTTGTCTTTCATCTCTTAAACAACTTTTGCTTTCTTATTATGTATGCATAAGAAATGATTAGATTTTATTTGATTTTTATCAAATAATTTAGTCAAACCTTTTCTTTTATTTAAAATTAAAATCTTTAAATTAACATATATAAATTTTAATTTAATATCAATTTTTTTAAAGACATAATAGTAAAATATATAATTATAATTAATTTTTATTTACAAATTTAATTTAGAAATTAATTTTTTATATTTAATTCGCAAATTTCATTTAGAAATTAATTTTTTATATTTAATTTGCAAATTTCATTTAGAAATTAATTTTTTATATTTAATTTACAAAAATTTCATTTAGAAATTAGCTTTTTATATTTAATTTGCAAATTTCATTTAGAAATTAATTTTTTATATTTAATTTGCAAATTTCATTTAGAAATTAATTTTTTATATTTAATTCGCAAATTTCATTTAGAAATTAATTTTTTATATTTAATTTGCAAATTTCATTTAGAAATTAATTTTTTATATTTAATTTACAAAAATTTCATTTAGAAATTAGCTTTTTATATTTAATTTGCAAATTTCATTTAGAAATTAGCTTTTTATATTTAATTTGCAAATTTCATTTAGAAATTAATTTTTTATATTTAATTTGCAAATTTCATTTAGAAATTAATTTTTTATATTTAATTTACAAAAATTTAATTTGCAAATTTCATTTAGAAATTAGCTTTTTATATTTAATTTGCAAATTTCATTTAGAAATTAATTTTTTATATTTAATTTGCAAATTTCATTTAGAAATTAATTTTTTATATTTAATTTGCAAATTTCATTTAGAAATTAATTTTTTATATTTAATTTACAAAAATTTAATTTGCAAATTTCATTTAGAAATTAGCTTTTTATATTTAATTTGCAAATTTCATTTAGAAATTAATTTTTTATATTTAATTTGCAAATTTCATTTAGAAATTAATTTTTTATATTTAATTTGCAAATTTCATTTAGAAATTAATTTTTTATATTTAATTTACAAAAATTTCATTTGCAAATTTCATTTAGAAATTAGCTTTTTATATTTAATTTGCAAATTTCATTTAGAAATTAATTTTTTATATTTAATTTGCAAATTTCATTTAGAAATTAATTTTTTATATTTAATTTGCAAATTTCATTTAGAAATTAATTTTTTATATTTAATTCGCAAATTTCATTTAGAAATTAATTTTTTATATTTAATTTGCAAATTTCATTTAGAAATTAATTTTTTATATTTAATTTACAAAAATTTCATTTAGAAATTAGCTTTTTATATTTAATTTGCAAATTTCATTTAGAAATTAGCTTTTTATATTTAATTTGCAAATTTCATTTAGAAATTAATTTTTTATATTTAATTTGCAAATTTCATTTAGAAATTAATTTTTTATATTTAATTTACAAAAATTTAATTTGCAAATTTCATTTAGAAATTAGCTTTTTATATTTAATTTGCAAATTTCATTTAGAAATTAATTTTTTATATTTAATTTGCAAATTTCATTTAGAAATTAATTTTTTATATTTAATTTGCAAATTTCATTTAGAAATTAATTTTTTATATTTAATTTACAAAAATTTAATTTGCAAATTTCATTTAGAAATTAGCTTTTTATATTTAATTTGCAAATTTCATTTAGAAATTAATTTTTTATATTTAATTTGCAAATTTCATTTAGAAATTAATTTTTTATATTTAATTTGCAAATTTCATTTAGAAATTAATTTTTTATATTTAATTTACAAAAATTTCATTTGCAAATTTCATTTAGAAATTAGCTTTTTATATTTAATTTGCAAATTTCATTTAGAAATTAATTTTTTATATTTAATTTGCAAATTTCATTTAGAAATTAATTTTTTATATTTAATTTGCAAATTTCATTTAGAAATTAATTTTTTATATTTAATTTACAAAAATTTCATTTGCAAATTTCATTTAGAAATTAGCTTTTCATAACGCGGTGCAAAAAAGAGGCACTTTTTTAGCACGCCGTGCTAAAAAGTGCGTTTTTTTGCACCTTGTCATGAAAAGTACCGTTCGTAACTTGTGTTAATATTTGCAGATTCTTGAAAAAGTGTTTTTTTTTGGGACAAGCTGTAGGCAAAGCTTCGCTTCGCCTACAGCTCGTCCCAAAAAAAACACTTTTTCAAAAATCTGCAAATATTCACACTCGTTACGAAATATACTATTTTATATTTAATTTGCAAATTTCATTTAGAAATTAATTTTTTATATTTAATTTACAAAAATTTCATTTGCAAATTTCATTTAGAAATTAATTTTCATATTTAGTTTGCAAATTTTATTTATAAATTAATTTTCATATTTAATTTGCAAATTTTATTTATACAGATTAATTTTTTATATTTAATTTATAAATTAATTTTGGCATTTAATTTGCAAATTTTATTTACAAATTATTTTTTTATATTTTATTTAGAAATTTAATTTACAAGTTTAATTTATAAATTAATTTTCACATTTAATTTTTTAAATTCAGTAAAAATGATTTTATAAATTTTTATTTTGTTTTTAGTTTTGTGCAGGAATTCGCATCACCTCCAGCTGAAGGAATTACATTATTGCTGGAGACATTGAGAGGTGTTCAGTTGGCGCAAACATCACCACCTTCAGGCCAATCTGGACCACGAGTTGGCACAAGAAGAGCGGCTTTAGATGAATTGGGATGTGTCGAATGTTTGGCAGCTTGTGGCGAGAGATGTGCCGATGCTCCTCGACTTTTAGCACAAGCACAACCAGGTTTATTGGCTTTAGCCGTCTGTCTAACCAGCAGTCTAAACCGGTCCCGAGTTTTGGCTCTACAGGTAAAAAAAAAAAAAAAAAAAAAACTCCCCACAAAATTTTTATATCTAATAAAAAAAAATATAAACTTTTTTAAAAAAATTTTTAATTTTCTAAAATGAAAAAATTAACTATTTTTATACTTCAATTAATTAAAAATAAATATTTGAATTGAGAAATAAGATAAATGATTTTTAAAATGCTAATTTAAAAAAATTAATTTGATTCAATCTTTAGAAAAATGTTAAATTAGACGTGTATGTCAGAAATAGTAATTAAGTCGTGACATTTCTGAATGGAATTACAAAACTCCTTTATACAAAGACATAGCTTATTCGATTTGTTATTTTTGGAGTGCTGTAGAACCAGTTTTATGTTTATAATTACAAACAAGGAAGTAGTTTGAAATAGAGTAATCTCGATACATTTAGTTGTTTTCTATTTTTTTTCCAAAAAAAAAAAAACTCGATTTTTAAAAACATATTTTTTTGTCATTTAATTTAACAAAAATTTCATTTTTTTCACGTATATTAGAAACAAAGTTCTTTAAAATTGTTTTCGAAATTTTATTTTCTAATATGGAAAATAAATTCTATTTATTTGTTTTTTTTTAAATAAATAAATAAAAATATGATAAATTGAAAATAAATTTATTTTTCTTCAGCTGTTAACAAAAGTCTGTCAGTCTCCTGGAGGGCATGCAGCAGTTTCTGAAGCAGTTTCAACTCTAAGGCTGAGATATGCTGAAGGTGGAAGATTTAGGTTCCTCGCTGGAGCTTTATTGGCACCGAGAGCTGCGATGGCTTTAAGAGTCGCTGGAATTTCATTCTTGAATGCCTTTCTTAAATCTGCTCCACGAACACAAACCAGGCTATATATTCAGGTAGGTATATAATTTATGATACACACACCCTTTGAAAAGTTCTTAATCTTCTTAAATCAAAGTTTCAAATCAATCTCGTCGTGAATAAATTTTTTTTTTTTATTTTCTTAAATAAAAGAGAATGTCAAGTCGTTTGACGCCTTATATATAAGGCTCCCTCATCAATTTTTCTCAGAATTCATCATCTCAAAATACACACACACGCGAATCTGATGACTAAAATCTAAAATGCCCGGGGATTAATAATCGTCAATAATGAACTGTAATTTATTCGAATTCCAGACAGAAGCATGCGAAGCAGGTTTGGAGCCTCAAGTCCTACAAGAATGGCTTAAGGAAATTGATGGTCACGAGGAAGATGCGTTGGCTGATATTTTACACAAAGAAATTCAAAAATGGACCCAAAATTGCGTTGATGTTGAGGCATTACAAAGACGTGTTGCACGTTCCGAAGAAAATTGTCGAATATTAAGTAAAAAAGTAACAATACTTCAGAGTCAATTACAAAAATTACAACTTGAAAAAATGAATAATTATAATAATCAAGATCGTTCGAAAATTGTTGATAAAAATCCAAATAATCAAAAACTTTCTTCAAACGCCGAGGATGAGGGTATAAGTTCATCTGAACGTTCAAGTAGTCCCGAGGATCTTAAACATAGACAAACATCGGGAAAAATTCAAGACAACGATCAAGAAACAACAATAGACGATGTTATTGAAGAATTACGAATAATTGTCAAAGACGCCGAGGAAGAATTTGAGGATAGAAATCAAAATTCCGAAATTATTAACACCAAAGTTTCAATTAAAAATGAAATTAAAACCTACGATAATAAAAAATCAACTGTCGAAATAAAAGACAATTTATCAAAAACAAGACAAATAACAAGGACAAATATTGAAAATGTAGAAAATTTGAAAAAAAATCAAATCACCTATTTTGGTTCCGATCAAGAATCAATTAATAATAATAATAATAATTCAAGAAGAGCGAGTTCACAAGATTCGGGACATATTTCTAAATCATCAATGGAGCGAGGTGTGAAAATAGTTGTAAGAGGTCCCGATGTTGAGGAGGCAATAGTTCCCGCAATTTTACATCCACAACCACCAAGAAGAACGGCATCATGTCTATCAGTAATGTTGGCAGTGAGAAATTGCGATTTAGTCGATCACGAGGTATATAATTCACACGATGAAGAAATTGAAGAAGAAACACTCGGCGATGGTAGTGATTCACTGTTAAGTGCGTCTAGACTCAAGTACAATGATGGAAAAGAAAATCCAAATAACAATACTAATAATTTCCCGATAAATTCAAGAGTAAAGGTAACGGAGAATTTTGAAATATTACACGAATTTGGCAACAATGATAAAAAAGGGCCAAATTCCATTCCAAAAGCAACTTCCGATCAAGTGGCAATTGTTGCAAATCATTTAGAATCATTTAAACAATTCGAATCATCTAAAAATTCGTCACAAAATCATAGACAAAGAAGTGAAGTGGAGAAGAAAAAATTTCTAAGACGATCGACGAGTCACGATTTTTTAGAGTCGAATAATTCAAGTCCTCATTCAAGAAGATCAGGCAGTAGAATAGAAGGAAAAATTCGCAAATTCGAAAGTCTTAATTCATTTGACGAGCGACAGAGTCTACAGAATTTTAACAGATTCATGGATTCAAGGTATATATTAATTTTTTTTTTTTTTTCTATTTTGACGTGAAGTATAATTTTTTTTATTTATTTTTCAGTTCATCGAACAATCGACAATCGTATGGAAATTCGAATCTAAAAATGCGTCGATCGGAATCATTTCATCATGTTTCATATTCATCGCGTAAAGATCGATGTTCATCTCAAGGTGGAAGTGACAGTGGACTTTTCTACATCACCGATTATGATTTGGAACCTTATATACCAAAAAAATCAACAGAAATACCACCACAACCACCAAAATCACCAAATCTGACAAAATCACTTGACAGAATAGATGAGGGTCTTGATTCAATGGTTGATATTGTTATAACTGAACAAAAACAACATTGGAATATATTGGGTCAACGTTTCTTCAAGGACAAATCATCGTCAAAAAAAGAAAATCGTGGCAAATCGAATCGAGATTCTTTAAAGGAAAAAGAGAAACAAAAACAAAATCAAAGGGAATTAAAGAATGACGAGCATTATAACGGCTATGGTGGTAATAAACAATTACGAAACGATGAACTGTACGAGGATCAGAGGCAATGGCATTCACATCAACATCATGATGAGGTGAATGGATCGAGGAAGTTGAATCGTTTGGAATCACCCGCCGATGACAAGTTCACATTGCCATCTCAGTTGAACAGAACAGGTTCGAGGCATGATTCTTTCAGTTATGAGAAAACAGGCAGCAAGTTCAGTGGCAGGCCCAACGAGTCAGGCATTTTTGCCGGAAGGCCATATGACGCTTTTGGTCTCGGGAAAAACCGGTTCAATGCCGGGAAATACTCCGGGAATCATTTGCCCAAGGAGAGTGTCGGTGGGGTAAGAAATTCCACTTCCTCGCATGTCACCAAGCATGGAAAAGTCACTGACATCCTTTCGGGTTTATATTAAAAAAAAAAAAAAAAAAATCGATTCTTCAGGATATTTCTCGAAAATCGACCAAAATAGTATTATATCGAGCTAATATCAAGATTTTTTTTCATTTTTTTTTTTCGATATTTTTTCCTAAATCGTTTTCCCCTAAAATTCTAAGAATGTAAAATATTTGAATTTATAGCTTCCAATATGTTTTGTATTTTTTAAGTTCAAAATTTCTAATTTACTATTTGTTAATGTTTTTTTTTATTTTGATCATACGATAAAATTAAATAAAAATCTGTTTCGATGCAACTCAGATTTTTATTACAATAATTTTAACGTACGACCAAACTAAACAATATTTTGATGAAAATAATTTTTAGTAGATTTATTTCTTAATTATCAATTTTGTCAAAACAGTGAAATAATTCAATTGAATTTTTCGATTGAATGAAAAATGTTTTTTTATATTCATATCAATGAATATCGTTCAAGAAAATCGAGATTTTCCTGTCTTGATGGAAAAATTAACATAAACTGTGCAATATTTATATATGTTTAGAAATAAAATTATTCAAAATATACAACATAATAGATAAGAGCTACTTGATTTATTGTCGAAGTGCAAAGAAAAAAAAAAGAAAATTCAAAATTGTTAAATTCTTTTTTTCAAAGTTAATCTACCTCGTCAATATGTTAAATGTGTATAAACTTTAAAATCATCATATAAATACATAATTATTAGACATTAATTTATCAAAAGAAAATTAAGAAATAAAATTTAAGAATTTCATGACAATTTCGTAATAAAAGGGAACAAATTAAACTTTTGAAATACCATTTAGTATAATTACTACTGTTATAAAAAGTCTGTATACTTAATTGCTTTTTATAAATGACAATTAAGGATATTTTAAAAAATTTACTTCTAATGGAATACTTAGCGGTATAATAGAAAATTTTGTATTTAATTTTTTTTTACTGATTTATAATACCATGATAAAATATTTCGTGATTTTTAAGAATTCCATTAATATTAGAAATTCAATTTGTATAGTTTTAATGTGTATACTTGTACTTTTAGAGGTAAAGAACTTTTTTTTTTTGATAATTTGAATTAATAAGAATTTATATATATAGAGAACAGTTTTTGTGGCTCTTGGTAAAAGAGAGCTACTAATAACGGTTTGTTGCGATTAAAATGTCCACACCAGCAATAAATGTTTCTTGCTTATAATTTATTGCAATCACATTTTATAATATGGTAAAACGCCTGCGTTAATAGATTGTTTATTGCTCTGGTGATGAATTTGTACGCATGTAATATGTTGTATTAAATAAATAATTTTGTTTATTAAGATTCATCACATTTTTTTCTTTCAATAATTATATGTAATATTTTGTATTTAAAAAAAATCTACAAAATATTTCTTAGTTCCTGAAAAAGTTAATCAAAATTATTTAAACATTATTTCAACATTATTTTAAAATTATTTTAATTCATAATTTAATTATATAATTCTTAATTTCTATTATTAATTTAATTAAATAATTGAAATTTATTATCATTTTATTAATATAGGAAAATAACATAAATAAAAGAATAATGTGATCTGTACATTTTTATTCTCTTTTCATTTTGCTACTGCTTCATATAATTCTATAAATAATAGTAATAATAATTGGATAATAATATAATAATACAATAATAATAATATAATAATAATATTGTAATAATAATAATATTAATAATATCTAATAGTATCTAATAATTATCATATTAATAACAATATTAATTTTAATATCTCAAATTGGTTTACACAAACTATCAAAATACGAAAATTGCAGCATTATTTCATTTTTTTTTTATAAACTTTTGTTAACTTTCTTAAGTACGGCAGTGTCATTATTGCAGATATTTAGAATTTATAAAATTAATTCGATAAATTATAGTCATGTGCCGATCAGATCTAAAATTTACTTGTCTCAGTTCACACGTATGTCATACTTTCACATATTTGCTAAAACTAGATAAATCACTTTAAAATAATAATAATAAAAAACAAAACATTCGGATAATGTGTTTACAGGCATTCCAAATAGGACATTGAGACAATTTTATTTATATATGAGCAATTAAAAACACTAATAATATTAATTTTTATGAATACTTAAAAATATTAAAAACAAGTCTATACTTATATATTGTTATACAATATATATTAAAATTAATAAAAAGGTCATTTCGCTGCATTAAGAAAAATACTGTTGATTAATTGGGAGAACTGCCAAAATAACTTATATTTTAATTAACTTTGGTTATATAATTGTCTATTAAAATGACGACACTTAATGTTTAACTTTCATATGATACTGAAAAAGGTCTAAAGAAAAAAGAATTTGGTAAGTTCCAAGTGATGGACAAAGACGAATTTAATAGGGCTTAATTAATCGTGATTTGTCAAGGATTAGAGATTAAAATTAAAAATTGGATTAATTTTCTTCTTGAATTTTCTTGCAGGTTGTGAAAAACTTATGAAATTAATTTTACAATGTAATAATTCAAGAAATTGAAATTTCTAAGCCAACTAGTGTGGCGAAAATTGTTAGGGATGATGGAGACTTTTACTGAGTTAGTTAAGATTTATACATAATTTTTAAATGATAAAAGCAGCAATTAATTATTTTTTGTTTGTTTTTACACCATTCTATGTTTATGGACTGCGATTTTTAATAATTAAACGTCATGGAGCAAACTGATTCTTATAAGAGGCTTCCTGATCAGATTATCATCGTGATCAAAGAATATGAAATCACATTCAAAAGGCCAGGACATACTGCCGGGAAATTGGATAAGGAGACAATGAAGACAAGAAAAGGACTCTTTCAAGTTCATATGCAGAAATGGGTTTTATCAAGTTTATAGTTAACTTCAGATGAAAGAACACAGATTCATTTAGAATCTCGTGTCATAGAAGAGGTAATAAGGTTTTATGAACATAAAACTAAATGAAAAAGAAAACCCTAATTTAGAAAATGGTTTGAAAATTCCTAATTTTTGATCATATTTGTCTTTAAGAATGAAATTACCTCTCCAAATGCAATTCTATATTACAAGGTCTTGCTAGATAGAATACCTGTTGATTAATTCCGTACAATATTAATTCTTAATTAATAAGTTAATTTAATATTTTACTTAATTGACAACCAAAAATTAAATCAGCTACGCATTATTTGACCCTAATTATTTTCTTTAAGTATAATTTTCTTTTTATCAAAGAACGAAAAAAAGAAAATAGAATAAACAGATTTAATTACTGAGTTATGTAAAAAAAAAAAAGAAATATCTTATTTTTATACATAAAATGAACTTACTATCTAAATGATTTTAATGAAGACATCGATCATTTCAAGTTTTTTTTTAACAATTATCATAAACCCTCACTTGACAACAGATACACAAATTAAATTTGTCTTTTCACTGGTATTATTAACGTCAAAAACAAAACTTTTCAATCTTTCAAAAGTCAAATTATTTTATCAAATATATGATCGTTTCAATGAGATGAGAAATTTTTTTTTTAGAGAAAATTTTTCCAAAAAAAATGTCCAAATATTGGTCAATTATTTTTTTTTCACAGCCTTTCACTAATAAATTTTTTTCACAAATAATTATGTAAAAAAAAATTTTTTTACAATTCTAAAAAAAATGAATACTTTGTCAAATCTATGTGCATGAGACATTTTTTTGTTGTTGTCATGTAAAGCTGCTTAAATATCAATAATATATATATAATAATTATAATTTTAATATCCTTTATATAGAAATTCATTAAACTCTAATAAGAAATGTACGTCTTTATAATACGAAAAAAAAATTTTTTTTAAAGAAATATCCGTCTTTCTATCCTCTCTCCTTTGCAGACGTAAAAGAAGATTTTTCTTTTTTTTTTGTACGCATTGAAATACTATATAATATTTATAACGATTTGAATGCTTCATATGCGTATCAACTTTCTACATGCAATATTGTTATCTAAATAGACTGTAAATAAAGCATAACACGTCTGGAGTTAATTTGACTATTGTGATAAAAACAATATATCATAAAAAAAAAAGAAAAAAAAAGTGATTCAGAAAATCTAAAACCATTTGTACACAAAATCAGAAAGATTTAAATAATAAAATTTCAACTTCCCGTTGCATGTAACAGCGTTGTCTTCACTTCTCTCAATTCATGGCCGGATACATAAGAACTTCGATGAGTTAATTCAGGATTATTTGCTACAAATGGCTCATATTTATCGCGATTCAATTCCAAAAGCTCTTGTGAATTTTTGTCTGAAACAAATTTTGTTTTATTAAACAATCCTAGATCTTGAAGAAACGATTATTCTAAAAATTATTATAAAATTAAAATTAAATTGAGAAATTTTTTCTAAATTACCTCGACTTGTATTTAATAAGTACGATAATTCATCTTCAGTTGAGACATGTTGAAATTCTTCTCCACAAGCTCCTCTCAATACAGCAACGACATCACTGCGAGGATTATAAAAATAAAGTCCCTGCTTTCGACTATTAAATTCACTAATCAATGCAGCAATTCCCTGAAAAAAAAGAAACAGAACATTAAATCTTAGAATTTTTTCTTATATATACATATTCGTAAAGGATACTTACTTTTGCGGCAGTAAAATCCGCACCTAAGACATAGCGACAATCAACAACAACTGGTATTTGACTAGATCCTTGTTTCACTCCAGCGTGACCAACCGATTGTTTTATAAAGTCAATAGCCGGAAAATAAAGACTATTACCTGGTGTTACTAAAAGGTATTCAGAACCCGATTCAGTCTAGAAAACAACATAAAAAATTTATTTAGTTACAAATTGAATCACTTACATACATTTTATCATCTTTTTTTTATTGTAAAAATTAGAATACTAATAGAATATTTCCTTCTATTTTATTATTTAATAATTATAGAAAATAAATCAAAAATTATCGTAAAAAAAAAATTGAATACTCACAATACATTTTTCAACGTGTATCTTTGGTCTAGCAGAAGGATATAACAAAAACATAATATTAATAGCGACTCCAATCAATATTCCATATTCCACGCCAATAATTAAACAAAATAGAAAAGTAGCAAAAGTGGGAATAAGATCCTTCTTACTTGATCTCCACATTAATTTCACAACTTCATATTCAATCATGTAAATTACAGCGCAAATAATAACGGCAGCTAATGACGCTGAAAACAATTTTATTTACGTAAATATCAATTTTTATATAATTAATAAACTTATTGAATGTTCAGTTAAAATTAATATACAAATTCTAAAAAAAAAATATATAAAATAAAATTAACTCATAAATTACGGGTAAAATATTAAAAAAAAGAATTTTAAAACAATCATAAAAACTATTAAAAAATTCGAGTTGTGTCGTCAAACTCTAACCACTGACAAAAAAAAATAGTATATAATTTAAAATAATTATGTATATTATTAAAATACCTTTGGGAATGAAATAGAAATACGGAGTGAGCAGAGTCAATGCTAAAAGTATCAAGACTCCAGTGTACAGTCCGCCCATTGGTGTTTTTACTCCACTAGCATGATTAACCGCTGATCTACTAAATGATCCAGTGACTGGCATTGAACTGGCACAAGATCCAAGTACATTACAAATACCAAGTGTCAATAATTCTTGTGTAGCATCAACATTATTTCCACTTGCAAATGCTTTTGCAATTGCAACATTACCCAAAACACCAATAATTGGTACAAGAAATATTGCTGGTCCAAGTTCTGAACACATTTCCACAAAATTTAATGTACGATTATTTACTTGTGTGGAAAATGGTGGAAAACTAAAATGTGGAAGACCCGAGCGGACTGTACCAGTGAGAATGAAAGGTGAACCATTCGTTGAGGATTCCATTTTAAATGCAATTACCGAACAAATGACAACGACAATTGCATTTCTGGCAGTTGAAATCAACCATATAATTTTCATCATTATCAATTGACGTTTTGTTGGTTTCTCACTTCCGGCACAAAGACTTATATCTTTCATTTTCTGTAATATTTTTTAAAAAACTGATTATTATATAAATGACATATTTTTCTCTATTTTAATAGAAAATAATTTTTTAAAAAGAATATTACTCTAAATAATAGAAGAATAATGATGCATGAGAAACTCATTATTGTATCCCAAACGCTTGTGTTGCCAATATTTTGAAAAACAGCTTTCAATGTATCCATAAATCCCGAGGAAGAAATTTTCAAACCCAAAAGACCTTTTAATTGTGAGACTACAATTATCACTGATGTTGCTGAAGTAAATCCCACAGTGACGGGAACTGAGATAAAATCCACCAGAACACCTAGTGAAAAATTTTATTTAATTATTACAAGTAAAAATAGCTTTTCAGTTTGAACTATAATAAATAAAATATGATTAATATTTAGATAAAAATACAGCGAATAACTCAAAACAGTTTTTTTATGTGAAAAAAAATTCAAAGTTCTTGGCACTCTTTTAAATATAAACAAAGAAAAAAAAATCAAGTAATACTCATTATATGAACGAACCATGTTTATTTATTTATTTTTATTTTTTTTTTTTATTTCAAGGCAAAAGAAACTAAACTGAACAAACAAGTCATAAAAAAAAAACTTTTATATTCAAATAAATTTATAGGGATTTTTATTGAAGTTTTGAGTAAATTTTTTTTAAAACGATTTACTAACAAAGTATTACTTTTTTAAAAAATATAAATAGAATATAATTATTGCATAATTATGTTCAACTTTATCTTTAAGGTTGATAAAAATTTACATGGAAATATACATAATTTTATTTTGTAAATAAATAAATAAAAATTTAAATTTTTATTTAAAATTGTATAAAACATATTGTATACCTAATCGTAGAAATCCCATAAGTAATTGCATGCATCCTGTCAAAAATGCGAGAAGAATTGCAAAATCAACACTACGACCTTGAACATATTCATGAGTCATCAATGACATTAAAGCTGTTGGACCAATTGTTATATCTTTACAGGATCCAAAAAATACATAGACTATTGCGCCTATAAATGCCGAATAGAGACCATACTGAAATTTAAAATTTTATTATTTTTTATTCATTTCAAAAAAATACGAATTTATTTGTAAAAAAAAAAGAATTTCTTATCACTTCTAATTTTACACTTCAAAAAATTAGGAAATTTCAAGAACATGAAAAATTATATTAAATTCATTCAGAATAAATATGAATAACTATAATTATAAATAATTTATAAATAGTAAATAAATGAAAATTGAAACTTTTAAACTGATAACAAAGTTTAAGGAAAAATAGTAAAATTAAAATTAATTAGTAATTACAATTACCTAAGAGTTGAATTTAGTTAAAAATTAAAATAATAGTGGAAATTTTTTTTTTCAAATTAAATTTATTGTTCCAAAAAATAATAATAAAAAATTCACCTGTGGCTCTAATCCAGCAAGGGTTGCATAAGCAAGTCCCTGGGGCATTACAGTAAGCCCAACAGTCACTCCTGCAATCGCATCATTGAATAATTTTTCCGAATCATACTTTGGCAACCAAGACACAATTGGTATTCTCTTCTTCACAAATTTACTGATCCAATTGCCATCCCTTCGTGTCCTCCAACGATTTGGTTTTCCAATCGACATTTCTGAATAATCTGAAGATAACAAAAAAAAAGCAAAATTGAATCACTTTCGAAAAAAATAATTTTACTATTTATATGCGTAAAAGGAAAATTCTTTCAACTATTACATTACGTAGATAATTATGAAATTATTATTTAATCGTTTTGCGACTGAAAGTAGTTTTCATTTTCACTGAAATAAAATACTATTTACTGTATATTAATTAATAAATGTGTTTTCTTTCTTTGAAACTTGAAATATTTAATAAATATTATTTACCGGTATAATAATTCAAATGAAATCTAATAGATTATGTCTTTAATTTTTTTTTTTTTTAAATTTTTGCATAAAATGAGCAAATAAATTATTAAACTACCAATGAAAGATATATTTCTCATTCAATATCGTTATAAGCCAGCTGAATATGATTGGCGATTAATTATAATTTTATAGACCTTTGCTTCATTTACATTTAGTCGTAAAATCTCAAAACCTCAAAGGAAAGTTGTTAAGTAAATAATGTTTAACAGCCCATTCATCTAAAATAAATATTAAGTCAGAAATTAAAATTAAAATAACACAATTTATGAATCTAGTAATATTAAAGTAATTTATGAATTTTGTAAAATGTTTAAAAGTAAATAATTAAAAAAAAAAATAGTAGAAACAATACACTTTTAATTAACAAAGAATTAAAGAGTTACAAAAATAGATAAAATAAATAATAAATATATAGTAAATAAAATAATAAATAATAAATCTATAAACAAAGTCATTAAAAAAAATACAAAATAATAATGACGGTAAAAACATAAATATAGTAACTGTTAATAACTTCGTGTTTACCTCGTAAACTTTAATCGAGAGATAAGTTTATATTTTAAAATTATTTTTTAACATATGAAAATTGTTTACTAGCACTTTTTAAATCGAAAATTTACAATTTTAAAAGAAATTCAAAAAATTACAGCAACAAGAATTAAAACTTTTTTTTTTTAACCATTTCGGACCCATTCCATTGATCTCAGAATATAAATATTACCAAAAAGAAAATGTTAATTTACCACTAAAATTGGTTCAAATCTAAAATAATGAATTCAGTAAGTTTCAAATTTCGAATTATGGTTTTGAGTAATAATTAATATCAATAAAACACATTTTAATAAAGTGCTTTATGATATCAAAGATGTACACATGTGATAAGAAAAGTATCATGTACTAATTGTCCACTTAACCCGGCACAAGTAAAAGAATATTGGAATCAATTAGATACTCAATTCTCTTTATGTCTGAACTAAACTTTTACTTCAAAAAAAAAAAAAATTTACATAAACAAAAAATTAGAACTTTTTTTCATGAAAAAAAAAGTCATTTGCATCTTTTATAATAATTATTATTAAATCATTGCTGAAATAAACCGGCTTATTTTAATTTTTCAATAATTATTAAAATATATTTACAACAACTTTTATAAAGATTTAAAAAATGCAATTTGGTATTTTTTCTACTAATCAAAATTGGTCTCAAATAAAATAAAAATAATTGTTTCTATTATCTTTTTAACTTAAGTGGGACAATTATTGACTATTTGTGTATAACGTCAACACTTTCGATTTACGGGAGGGGGAGGAAAAAAAAAGCAAAACCAAAACATATATCAACAATGCGGTTAATGAAACTCAACAGGCTAATAATCTCATTCGCGCATCTTTTATTTTTTTGATGACAAGCAAAAAATGTTTATTTTAAAGTTTCTCGAACTCAAGAATTTTAATGAATATAAAAATTGTCAATTTTTTAAATTAAGTTAATATAAATTTTTTATGAAATAATCAATTCTTTTTTTTTAAAGAAATTTAAATTTAAACTAAATTCATTAATTAATGTATCTATCTATTTTTATATGTCAATATTAATTAAGTAGTTTGATTGAAATTGAATATTAATGAATTGATTAATTAGAAATAATTTTATAAATACACCATACTTTGAGAACAAGCGACGAGATGAAAAAAGTTGTCGCCGAACGTCTTGGGAATGCAACAAGAAGAAATCGAGTTTTGTAGAAGGTCAATGATTCGATCTGAGTCACTGGCACGAATATTTTTTTTTTTTTGGGGGAATATAGAATTTTTGCACTTGATAATATAAAATGTAAATTTAATTATTTACTCAATCAATTAGCAGGGAAAAAATATATTAACGAAACTATCACTTTTCCCTGATGTTGGCTCCTAACAAGTCACGCTTACGACTGAAAGCGATTATGGTTATACATGTTCTTTATATACTTCAATGAGTATATGTATATTATCGTCACTGTTATGGAAAAGTCAGTGTAGCCTTCATTTTTTTTTTATCTGCCTTGTCCAGGTAAAAAAACTCAATTCTCGAAACGTCAACATCAGTATGTGTGTAGTCTAATTTGCTTCTTCAAAAGAGACGCGAGTACTCGGTTCCGGAGACAAATGCTTTAGCTCACGCAAAAACTCGTTTCTTCAAATAAACCACGTGACAACAAGTTTTGCCCTAGAATTACAATTAAACAAATTATATATTAATATAATGTGTATCAAAAAAGAATTTAAGAACAATTTCATAGAAGTTATATGTATATATATATATATATATACAATCGAAGAAAAATTTTTTCGAAAGAATGAAATAATTTTTTTTATAAAACACGAGTGCAACTTTTTTTTTAAACAAAAATTATATTATATATTTTGTTTACAAATTCTGTCATGACTTCACTTCATTAATTTATTTTCTAACTATTACAGTGTTTTATTGATGAGTTGACCTACTCCTAACCAATAGAGAATGAACGATCACTGAATAAAAAATAATCCATTTACTTTTCATTAGCCTCCTTACTCCTAAAGCATCTTCGTGATCCTTTTCATTAAAGGTTTACTCTTAAAATCATGTCATTAGAATTTTCCAATTTTTGCACAAAAAGAAATCGCTCGATAAATAAAATGTATTGACTACAATATTATTATCACTCATGTGACCGCGCTTCAAACAGGAATATCTGAAATTTGATAGCAACATATTTATACATTGATTTGTTTTATTGAAAAATTCATTAATTATAATACTAGAGATTCATTTAAATTGCGTTTAGTTTAAAAAAAAACAACAGATTATCCCTATCAGAATAAAAAATTAAAGCAAATCATAAATTAAATAAATAACAAATAGAAAATTAAAAAAATAAAAATTAAATTACAAAAAATGAAACGCAGTTCTTTTAGAAATTAAACACAATAATATTTTTAAATTCAAACTTGTAAAACTAGTATTTTCATTGTTAATTAAAAATCAAGAAGATAAGAACAATTTTAATTATTCATATATTGCAAAAGTTTCTTATACAATTGGACATTTGAAAAAAAGAAGTTTGAAGCATTAGAAAATAAAATTCACAAATGCAAATCGCTACATACTACACTGATAATAGGAAAGTAGATAAGGACTGATTTTTTTTTTTTTTTTTTTACTGTTCCTGATTTACTCATGGCCAAAAACAATGACAAATTATTATTTTTTTCAAATATACCGGCAAAATAACCTTCTAAGGTTTTACGATCAATCATTGTATAATCAGGAACAAACGATTTTCACCTTTCTAGGCCATATCAACGTGATTATTATAAACTTCATAAATAAACGTTTTTGCTTTTCTTTTATGAGTCACATCGAAATTAATCAACCGCAGATTATATTTCAAATATATTGACTATAATTATAATTTCATCAATGTTAATTATATTTTTAGATTCAATTTGCAAATGAATCTTTCATTTATGTACATATATATATGCAAACATATATTTCATTTAACATAATTAACAAAATGGAACTTAAATACATTAATGAATCAAAAAAATCTCACAGATGTAACAAATTTATTAAAATAAGTGGTTCTAGTTAAAAAAAAAAATTTAATATTCTTTAATAATATAATCTACAAATGAAAAAAGTTCATATTTATATTGTAATTTACTAAATATTGATTTGAATAATTAATTTTCTTTTTCATGGAAATACAACTTATCTCTGAATAATTAACAGTTGCAAAAGCAGTTTTAAAAAAAGAATATTTTCATCACAAAAGAAAATTTCTTTTATGTGAACATTTGGTATACTTTTATCAAAAAATAAAATTCTAATAAAAAAAAAACTGAATAATAAATTTATTTGATTAATGACATCAGTGAAAAAAATATTTAAGAAAATGTATACTTTTAGTATTATTTTAAAATAAAAAGAAAACTAAATTTGCTTTTAAAAATATTGTTTCTAATGGAGTACGAGTTAAAAATCAGGACATTAATGTTAGAAAATCAATAGTTTCTTTAATTAAATAAAATGAAAACTTTACTGTTCATTCAAATAAATAAATAAATATTCATAAATAGAAATTCTAAATTCAAAATACACTTCTTATATATAAACAATTAATACATTAAAATCATATATTTTTGTTACTTGTAAAGTATTTCGCAAAAAAATTCACAATAGCTGTAAACAAAGATTGTCTATTTCTTGTTGACCTAAAAAATAAAAAGTATTACACAAACTAATAAGGTCGGTACCTACAATGTTATGAAGGGTTGTTTTATTATTCTGCGAGATCAAATCCTCCTTGTAAACAAACAGCAGATGTAAATGCAATTGTAATTCATGATAACCGGTAAAATTAACACTTTTATTTTAGAAAAATTGTTTTCCACTTTCTCAAAGAATGCGAAACATACGGTGAAACTGTATAATAATGCCTTTATACTATTTAATATATAAACAGCATCTCAAACACAATCATAAATACAATTGATACTTATTGGAAAAAAAATTTTATATTTAATACTTTTTAAAACTGAAGTGTGAAAATATTTTTTGTGCTTTATTGCAGATAGTGAGGTTATGCAAAGACGAAAAAATCTACAGTTTTCACCACTGTAGTTAGCGCTGCAATCGCAATAACCTACTTTGCTGATTGTAGGTAATAAATGGAATCTGCATTACCATTAATCGTGAAACAGTCGGTAAGATCGCAAGGTAATATAAATAATTGAATTTTCTTTATAATAATAAATAATTACAAAATAATTAATTATTATTATATTGATAAATGATAATTAGTGCAATTTATAAACGTAATCATGCACAATAATTTTGACAGCATATTTAATTGATTTAGATTCATATATCTAAAGATTTTGAGGTTAGGTTTCCCTTTGTTGACAATTTTGACAACTGACATTTGACGTTTATATTGTTCAAAATAAAATGTTTAAAAGAAATTTCTGTTTTCTGTATTTATATTAATAAATTTAAATCAATAAAAAAAATTGAATAAATTAAATAAGAGTTTGTAATTTGAACAATCATTTGTTGATAAACAAGAAATTGCTTCATTTCATTTTTAAAAAATTAATTTTTAATTGTAAAAAAGTGATAATCAGAGCACTATTAACATTAATAGCTTTTATTGTTTATTAAAAAATTTAACTTTAAATTTTGTACAATACAAAATTTATATATGTAAATTTTATTCTGTTGTTATTGATTTGCAATACACCTAAAAATGATGTTTTAAAATTGAATGATAAAATTAAATGTCGTCTAACAATTAAACGTCAAGGTGATGAAGTGAGAATTAAATTTTTTGTTATAATTAATGGAATTTACATAAATAAATAATTTTAAAAAATAATAATAAAACAATTATTAGTGTATATGATTTTCTAGGGAATATGTGGGAATATTTATGACAGATTCTGTTTAATATGGTTCCTAGATGGCGAAAAAGGCGATTGCGTTGTGTTGTATTCTGTACATATGTACATTTTAGTGGGGTATTGGTGTATTGAAATTGTGTTTGTGTCGGTGTCCGTCATGACTCAGAATTCATGGTCGCCTCGCGTTTCGTAATTATAATTTCCCTCCACTTCATAAAAATGAAATTGTAGTTTCAAAGAACCCTAATATCCAGTGGTTCCTGGCAACGCTCATCTATCAGGATGGGTTTCAGAGTTGTAATAAAAATTCTTTTCGCTGAATTCCCATCCGTTCTATTTGTCAAGTACACTGTGCGCGCTTAGTGCCGTTTGGATCTCCTGTCTTTGAAATCCCCCTTGTCCATATATATATATATTTCTGCAAAATTCTATCAGGTATTCATTTAGGTACTTATTTTATAATACTGTCTTTCAAAAATCAAAATAGACAAATAATCATGTTAACCTACTTGAAAATTTTTATTTCAATTATCATCAACTTGTTAATTGTAATGAAGAAAATTAATATGAATGTATTTCAGAAAACAAAAGAATAATCAATTCCGGTTATTGTAGTTATAATAATTTTTCTTTTTTTAATTTTCAATGTAATTTTATTTGTGTTTCAGGTAAAAATGTTTTAATTTTATTTTTTATAATCGTGACCTTCAAATGAACATGGAAATAAAATAGGCCTGATAAATTTTGAGCCATTGCAATATAGTTTTTATCATTTCTAAATTACTAAATACAGTAAAATTTCTTACTAAGGAATATATGGTATTGCTTTCATAACATGTAATAAAATTTAAATGTCATTTTGTTGACTCCAATTTGATTCAGTGAATTGACTTGAATTGTATTTGGAAATATTCGTTCATTTATTATATTATTTATCAAATAGTTTTTTCTGTCACAAATTTTAATTTCTTTTTAGATTTATTTTGTTTATATAGATAATTTAATTTTAGTTTTATTGTTGATTACAATTATTATATTTTTTTTTTTAAATTTCTTATACTATACATTAATATATAGATTGTTTAATAATAAGTCTCAATATAAAAAAGTTGATTCAATTGTAATAACAACGTGATATGATTTTGAAGTATTGTAATAAAAGAGTTTGTTTAATTATTTATTCATGCACATAAAACTTTTTCGTGCGTTTTAAAGTTATAATAGTGACTTAGTATAAACTTACATCTTTTATTCGATAATAATTATTGTTATAGATTTTTATGTTTATACTTTAAACGTTCCGTTTATTTTTTTTTTTAAATAAAATGATTTTTTTTCTGAATCTTTGTTCCATTTTTAGTCACATAAACTTTTGACCCCCTGGGTTGTTTTATGATTCACATTATCCTTACATATGTTTGAAGGAATTTCAACTACGTAACACTTGTGTTATTTAAAAAATAATAAATACCTTTAGCATTAGAAAACGTACAGTTTATACAATAAGAATGATTTGCGAAAAAAAAATAATTAATTAAATATTAATTGTAAATATACAATAGAAGAATCGATTATTCTTATATGTTTGAGAAAAAAAAATACGATAATTCAAAAAAATTTTATTGATAATTATTGTTTGTACCTCGATTTGTACAAATTGAGAAATTTGTGAAATTTTTAATGCATATGTGTATTAACTTATCTGTTTAAATTCTTAAAATGATTATAACTAGATTTAAGTATACTTTTAATATTTGCTTTTATATTTCATTTAATTTATGCCTGTTGTTTTGTTTCTGAATTGTAAAAAAATTGGAGTAATAATTAAATTATAAATTACAAAATTTAATAATTATTTAATAATTTTAATCATTGAATTTTTTTTAAAATTATTCGTGACTTATTTTCAAATTGTCCGTGAGATTAAAGTAATTAATTAGTAATAAATGACTAATTTTAGTGATTATTTAATAAATTTTAATTGTCGAATATTTTAATAATTATTATTTAATAATTCAAGGTAATATTAATGAATTGTTAATAAATCATTCATAAATTTTATCTTAAATGTAATATATGACGAATATTTTATTGTTCTTATTATTTTTCATTTATTTGTTTATAAAGGAAATTAAAGTAAACACAATGGATCAATCAAGGAATAGACCTAGTAGACCCCGCCTACGTGCACATAATAATCCAGCACGAGTACTTGTTTTTGATCAAGTTGAACCAGAAGATGCTACCCCAAAGACAGAAATAGAGGCTACTCGACGACCTTTGCCACCAAAGGTCGAAAGCAAAGAAGCCCCTGTTCGTCCAGGTATTGTTATTAATTTTTTTCCTCATTTTTTTCAAATGATAATTATCTATGTAGATTATTATTATATAAAATAATATTATAAATTGTAGTTAGTGGAGAAATATCGAATTTGTTGCGAATGAGAAATTCTATGATTGGAAAATCTGCACCCTCACTATCTGTTCACATGGTAAGTATCAAATAATTTCATTATTTCTATTTTTATAATTTTAATTATTATTTTTCATAATTTTAATTTTTCTCTTACGATAATTTTTTTCAAAGTTTAAAGTACAAAAATCTATTTTAATTATTATTATCTTCTATTTGAAAAGATATAAATTAAGAAAATCTTTAAAAAAAAAATATGTCAAAAATAAATTTGAACTTGAAAATTGTATATTGGCAGCAAGACAGCGATATGCTCTTGATTCTATTCTAATTTTAGATTTTGTCCATGGGAGAAAATTATTAAATATCATCTTGTTTGTGAAAATATTAAAACAATAATATTGTAATTTGTTATTTAAAAAAAAAGAAACAATTTTTTTTCAGCGTGATTTTAATATTCCTCGACGCATAGTAAAGGCAGCTCATCGAAAGTCTTTTATTTCAACAACTTCTCCTACTTTACCACGATGCAATTCACCATTATCAGGTAATAAAATTCCTTCATTTAGAAATAATCCCATAGTTCTAATTTTTCCGTATTTATTATATTTGAAAATGTTAATTTAATTATTGAATTAATTTAAATAGAAATTTAATTTCATTAATATGCAATTTTACCATGATGTTTTAATATTGATTATTGCTTTTAATTACAAGTGACAATTATTATCAAAATTGTTTCGATGTAATTAAAATGAATAATAATTCTATATTTTGTCGATGGATAAATTTATCCTCGATATAATAATTTGAATTTATTTCAAACTATTTGGAAAAAAATAATTATAATTGCCGAAAGACAAAAAAAAAATATAAACTTGTTATTAGACGTTAAATAATAAACATTTTATCTCTGCCAACTTTATATGTATTTAATTATTCTTAATTACGCTTATTGTAAAGGTATAAATAATTAAATGACATGTAAAGTAAATATCTAACCCTTTGTTTCATAATGTATCTTATATGATACACCTTTGTTTTTTTTGTTTATAACTTTTTTTTCGATAATTATAAAACTAATCTTCGAAATATATTTTTTCTAATATATTTTTCAAATAGTAAACTTTCATTTTCAATAAAAAATTTATTGTAGTTTTCGAGGAAAAGGAATGTTGAAAGTAAAAAAATTTTTGAAAAATGATTTAATTAGCTTTCGATTATAAAGTTTCTAATAAAAATTAGTCAATTTCCAGCGAATGAAAAATGTGAATTATACTCGAAAGAGTATTTTTCATGTGAAGAAATTTTAAAAATACAAACTAACCAAATGATGGATCAAAACTGTCATATATAATTATGAAAACTTAACCCTGGATTTAGTTTGATTGAAAGCTTTTTTTTGACACCTCTTTAGAAATTTTAGAATATTTATAAAATACTTTTAGTATCGATTTATATTATTTTAGAAGAAGAATATTTTTTTTTATGTACAAAACCCGAGCTTATAGACTATTTCCTAATAACACATTTTACGAAAAAATCTTTTATGCTTGAAAAAAATAATTTGCTTTTAATAAAAGAAAAAAAGATTTTTAAGTTGCACCAATAAATAATTAATTTTTCGTTTATTTATTTGTTTTTTTTTTTCTCAATATAGCATTCGTTCCGATTGTAGGCAGTCCTTTAGAGAGTCCTAGGATGTCATCCAGTCCACATTTTGCTTTTGCTCCAATAAAAAGGTATATCTATTTTTGCCTAATTAAATCTTGATTTTTTTCTCTCTCTCTCTGTTTCTCTCAGTTTAATCGTTTTAAAAAGTGGAAAGTTTTTAAAATGATGACGACAATATTCTAAACACAGTTGCTTTATATTTTTGGCTGTTTTTTTTAATCAATAATAAAATGCTGTGATATATTTTACAGTGATTAATTTGACTTTTATTTAGTACGCTAAAAATAGCAAAGAAATATATATGTATACTATATGCAATCAGTGGAAGTTGGTAACTAAAATGTCTCAATTTTTTTTTTTGTTCTTGACAAATCAATTAATGGATATGATTGTATTTTTAAAGAATTGGAGGTGCGGCTTCAGGCTCAGCAGATGGAAGACGATGGTCTGTGGCAAGTTTACCATCGAGTGGATATGGAACAACTCCTGGTTCTAGCAATGTTTCGGTAAATATATATATATATAATTTATTTCTATTTTAATTGTTATCAGGATCAGTGTCATTAAAATAATTATTGTTTTTTTACAGTCACAGTGTTCTAGTCAAGAACGCCTACACCAATTACCAAATATACCAACGAAGGATGAATTGCGAATGCTTTCATGTCATTTTTCAAAACCTGGAACACCGTGTTCGTCTCATCCTGGATTTCCAGGAACTAATTTCTCCGGTATACCCGGTAATGGATCAAATCTTGATGAAGAAGGTCGAATGTCACCCTTGCATCGTCCTCGATCTCGAAGTTTAAGGTTTGTTTTAAATAATCTTTTTTTGTGACACAAAAATATCAACTTTAATTTTTTTTTTTTTTTTAAATTTTTACAGTTCGCCAAGTCGATCTCCAGTAATGGATAATGAAATAGTTATGATGAATACACTTTATAAAGAACGATTTCCAAAGGTGAGTTCCATTTTTCTCAAATATTAAAATAATTTCAAAAGAATCGTTTTTTTTTCTATTGTAAAATATGAAATTTTGTTCGTCAGGCTACACAACAGATGGAAGAGCGTTTAACTAATTTTATTAACGAGAATAAGGAGATTGATGAATATGAAGTTGTTTCACAAATGACACCAGATTCTTTACCAATTTTGAGATTTGTTCATCATCAGGTGATTGAAATGGCACGAGATTGTTTACAGAAAGCTCAAGAGAAATTGGTGACAACCAGATACTTTTATGAGATGAGCGAAAATCTAGAACACTTATTAATGGAGGTTCGTATTATTTTAATACAAAATCAAACAATTTAATTTTTTTGATTTAAATTACTATTATAAGCATTAATTAAATTTTAGACTAAGGAAAAATCTCTAGAAGCAGCTACACGATTAACTGGATTAATAAAAAAGCTTCTCTTAATAATATCCCGACCTGCTAGACTCTTGGAATGCCTTGAATTTGATCCTGAAGAGTTTTATCATTTACTTGAACAGGCCGAAGGGCAAGCTAAATTTAATGCAGGAATTAAGACTGATATTCCCCAATACATCATTAATAAATTATCTTTGAATAGAGATCCAATTTCAGGTTTGTATAAAAAAAAATTATCTTGATAATAAAAAAAAAAGAAACAAATAAAATTGGTATCGATATTTTTAGAATTACAAGAAGATTTGAACAAATTAGAGGACTCAGCGAGTTCCAGTGATAGTAATTTACAAATAACATCTTCGAGTCCCAATAAAGAAGATGATATTAGATCACAAAAAGTTCCAAGCGAAAGTGATTATGAAGTTTTAAAACATATCAGCAATGGTGCTTATGGCGCGGTTTATTTGGTTAAAGAAAAATCGTCAAAACAACGTTTTGCCATGAAAAAGATAAATAAAAATAATCTCATGTTGAGAAATCAAGTAGAACAAGTTTTTGCTGAACGCGATATTATGAGCTTTACGGACAACCCTTTTGTAGTTTCTATGTATTGCAGTTTCGAAACAAAGGTACGCAAATAATATTTTATGATTTTTAAAAAAAAAAAGTTATCTAATTTATTTCTCAATTATGAAAAAAATATAAATCACATTATTTACAAAAAACAAAAAAAAAATAATGTTTAATTTTTTAAATGATAATTTTGTTTTCAGAAACATTTGTGTTTAGTTATGGAATATGTTGAGGGTGGGGATTGTGCCAATCTTTTAAAAATTATAGGCCCACTGCCTCCTGATATGGCCAGATTTTACTTTGCGGAGACAGTTTTAGCTGTCGAGTACTTACACAGTTACGGTATCGTTCACCGTGACTTGAAACCAGACAAGTAAGTATTTAAAAAAAAAAACAAAATATTTTTTTTTTTCAATCAAGGAATAAATTAATTTTTCTTTTAGTTTGCTCATCACTGCTTTGGGTCATATTAAGCTCACAGATTTTGGCCTTAGTAAAATGGGTCTTATGTCCTGTAAGTATATAGAAATTATCCTCAAAAATATTTAGAAAAATTATTAAATTGACAAAATATTTTTAAAACTTAAGTTTTGAATTTTGTGTGAAAAAAATTGCTTCTTTTTCAAGTGGCAACGAATTTGTACGAGGGATATTTAGATAGAGATACTAGGCAGTTTTCCGATAAGCAAGTGTTTGGTACGCCTGAGTATATTGCGCCAGAAGTAATTTTACGTCAAGGATATGGAAAGCCTGTGGATTGGTGGTCCATGGGAATTATTCTCTATGAATTTCTTATTGGTTGTGTACCATTTTTTGGCGAAACGCCCGAAGAACTATTTGCGCACACTGTCAATGGTAATGATTTTTTTTTCTTTTTTGTGTTGTTTAATTTAATAGAAAAAAAAAATGAAAATTGATTCTAAAAAATATTTTTTATTTTAAAGATGACATCGAATGGCCTGCCGAGGATGATTGGTCAGTCCAACCGGAAGCAAAAGATATTATCACTGTTTTATTGCAACAAAGTCCTCGAGATCGATTAGGAACGGGTGGTTCTCACGAAGTTAAAGATCATCCATACTTTTATGGTGTCGATTGGAATAGTCTTCTACGACAGAAAGCCGAATTTGTCCCTCAATTATTGAATGACGATGACACCAGTTATTTTGATTGTAAAATTTTTCTACATATATTTTTTTTGAAGCGCGTGAAATAACAACTTTTTTTTTTTAAATAAAAAATAACCGATTTCTCTTTATAAGGAAGAAATAAAAAGAAAATCATTTTTCTTTCAGCTCGAGTTGATCGTTATAATCACGATATTGGAGAGGACACAGACGACACTGATGATTCACCATTGATTGGTTCATTTTCCTCTTATTCGCCACAATCGCGTAAAATTTCTCAAACTCGGCCACCTCTTAATAATACTGAGTCTGAATTAGATTACACAAAGAAACAATTATTTTCCAATGAATTGGAACGAATGATGGCGCAATTATCGCCAAGTTCATCGACAGTATCAGTTTCGCCACCATCGTCAAAACTTATTGATAAAATACAAAATCTCGAGAAAACACCGCCATTAAAAAGCAGTCCTTTAGCGAAATCCGAAAAGTCTGATAATTCATTTACAAGCCCAGCTACATTGACTGCTGGTGATTCACAACAATTAACTATTGTTAAGAATGAAGCAGCAGCGAGTGGAGCTGTTTGTCTCAGTACTCCGGAATCATCACAAACGGAATCCGATGACATTAGTCCACAGATCCAAAGAAAACGTCACATACATTCCCGGGATAAGTTACCCAGGTTCAGTATTTCCATTCATGGTGATGAAATGTGAGTCATTTGACATTGAACCAAATATTTTTTGTTTTCCCAATTTTTTTCTATCAAATTCATTGTTTATTGTTTCATTTTTTATTCAGTTTATTATTTATTTCATTACAATAATGCATGTTTTACTCATAGAGAAAATTTGTCCAAAATTTATGTTTTGTCCTCTTTTATCGCATAAAATCATTATCAAAAACAAAGTTAAAATCTTATCTTGAAATGTCTAAATATAAATTTCTCTTCTTATTTTTAGATTGGATTTAGCAGCAGCTCATAGAGCGTCAGCTGAGGAAAAGAATAATTCAAGCACTGATTCCTTTGAATCGTTTACACCACTGCCACTTTTACCAAGTGGAAAACCAAAATCTCGTTCTGTGATTAAATCAGCTTCAACTAGTGGATTGTCTTTGGTTATTCCAACCACTGATTTTTCATGTAAGTGTATTTTTTTCTACATTTTTCTAAATGAAAATTTCTATTAAATATTAATATTTAACAATTTAGATGAAGCTTCAGGGACTAGTCAAGCAATTGAATCACCAGGTGGATCATCAACTGCCTCGTCTCGAGATACATCGCCTTGTCGGGAATTAAGTCCCCTAGTAACGAGTTTAAAACCACCAACAATAATTCGAAGAGGTCCTGGTGGATTTGGATTTACTGTTCATACAATTAGAGTTTATTATGGCGATAGTGACTTTTACACAATGCATCATTTAGTCATGGTACGAGAAAAATTTCTATTCAATTTTTTTTGTAAAGAAACAAAATTACTAAAAATTAATTATAATTTTATAGGCAGTGGATCAATGTAGTCCTGCATTTGAGGCTGGATTAAGACCGGGTGATTTGATAACACACATTAATGGTGAACCAGTTCAGGGCCTTTATCATACTCAAGTATTGCAATTAATGTTAAGTGGTGGTGATCACATAACATTACGCAGTACACCACTTGAGAATACAAGTATTAAAACTGGTGGTAGAAAGCGTGAATTGCAACAGAGTAAAATGGCGCGTAAAACTTTACATAAACAACGAAAGCAGAAACGCGATCATTCGGACAAGAAACGAAAAACATCACTATTCAGGAGAATCAGCTCAAAACGTGCAAGCGTCGAAATGCAACAGGCATGTAGAAAACAAAAAGAGAAATAGACAATCAAATATTTTAATATTGTCGGCACTTTGATTTAATTTTAATTAATCTAATTGTCAACACTTGTTCAAAATGACATTTTTCACAATTCCACTTTTGAATTTTTGCACGTTGTAAAAAAAAAAAGCACAACACTTGCATTGCCAAAAGACAAATTCTTTTTTTCTGTTTTTTTTTCTAATACAGAATTGTGAATCATGATACATGACACTTGTACCTTAGTCATGCTAAGCGCATTTTATCTTTTATTGCAGCCATTAAGTATCAGTTGTCCTTTGTCAGCACCCATTCTACCCAGTGACAGCAAACCTCCACTTATGGTATGATTTATTATTGTGTAAATTTTATCAGTTTGCATTGATTTGCTCAAGAGAGAAAAAAAAAGAACCACAACATTTTTGGCGTGATACTGCTTTTGTACTCACACGCTTTTTGAATTTTACATATTATATGAAAAACAAATTAACATATATACATAAAGACACTATTAATATTGTAAATATTTTCTTCTAAATTATAAAATTTAAAAAGAGAATAATCAGTGTATTTAAAAATAATTTTTCCAGATGGCTGTTGGAATGTGTTCACCATCAATGGTGTCAGCTAGTCGATCATTTCAATCATTCACACGATCTCTTCCAGCTCAACAAGATGCATTTGTTTATTATGGTGGATCATCAAAGGCAACATGTAATCCGTCCTCATCGACTAACCGTCCTAATTCAGAATCATATCATTCTGCCGGTACATCAAGTCCATGTTCAAGTCCAAATTCATCGTCACCAGCGTCGAGTAGTTCCATTGGAAATATGTCAAATATATCAAATCAATCACATTATCAACGACCAAGTACATTACATGGTTTAAAGCATAAACTTCATACGGCTGCTAAAAATATTCATTCGCCAAATCGAAGAAAATCCGTAGGACATATACCATTATCGCCATTGGCAAGAACTCCTAGTCCATCACCAATTCCCGCTAGTCCGACTAGAAGTCCAAGTCCTTTGACATTTCCCACTGGACATCAGCCAGGCAGCTCTAATACAACACAATCTTATAGTCCAGGTAGAAATCTTTTTAATTTTATTTATAAAATTTTAATTTTCATAATTTAATACAATTCTTTTATAGGGGTATCAATGTCAACGCCGAACAATCAGAAAAAAAGTTTTAATCGACCAAAATCGGCAGAACCCGGTTCACCGCTTTTGAGACGTGCACTAAGTCCCGATCGACTTCATCCACGTTCAGCTGAGAATAAAACTTCAATTTCACCATTAGCAAATACTGTAGTTAAAGTTAATCCTCGTGTTACTATTGCGCAAACGTCCAATACAATAGAAACCACCGAAGACACGAGTGATATAATAACAAAAGAAAGTAATGAATCAAAGACTGATAATAAAAAGGCCACGAATGAGCAAAAAGTGACAGCCGATTATACTAAATTAACTCATGGAATATCGATAAATATTGGTAATGTTGTAATGTCAAATTCATGTGGAAGTACACAACTTCCAAGAATAGCTGAAGAAAAAGATTCACCAACTGGTACGAAAAATGATGATTATACGACAAAAGAAATTTACGAAAGTAAAGATGAAACGTCAATAAATAATATTCAAGATGATAATGAAAGTCATCAACGAAAATTGATCAGTAAGGAAGAGTTGCCTGATAAAGAGTCTGTATCGATTGAAAAGAAAAATGATGATGGTAATTCAACAACGAAACTTGATAAAAATATCGCCTGTTCATCATCATTATCATCATCATCAACTTTGTCTGGTACGTCATCGTCAGTCTTTAATAAAAATATTGTAGAAACGAGTCCAGAGTGTAGAAAAATTTTAAAACGTTACAAATTTGAAGGTTTAAGTTTTGGCCTCACTTCCCATGATAAAACGAAACAAGATTCGGGAGAAAACAAGAAAAACAAATAAGTTTGTATTTTTCTTTTGCTTTCTTAATTTTTTTTTTTTTAATTTAATAATTATTATGTTTTGTCACTTTTATTTAGGTGTCTGCGTATTTACAGTTTCAACACAAAATGATTCGATTTTGTTGATAATCTCTAGTCAAACATTCAAGAAAATGCTCTTTGTATTAAATGAAATAGTACGAGAATAAGGAAATTGAAATTTAAGTTATTAATATTTCAAAATTTCAAGTTAATTTAATTTCATTGACGAAGTAATAAAAATAAAGTGTACATTTTTAATTAAAAACAAGTATATATATATATAAATAGACAAAAATGAATTTTCAATTGTCTTATGTAAATTTCAGTTTTTTTTTTTAATTTTTCTCGTACAAAAACTAATTAAACTTATTTCAGCTTTTATTTAATTTCTCGAAGCAACAAAATCTTTTTTACAAAAATTATGAATAGAATTTTTTTCTCATATTTAACATTAAATTCTACAAAAAAATGAGAAAATTGGTTTGTCAAATTTTTATTTATTTTCTGTTTCTTTAAAGAAAAATCATTTTTGAAATAATTCAAGTTTTTTATATTTAAATTTGAATTTAAATATTTCCTTAATCTATTTCAAATGTATTTTTCTAAAGAATCAAAAGAATTTAAATGGAAATTTCCCCTATTTCTTAAATACTGTTTTTATAGTTATAAATTATTATGTTATATTAATCATAATGATTTATTATAATAAATATATAATTATTATTATTATACAATAATTTATGTTTATTATAATTTCATTTTTCCTAAAATTAATATCATATTTGTCAAAAATTTGAAATATTTGCTGAAACAAGTTTAATTAATCTCTTTCAAAAATATGTGAACCAAGATCTGTTAATCCGGAATATATTTTTAAAACAATAAAATTTTAAACAATTAAAACGTGGACTGATGCAGAAAAAGCTTTTAATGCTTGAATGAAAAACGATGGAGATTATAATTGAAAGATTAAACGATCCTTCGAATTTTATGAAACTGCTTTCAGTGCCAATTTATTGATATATCTATATGTGCACGATAAATAATACTATATAATAACTGTCGATGTAACAATAATATTTCCATAAGTTCCACGAAAAAAAAAAAAAAAAAAAAAAAAAAAAAAAATTAAGTAGATGTGTCTACGAAATGTATCAAAAAGTAGAATTTCTACGCTGTAAATATGTAAATGTTTTCATTAAATGCATGTTACAGAAAAATGTCAATTTAAGAAAACTTATCAAAATTTAACATTATTACTTTTAATAACAAGTTCCTAAAAAATAATTTTTATCTCAATATATTATTTATTAAATAATTTAAATAGACAAAACATTTTGCTGTTTTTTTCTCAATATGAAAAAACTTTGTAAATTGATAAGTTTTCAAATAAAATTGACCATTATTCTGTTAACATGTATTTTTAGATGTAAGATTCTTTCTTCCTTTATTCAATATTGTACGGTTAACTTTATAATCATATGTCGTATTTGAACAGTGGTGAGAAAGAATATTCATTTATGTGATTCTTTAATTTAGCATGATTTTAAAAATACTTGTCTTTAAATTTTGAATGACAAAAATTCTCTGATTTATAGAAATTAATTAAATTTGTTTAATTAGAATCTGTCTTTTAAAATTTAAGTGTTTTCTTTGCATTTGTTAATGCGCTGGTCGCTGTATTCTTTATTAGAGAAGTTGTTTTATTAAAAAAAAAAAAAAAAAACATAGTAAGATAAGACATTTTCTTATTATTAAATTAAAAAGGAATTCAAAATTTCTGAGATGCTTAATATTTTACTGTTAAATCAATTTCAATTAAAATTCATTTGTTATTAAAAAAAAAAAAATACCGTTACTATAAATATTTAAATTGTCTGACTAAATATTTTCTTGTTTCAATTAATAAAAATAATTCCTTTTTTAATTGTAAAATATTAGATTATGTTGACGTTTAATTATTTTAAACTAAGACACCACTGAATTAAATAGTGTTAAAATTTAATATTTTTACAATAATAATTATTGTTAAATAATGAAAAATTGTTGTATATATATATATAATTTGATTCGTTATATTAAGTAATTTATAAGTGATAATTTCTCTAAAAGAATTTAAGCTGAGGATTGGTACATTAAAAAAAAAAAAAATTGTTAAGTTTCTAAATCAGAGAAAATTTTTTTGTCAATTGTTATATAAATATGAATAAATTGTTCAAAATATTATTGTCATTCAAGAATTTAAGGAGTTAAAATTTTGTAAACAGAATAAATTTAGTTCTGTTAACATAATTTAAAACTTAAGTACTCTTTCATCGATTATAATGAAGAGAAAATATATATTTAAAGTTCTCAACTTTTGACTGAATTATTTTTTTAATTTAATTTCAGAAATTCAAAAATTATTCATTTTTCGTGTCTTCGTTAAATTATTATTATAAATTACATAATAGTTTTAAAATAAATTATCTAAATTGCATAAGTTGATTTAATTTATATGAGAAGAAAAATACGTCGACATGTTTAGAACTTTAAAAGTATGAAAAACAAAGCGTGCTATTGTTAATAGTAATTTTTTTTTTTTGTTATTTGACATTCCGTCAATTTTACAATTGAGATGCGTAAAATAATATAAAGAGCGGAATGATTCAATATTAAGTAGTAAATATAAAGTAGTTTCAATTGTAGAATGCTGATACAAACGACATTATACATAGCTATATTTTCATTACTTGTTTTTTTTACATTTTTTAAAAAATTTTCCTTTATCTTTAATATATTATAATTATATATATGAAAGACTAAAGAAAATGATTATAGAAAAATGTTGAGAATACAATTACAGAAAATAAATCTATTGTCTAATAAATATAGAATTGAACTTGAAAAAAAAAATTGATTTTTCATCCGAAAAAACTTAGAATATCTTATAACATTTAGAAATATTTCAAAAAGAAAATTAATTTCTGAAAAAAATATTAGAAAGAATAAAAGTTTCCATATAGCTTCATTAAAGAGAAGAAGAGATATCTACGGTACTGTGAAATATTTGTGATGACTTTAATTATATCTATAATAATATTATGTAAATGATTTTTAATGATTTTCAGAATATTTTTGATTTTTTTTTTTTTATGTTAATGTACTGCATTCTACTTTTCTTTTAACATAGAAAGATTAAGACAGATTCAGTGATATACGTATATAATATTGTCGAATGATTAAAAAATATTCTCTCAAAATAAACGTGTTCTAGATGTATTAAATTTTTAGCAATGTAGCATAATAATGTTTATGTTCGTTATCATTTTTCAATTGGCGCAATATATAGAATGAATCCCGTGTTTTTTAATAAAAAAATTATTGAAAATACTAAGATCGTATATTAATATTAATTTTGATTTTTGTAATATAATTTTGTTCACTCACTGGTTGTAGATTTCCCTGATAAATTTACCCTTCCGGAAAAAGTCGTTAATATCCATATAAAATTGCAATTCCATTAATGCACAAAATATATTAAAATTAATTTAAAAAAATCCAATCACTATACACTTATCACTATATCACTTTACAATTTTTTCACTATTATTTTTACTTTTAAATAAAAATGGTAAAGACGATTAACACATTTTTTTTAAAGTTTCTTTTCAGGAAAATATATTAAATTAATTAAAATAGAAAAATCAAGTAATTTTTTAAAATCGGACTCCCGCCAAAAAAATGTTCATACTATATTTCACTTTAAGACACTTTTCACTTCTTATAAACACCTTTGTCATTGATTTTCATGTAAATTTAATTTAATCAAAGCAAAACTTTGCATTTGTTTAATAAATCATTGCTTGGGAATGATTTTATATTAAAAAAATATCGCGAAAAACTGCGAAGTCTTTCATTTGAAAGATAACTGAAAATAGAAGGGGTGGGTTGTCGTCAGCAAAACTATCAAAATTTCCACCAATAAGATTTGAGTAAAGCAGGGTTCAGAAACTAAAATACATGAACTTACGATACATTACGTCGTAACACTGCAACGTCAACATGTCGTCCCGATAAATGTCTACTGCTAGATGTGTTTTGGATATAAACAAGTGTTTTCATCGAAATAGGGTTACAATTTTTTAATTCAAGTGCAAAACAATTATGTGTGCATGCTAAAATGTACTATATTTATATAACAGACTATTGTAAATAGTTTTAATCAACATTATTTGCTGTAAAAGGTATAACCCCACCCTTACATGTCAGAACTCATAACAGTGAAAAGTGTCAAATTTTCCAAGTAAGATTTACATTCAACGAGATATAGAGTCGTATTAATTGTTTCTATTTATTTATTTACGTTTCTCTTCTATTTTGCTTACTTTCTATATTAAATAGCTTAATTTATTTATGGATAATAATGTACATTAAAAATATTGCAACATAACCTTATTTTCTCTTTTTTTTTTGTTAAATTATTGCACATTATTTTTATATATAATATTGCACATGTTATTATATAAAAGCTTTAAAATAGAAATTGCACGTCTAAATATTATAATTGTAGCACAAAATGTTGAATAACTGATTTAAAAAATTTACAGATATGAGGCATAATGAGTTGGTTCGATGCCTCGGGGTTTGCCAGCCTAGCAAAGTCTGCACTTAAAGAAGCTCAAAAAACAATAGATAAAGCTCTGGATATACAAAATGAGGATCAAAAAACGACACAAACAGCACTGCCTGAAATGACAGACTTTTTTGAGACTTGGGGATTGAAAAATGAGGAACAGGCAGAACAAAGTTCCGATCAACCTAGTCAAAAACAACAAAGCAGTATATGGGGAAGTTTTACTGGATCATTCTTTGAAAATCAAAAAATTGACAATCCAGCATCAATAAAGCCAATAAAACATTCGAAATCTCTTCAAGAATCATTCGATTGGAAAATTGAAGAACCTTCCATAACAGCGTCAACTTCATTTTCTGAAAATTTAGTTAACGAAAGTTCCAGTGTATCACAATCAGAAAATTCTAGTTTACCAAAAAAGCATTTAACATCGAAATTAAATTTAATAGCCACAAATGATGAAACAACAACAAATTTTTCATCACAAGAATTACAACATGATAATAAAAAGGATCTTGAGAAATCTTCCCTTAATGATCCAAATTCTGATAGTGAGAAAAAAAATAACGATATTAAAAAATCAGATTTAAATACAATTTATACTTTAAAGAGAATATCAATTATTTCCTGTGAAAGTGATAAGAAAAGTTCAGAAAGTGTTGAAATTCTTGGATCTCAACCAAATACAGATTGTACAACAACTCCTGATTCGGAATTAAATTCCGTTAGTCAATCACTAAGTCTTTCATTACCAGATCCAAAGGTGACATCCGAATCTGTTGAAATCTTACCCGATAGTTTAGTAACATCACCAAGTTCAGTTGAAGTTTTAGGCGATTGGAAAAGTGACAGTAGTCCATTTTTATCACCAACAGAACAAAAACAACTTAAATCTTCATCATCATCTGAAAAAGAATCGAGTGCAATTGATGTATTAAAAGATGTAGAATCATATTCAGATATTTCACCCTACGAATCACCTATGGAAGAAGCAAAAACATCAAGTCCATCATTTGAATCAAAAATAATTGAAAATTCATTAAACATTAAAATAGAAAAAAAAATTTCCCCCGACAGTGTTGAAGTTATTCCCGATGTTGATGAATCAGATGAATTAAGTCTCGCTGAAGATTCTTATACATCAGCCTCTGAAACAACTGTTATGACAATTCTCGAATCAGCAAAGTGTAAGAATGAATCAAATTTAAATTCCATTCCCGATGGTCATGTGTCGATGAATTCAAGTGTTGAATATCCCCTCAATATAAGTCTTGATTCATTAAAGGAAAAACATAATTTACATTTACCATTGGAACCAATAACAACACAACCAATAATAAGAAAAATGGAATATCTTGAATCGGTGAAAAATAATGCTGAATTGGATCCTTTTGAACAATTGAAAAGTTCAACAATTGAACCAGCCGAGCCAGAAGTATATGAAGAAAATATTTCAAATTTAAAGACTGAAAGTGCAGAAGTGCCTGATCAATATTTGATGTTGACTGATTCAAGTTGTGAGGGTACTTTAATTGAAAGTAGTTCTGAGGATAATGCCACATTAATTGGAACAAATGAAACAAAAATTGCCGAAGCACCATTGACTTCCAGTTCTTATGTGAAATCAATGTTGGCCGATGCAATGTATGAAAAAAGTGACAATAGTGACAATGAAAGACATTGTGTTGAAGTGCCGAGGGAAAATTCGCCTATTTCTTCTGAAAGGTATTTTATTTTTACTATTAAAAAATAATTACATTAATTAGGATTTTAATAAGAAAAATTAGTAATCAAATTTATTATTTTAGTCGTTCAGATTTAGTAAAAATTGGCTCGGATCAAACCAGCGGACACACGTCCGGAGATGAATTAGAAACAACAACTTCCAGTGATATTGAAATAATATCCAGGTATATTTTTGCAAAATTGAAGAGGAAATAAAAATACTTTTTAATTTGAATAAATATTTTTAATTTTCATTTTATCAATGTTTTTACAGTCCAAATGGCGATTCAAGTTCAACTCAATCGCGACAAAGTCCAGCGAAATTACATTTAAATAAAAGTAGTGATCTATTAACAAAGGCTTTGAAAACAAGAGGACATTCACGTGAACTCAGTGAAATAAGCATTGGTTCTGATGATACAAATTTAGAAATTGAAAAATTATTAAAACGCATTCAAGAAATGACGGAAATTCTCGAAGCTCGAGAATCGAAACTTATTGACGTCAGTAGAATGAACATGGATTTACACGATCAAAATAACAGTCTCAAAAAGTATGTTTCTTTCTTTTTCTATTTTTATTAATTTATATAATTTTTTTTAACTAATTGTTTTTAAATTATTAGACAATTGGATAATGTTGAAAAACACGTGGAACAAAATCAAGATTTAACGCAATTAACAGACGAATATACACAACGACTTTCGGCATTGGAGAGAAAATTTCAACAGGCTATTCGTGATCGTGATTTACTTAGAAAACATTTGGAGCAATTGAAACAGGAGACAGCGACACGACTTTCGTCTATGGAAATGTCATCGATTAATGCTGAGAAAGATGAAGTTATCAAGGAATTACGCGAAGAGGGAGAAAAACTCAGTAAACAACAATTACAGCATAGCAATATTATTAAAAAATTACGAGCCAAAGAAAAAGAGAATGAGTCGACTTTAAAAAATCAAAAGTAAAAATTTATTTTCTAATTTTTGTTTTATTAAAATCTAATTTATTATAGCGAAAATATTTTTAAAAAAATTTTAGAGAACAACTTGAAGAACAGGGTTTAGAATTGGACAGACTGAAGCGATCGCTTCATGCAAAAGAAGAAGTTGAAAGAAGTCAAATCGAAGCTGTCCATTCATTGACAGCTAAAATTAAAAAACAAGAAAAGGAGATTTTGAGTTTGCAGGAAAAATTGGATCATTCATTAAATAAAATGGATGTTTACAAAAAAAGTCTGGATGCTGCGAAAACGTTAGTTTAATTTTAGTTTATTTTTAACATTCAAAAAGGAAACTTAAAACTTTTTCTATTTCAGGGAGCTTTCGGATACGAAGCAAAAATTGGAATCTTCAGAAGAAGAATTAAAACACGCCATGGACACCGCTGGCGATTCTTGTCAACTTTCAGCACAAGTTGAAGATTTAAGAATAAAATTGCGCCAAATAGAAGAAATTCACATAAAGTAAATTTTAAACAATAAATTTTAAAAATGACAAAAAATTTGAATTTTATAATCGTTTTTTTTTTCTCTTAGGAAAGAAGAGACATTAAAACAAGAAAATTTGGAGCTATTAAAGCGCTTGGAATTATCAGAAACAAGAAGTGAAGAAATTTCCGAATCGGTTTCTTCAGCGACAAAACCATTGTTACGACAATTGGAACAATTACAGGCAAATCTTTTACAAAAAACAAATACCTTTATGAAACAGGAGAAAATTATGTCGGAAAAAATAATTGAACTTCAAACAAAATTGGAAAATTTAATTGAACAAGATCAATCATTAAAAGAAGATAATTTAACATTGAAATCACGTGTTTCTACATTAGAGACAAAACTTCATGTTAAGGAACAAGATCGCGTGAGACTTGATGATTTAACAATTGAATTGAAACATAATAATGAGAATATCATTGAAGAAAATATCAAGTAAATACATTTTTTATTTTTGTTTTTATGTATTATTTGAAATATTTTTATTTACCGAAATTTTCAGATATCAAGAAACAATAAAAATGATGGAACAAACACATGTGAATCAAATTAAAGAATTGAAACGAGAAATTAATTCATTGGAAAATAAATTGTCAATGGAAAAAGCAGCAACTGATGCGGAGAAAAGGAAAAATAATGCAATTATTGAACAACAACAAAGTGTGGAAGAAGAATTTAGATTAAGTCCAACATTGAGTATTGAAAGGGATTCTATGAGCAGCGTCAATAGTATTTGGCCAGTGGTAAATTTATTTTTCAAAAAAGATAATGAAAAATTTTTCATCGCAGAAAAATATATCAATATTATCATATTTATTTCAGTTTAATGATCCAATGTTTGACAGTAGTTCTGGAAGATTTCCAAATGTTTATGAAAGTCTTCGAGCAGGTTCGAGTAGTACGTCAGTTTTTGAAAATTTACAAGCACAGTTAAAACAACGAGATGGTTTGTTCATTTTCTAAGATTATTTCTTAACTAATTAATTTTTATTTATTTATAATATTAAATTAGAATAAATATTATTTTAGTAATTTTTTTTTCTCCGCAGGTGAGATACAACAATTACAATGGGAATTGTCGCGTAGAAATGCCGAGAGAGATACTTTAAATTTAGAATTATCTTCATTATCATTGAAAGTCGAGGAATTAAATTCAAAAGTAATTGAAGTTGAGGCATTAAATGAAAATTTAAATGACATTCAAACCAAATATGACGCTCTTTTACAAATGTATGGTGAAAAAATGGAGGAGAATGAGGAACTTCGATTAGATTTGGAAGACGTCAAAGAAATGTACAAGACTCAAATTGATCAACTTCTCAAAAGAGAAATCTAAGAAAAAAACAATAAAAAAAGTCTTCTTATGACTGAAATTATCTATAATAATTGTTAGAATTTACAAAGAAACTAAAAATCAAAAAAAAAAAAAAAAGTTAAAATTTAATTTCAAATTCTATTTTTTGTTGAAGATTTCTGAAATGTTCATATTTTAATCTAATTCTAAGTTAAATTTATAAATATAATTAAAAATTATATTATAAATTAATAACAATTGCAATTTATATTTTAAATTCATTTTTAATAACTAATATAATAAAAATAGTAAAAACAAAAATAATTAAATAATCAAGTTGTTTGGAAAATATACTAATATCATATTATAAAATTAGAGAAATTGTACAAATTCTTTGAAATTTTCCAAATTTATTACGTTCCAGAAATCTCTAAATTCATCATTTAAAAAAAGTAAATAATTTTGTAAATAGAAAAATATTCTGCAAATATCTATCTTCGTCTTGGGTGCGTGTAATATTTAAAAAGTATTAATAGCTAATATGTAAAAATTTATACTACCTTTGCATATATTTAAAAATTGTAGATATGCTTTTTATAAGTGCAGATGTACGTTACATTTTATGGATCTTGGAAGTGACAATTTACGGTAAACATCACTTTTCATTGAAAATATTTAAACTAGCTCCAATTATTGAAAGATAAATATCTTTAAACTCATAATCCAGAATAGCAGTAAATCACTTTTGTAATTTATTGTTAACTTTTAATTTAAATTTTTACATTATATTTATATAAAAATTTTATCGTATTCTCTTTTTTAAAAAACCGCGATCCGTGATAGAATATTGTAGAAAAATCGACTTTTGTATAGATATATTAAAAAAAGGCGAATTTTATTATTTTAGAATTTTATTGTATATATTAAAGTTTAATTTTATGTATATTAGAAAAAAAATTATATATTTAAATTGGAAATTTAAATTTTTTTTTTAATTATCAAAGGCTGTTTTTTTGAGAAAAAGAAAGATACTTTGTAAGGGTGTGGGGAGGAATATCTTGTGATATTGATTGTACTATATGAAAAGAATCTTTAAAAGTATGGTTAATAAATTTATTTCGAATCAATCATATTGGAATCAATATAATTTTTCATATATTGTTGCCTCCGTTGAAATAATAAGGTTACAGTTGTTTTTAAATTTCATAAATACATAAAATCACAATATTTTTCTTTTTTATAATTCATTATTATCTATTGCTTTTTTATTTTTTTGTTAACAGAAACAAAAATTGTTAGCAGTGGAATTTTTCGCTTAAATAAAAATTAAATTTGCAATTAATATTGTCAAAACAAATTTATATATTAATCAGTTTGTACGTTACTAAATTGTTATGAATTTATCAAATTAATTTATTGCTTTTATTAATAATAGAATAATATTAGCTAATTTTGTCAGCCCTTGTTTTTATATATTAATCAAAATTGAACTTTCCACTATTTTTATTTTTATCAAGTTAAATTAATGAAAACCGAGGAGATTGATAATTTTATTTAGCTATTTTTATAGTATTTGGATGAATGTTAAGGGCATTTTTTTTTAAATATTATTTCGAGATTTCCTTTTTCAGGCAAACAATATTTTCTGAATAAAAAAAATATTTTAAATAGATTACTACAGCTATTGTAGACTGTGTCGAACTGTTCAAGTTAACATTTCACTCTTGATTATAGGATTGAAAGACCCCTGAACAGTCGGTCTAAACCTATAGTTATTTTTAGCAATGTTAAAGTAACAAAAAAAAACCGATTGAGCGAATTTAGAAACACCAAAAAAATATTTATGACATTTAATTGGAATACACTCAGGAATTAAATTTACTTTAGACTAACTTCTAATTTAATGTGATTTTTAACAACTGCGCTTATGTAATTGAATGAGCAGTTTTATAAAAAAAAAAAGGAAAATTACTTTTTTTTCTATTTCAGAAGCTTTTTGCTGATTTGCAGGTGATTTCAAATTTTTTAAAAAATATTTTATTCAATAGAAGAAAAATTCTAACTTGACAAACATTTTTAAAAATTGTTTTAAATTAAAATTATAAAAAAATGTGTTTATTATAAGGATAATTATTAATTAAGAAATATATTTCCATCGTGAACAAGAGATTTATTCTCTAAATTTGAAAAAGAAATTCCAGCCAAATTTTAAATGTGCAAAGAAAAAATAAAAAAATCTTTAGGAAGTAAATAAAAATTTCCACACAAATCAGCAATTCTGCATTCATCATTGAATTTAAAAAAAAAAATTAAAATTAAAAAAAAAAAGTATCCACCCGGATGTAACGACACAACTAGCAAAATATGCTATGTTTACGAAACCAGTTTCGTCGAATAATCATCGCCATTCCCATCGCTTTATATAATCGCTAACATTCCATATAACATATTGTATTGCATTTAATTTTACATATTACTTAAAAAATAATAATAAATTTTCCAATTATTTTTTTCTTCATCTTCTTTTTCTTCTGTGTAAATAATACTAATTTTAAATAATCATTAAAGACATTATTTTTACAAATTAAATTACTTTCGAGATTTTGGAAAATCAAATTTTTTTTGAAAAAATCAAAAATGTTTAAAATTAGAGATCTGATGACATTTTTTTCCAAAATTGCTGTATTATTGTCAAAGTGTAATTTTTATTATTAGAAGAAATTGAAATTTTTATTATTATTATTAGTATTATTGAACAATTAAATAATAATTTGTTAGAGATGGAAACACATCAATAATTTTATTTTTGCGATTTACTTTATGGCGATGTCAACTACTTTTTTTTTATTGTTCCTTGGATCAATGATCCTTGGAATTGCGCAAGCTCTCAGCGCGCTTCAACCGTTTTTTTTTTTTTTTTTTTTTTTTGTTTTTGTTTTTTTGAGATAATCAATTAAGAATTTTTTACCTCTCTTAGAGCGGTTTTATATTCAGCTCTCATGAGATATTCCATCTTAGGAGCACGGGTTAAACCTTGTTTTTTAGCCCGTTTTTGTTTTTGTTTATATAGTAGCTCTTCTCCCAGGTGTTAAATAGGCATTTTAGCACCCTAATCGAACAGTAGTTTGCCTCAACGAAGAGTTTTATTTTGGTACGAGATTGAGTACCATGTGGAATAAGTGTTAAGCCAATAGCGCGATTGCGCCATTTTCCATTCGCTCAAACCCATGGAGTCCAACCTTCGTACAGAAGGGCCAGATTTTCGGAGCTTTGTGCCTCGCGAATCACATATTCCACCTGTTCAGCTGTTGTATATTTTCTCGATGGATTTGGATCGCGTCCTTCCAATTTCATTCTCACACGACGCCAAACATTCAAGGCATACGCATTCCTCTCTTGTACAGCTGCAATTAAAAAAAAAACAAAATTAGAGTTTTTTTTTAAATAAAAAAAAATTGTTACCTTTTCCTGTGGTTGGATCTCTGACCAATGGAATTCCCTTCCTGGGACTGAGACACACACTATCCTGTCTAATAAGCTTTGCCTTCCTCGACTCAATTGCTTTTGTCGTCACTTTTTGTTCATTTGCGAATTCAAGAAGTTCTTCATACAAGGCTGGCATTTTTGCTGCTAAATTCTCCAATTCACCTTTTATAGCAATCGCTCGCAATGAATCAAGATTTTCCGATTCTAATTCCTTAACAATGGACGTGATACTCTCGGTGAATGATCGATAGGTTATTAAAAATTCCTGTAATCCAATAATATTTTCCTGTTTTGCCATTGTTCGCAATAAAACACGTACGTCGCTCATTAATCGATGATGTTCAGCGAGTACACTTTGTAAATTAACAACTTGTTCTCTTAAACATTCATGTATATTAACAAGTGCATCTTGTTTATCTTGTAATTTTTTTTGTGTATCAATAATTGCCTCGGAAATAACTTTTTCAGCTTGTCGCAACCAATTTGCATCCACGGTGTTATCCAATTGTAATAATAATTCCACGAGGCTTTCTTCAATCATCGTCACTGTGATTGTTAAATTCATTGTTAATTTACAACTTTCTTCCCAATGTTTCACTAGTTTGATAAAATTATTATCACTCGTTACACTTTCCGATGTTCTTGTTCTCAATGCCTCATAGTGTAATATTGAATTACAAGTATTGACTATCATTGCAGCTAAATTATGTTGTCGTGTGAGTTTTTCACAAGATGTCAAGACAGCATTGTCAAATGCCGACATTACTTCACTGAGTGCTGGATTCGCTCCAGCGGCCCATTTTAAACGTTGAATTGCACTTGCCACCAAATTTTGTTGTTGTTCCCTTGCTTCACAAACTCGTGATTGTAAAGCAGTTAAAGCTGATGCGGCTTTACGCAATTCCAACATAAATGTAGGTCGATCTGTAAAGCAAAATTATAAATTAATAAAAATTCTAAAACAATAAATCTAGTTTACTTACTGAGAGGATTTAGTAGATTTGATCGTAGCAATAAACTATCCTCGTGTAGCCAATGATGAGCTGTTAATTGTAATTGAAGCCGCTGAACACTTGCTCTTGTGATTTCAACACTTTGTTGAGCGAATTTTGAACTTTGCTTCCTACGCCAAGCACTCTCAAGTGTATTGCTCAATGCACTCGCTTGTGTAAGAACCGATCCAGAGAATAAATTCTTTTTCAAACACAAATCAACCAATTTTCTACAAAGTTCTTCAAGAGAAACTTTACTTTCAGCTCCCACATCGCGTTGTTCAATTTCAGTTGTTACATTCAAACCCATTCTCTGCAAAAGGAAACACAATGCAATAGCCAATGTTTGTGATGTCATTCCCAATAATTGTCTCGATACATAATCAGCGGTAAACACACGAACTGGTTTATTAAGTCTCTCATCGTCATGAACATTCGCCAATCCACCTTTAAATGCCGTTGCTGTATCACGACACATAATGAAAAATTCCTGAATTGTATGTAAACGTTTAATAAGAAATATATCATCCAATACGCCACGTGCAGTTTCATTAAAAATAGGCGCCGCCATTTCTTTAGCTTCACGAATTTGATCAATTTTCTTCCAACTCGTTGGTATATCAAGACTACTCAATGCCGTTACCAATGTATTACCTTCCATTTGTAATTTTTCAAAAAGACCATTAAAACCCATCAATAACATTTGTCCAGGCGTTAAAGTTTCATCTTGATTTAATTCCTGCGCCTCAGCTGGTCTCGAAAGAAGTGTTTCAAAACGAAGTCTCATATTGGCAACAAGATTTTGTACTATCGCATGAGGACTATCCATTTCCATAACAGTGAATCTTAAATGCATTTCAAGTTGAGCGAGAATTTCACCCAATGGAACACCAACTGATAAAATAATCTCATCAAGTTCATTAACCATTCTCATCACTGTTGATTCTTCAATAATTATTGTCTTCATTGCCTCAGGTAAAATAATCGTATGAAAATTATAATTCAATTCTTGAAGACCCTTGTAAATAAAATCTGCATTCTTGAGACATTTAAGAACAAGAGGAATTTTTACATCGTTATTTGATTTATGATTATCAGGAATTAATGTCACAAGTTCTGCAATCAATGAAGACATCAATCTCATTTCATCAAGGAACCAATCACCTTCTCTTGATGTTAAATCAACGAGACAATCACTAGCACATTTTGCCGCTCCCTCCATCATTAAATATCTCTTATTTAATGCACACAAAGCAGTGATAATCACACATTCCAAAGATTTTTCCGCTCCCTTTTCACGTCTTAAAAATGTACTAATTTGTGATTTTGATTCTGTATAATTCTTCTCAATTGTTACCGAAGCTTCGGGCAATCCTTCTGCAACCATACGTTGAAAAGCCTTTTTAAATCTCTCATTCGAATCATTTAGATACGCTTGCATTTGATATGAAAATGCAATAATAGGTTGAACCTGAGAATTATTAGACACATCAACCTCCAATTGTGCAATCACCTCCTGACATGTTTCAACAGTACCAGTTATTAATAATTTATTCGACCAATTATGATACGCGACTGTTCGATGTTGTGCCATCATTGAAATTGGATAAAGATTACAAATTGCCGAATATTGACTCAAAAGATCCAAACAATTACGAATCATCATTAATTGTTGCATTGCCAATTGTGTCAATTCATTTTCTGATTGTTCACATTGAACAATCATTTGACTTTGTCCTGCATTTTGAAGGAATTCCTTCACCAAATCAAAAACAAGATGATCCTCTTGATTTGCTGGATTACCAACTTCCGCCAACCATTGACCCAATTGTGAACCACGTACAGCTGTTAAAGCAATCTGGAAATAATAAATAATAAATAAAGTATTTAAATTTTAGCTAAATGAAAAAAAAGAGGACAAAAATCAATTACATTATGCATGTTAATTTGTTTCTGACATTCGTCTATTTTTTCCTTTAATCCAACTTTAGCTTTCTCAAGGGCATCCTTTGTTCTTTTATAAGTATTATAACGTTTGATAACTGAATAAATAGCATGATTTCTCCCCATTGCTTGAGCTTCTTTAACGAGCGCTAATTGTTGATGTCGATCTTGTAATAAACCTTGACATTGTTGAGTTGCTTCCGTTGCTTCCATCCAATTGTTTAAATGATGACAGAGCAATGGAAATACTTTCACCAATTCCTCTCTATAGAAAAAAAAAAAATTATTTTAATAAGAAAACGACTAAAAAATCATATTTATATATAAAATATATTAAATGAAAACTAAATATAAATAAAAACTATTTTTTATGTGAAAAATTCTTTCAAATGAAAATTTAAAAACAAAAATTTAATAAATTTGGAAGCAAAAATGAGCTAACCGATTTGCCAGCCATTCTGAGCGCATTTCAGTGGTTCTAACTGCAAACATTGCTCGTGTAAGTTCAACTTCCAATTGTTTTCTTCCAACACCGGTGCATCTTGCTCTTGCTTGACAAGCGCCATAAGTAGCGATACTATTATCAGCTCCTGCCCTCCAATCCACTAATGGATCATAAACAAAAGCCTCCAATAATGTGAGAAGAGTTTCACGACCTCGACGCATCACTCTCAATGTATGTTCACATGCCAATCTGAATATACCCTGCAAAATAAAAAAAAATATATATATATTATCAAAAGAACAAAATAAATTACCTGAATTACCAATTAACTAAAAATTAATTTTTTATTAATGATATTAATATTAATAATATTAGTTATTTGTAATAATTGTAATAATTTTAATGTATTATATTATTTTCCCATATGTATGTTTAATAAAAATTAGGATATTTATCATTCTAAAAATGTTATACGATCCTCATTAACGGGGAATCCACACAGAGAAAATCAATGAAGTTTGCGTGTTCTACTTTCATGAGAGGATAGGTACTTGTTATTAAAAAAAAAATATAATAATAATAAAAGAAAAACTTAATCAACGATAGTATACTAATCTATTCTAGAACAAACTTTTTACCATCAGAATAACTTGGTAAATAACTCGTTTACCATTACAAAAAAAAAATATAAGATATATTTTCATAAAGTTGTTAATAATTAAACAATAATTTAATTTTTAATTTCTCTATTAGTCTTTTTTCTCATTAAAAAGATAAAATAAATTCGATTTAACGGTTATAAGTAGATAACCAGATGCTCGATGAATCAAATAGTGATGATAAGTAACGTATACCCCACCACTAAAAGAAATATAAACAATTATTATTGATAATTTTACCAGTTTCCCACGAATATCGTCAGATTTATCGCTAGATCTCAACACTGTTATTCTGTTATTCATAATCGTAAGTTTCTCAAATTGTAAATTTACAATTATTTCATTATTATTCATTATTATTTATTATTTATTTAATTGCTCTTTATTTTATAATTTTATAATAAATAATTTTCTAAATAAAATAATAATAACAATTTTTCTAAATAATTTCCAAAATAAAAATTTAAATAATCACATAGTGTTGAAATTAAATTAAATTTTGCAGAAAAAACTAGTGGCAAAAAAAAAATGGAAAAATTTTTGGGCTATATTTAATGTGACTGTATAAGTGATAGAAAAACACAAGGAAACTTTTAATGGGTGAGTGAATTAGTGATTCAAAAACCAGTTTTAGCCACTTATACATCAATTATTATTTGAAGTAAATTCCAAGTTTCACCTTTAGTCCCAAATCGTCATCAGACAAGAATAGTTTCATTAAAAATTGTAAGGATGTAGAAAAAAATATATTAAAATGTTTTTTTTTTTTTTGTTTGTTCTTCAGTATAGAGAGAAAGGGAAATAAATATTTATTATGACTTCAATCAATGGACCATAAATCAGAGACAAAGAAACATAAATGTCTAACAAATTATGCAAATTATTATAATTTTAATATGAATATTTTGGGACCAACAAAGTGATATCGAGAACACAAAGTAAGTAACAAAAAATACATAATTTAAAAAAACAAAAGACTTCTAAATTATTTTAATAAAATTTATAAATATTTTAGATTTAATATTTAAAAATGGAGGATATACTTCGGAATTATTCAACAAAAATGGCAAATAATTCAACAACAAAATTACAAGTTCTTATTTTACCAGGAAATGCTATTTGTTGGGCAATTATTGATGTTTTATTATTTTTCCTCATTGTCTTTGGCAATGTCTTAACGATACTTGCAGTAAAAATGAGTCGTCGTTTACGACACGTTATATCAAATTATTTAATAATGAATCTCGCTATTTCGGATCTTTTAGTTGGTTTAACATTACCATATCATTTAGGATTTTATTATAGTGAATCACTTAATAAAACAGAAGCAACATGTATTTTGAGATTTGTTTTAATTAGTTTAGCATGTTGCGCTAGTGTTTTTAATGTCAGTGCAATTGCTATTGATAGATATATTGCAATTATTTATCCATTCAATTATTCCACACATATGACATTAAAAGTTATTTTTCATATTATTGCAATTGGTTGGATTATATCAATAGCCATTTCAACAATGCCAGTTTATTGGCATAATTTTGATTCTACATTTGTCTGTGAACTAGGAATTGTACTACCAAGGTAAAAAAAAGTCCTTTAATTCTTTTTTTATTTGATTTCATTTTTTTTTGTAATTCTTTCTTTTATTTAGGTATTATGTGGTTGGAATTTTAACACCAATATTCTTCATAGTTTGGATAAGTGTATTAATATTGTATCTAAAAATTTGGAAAGAAACCAATATACACGTGCAGAGATTGAAAATAAATGGAGTTGACAAGTCAAATTCTAGGGATCGAAAAAATATTCAGGTGAGAAGAAGAAAATGGAAAACAAAAATATAAAATAAAATTTATATGTGTTTATAAATTTCAGGTGGTTTTTTTAATAGTTGGCTGTTTTTCAATTTGTTGGCTACCTTATTTAGGTGTTGCTTGTATTCGTGCTTTTGATTTCTATAAAAAATCAACTCCAGTTTTGTATAAAGTTACATTTTCATTGGTAATGGCTAACAGTGGAATGAATCCAATGATATATGCATGGAAAAATTCAAATTTTCGTAAAGCATTTCAAAGATTGCTACATTTTGAATCACCAAATCATGATGATTTTAATTCAAGTTTAAAGCATTATTTAAGAAAACAAAGTGAATTATTGGGACAGCAAAAAATTCAAAATGACGATATCAGTAAAACAACACAGGACACTGTGCTACAAACAATTTACGATAATTGCACTTTTAAATCTAATCGATCATTAGAAATGACTGTACTCTGAGATTAATCAGTATTATCTTTTATCAAATAAATTGAAAAAAAAAATTCTCTTTTATTAAATTAAAAATTTGAAATTTTCTTTCATTAGATTTAAAATTATTAAAATATTTAATATTACCTCAACTCCTGTGACGCCTAAAGCTGTTTTAATGTTTGGAGTCATTCGGAAAGGTACTTTTTCAGGAACTCTTAAAGTTTTGCCTTTTTCAAAACAAACATTATAATCGATATGAACAACTTCACCAGTATTCAAATCCACGAGAACATTGTCCAAATGCCGATCACCCAATCCAATGATATAACCAATTATTGACATCACAGCAACAGAATAGGAATAATTTTTTGTCGCTTGCCACCAACTTCCTGCATTAATACTGTTGCACCAAATTTCCCTATAATTGAAGAAACAAAATTGGAATAAAATAATTTTTGAGTTTAAAATAGAAAAAAAAAAAAAATATAAAACTTACTTTGCCAACAAATCTTTCGGTGTTTCCGCCATTAATTCAGATAAAACTTGTTTGAGTACTTGAAGAGGCCATTCCTTTCTACTATCCAACGAGATTCCTCGCTCCTTAAGCAGTGGTGTTAATTTACTGTAAAACAAATCGGAGGGTCGTAAAATTGTACAATTACTACTTTTATTAATCATTGAGCTCTCTCTTTGTTGCCATCTTTTGTATAATGCAAAAAGTGGCGTAACACCATCGACCCATTGAATTAAACCCGAACGTGGACCCAATGGAATAACAGAATAATGTCTCGCTCTATAAACTTTTTTTGTATCACTATTCTTTGACATCATTGTATTGCAAATACTCAAAAATTGCATAATTCTCTCATCAAGATGAAGATCCTCTAATCCTTTAAAAAGATAAGTATAAACATGACCATCAGATCCATGAAAAACAAGTTTCTTTGGTTTTGTTTTAGTTGGTAAAATTTGAACATTATTATCAACAGAACGAATTGTGACTATTTTATTATTAACCATATTCACACCAGGCATGGCAATACAAGTGTCTTTTAAATTAGCAAGTGTTGGACTAATATCCGTCATTAATAAAGAATGAGCTCCTCTTTTATGAACTCTTTGTGCTAATTTTGCCTCAAGTTGCTTCAATGGCAATGCAACCATTTGTGGTTTTGCTGGATTTTTCGGATTCTTCATTTTATTAATCACCTTCTCAATTGACGGTACAAATTTCTCTTGAAACATTTTCTCATGTGGCGTCTCAGCCGTCACCGATGTCATTGATAATAAATTCTCCAAAATAAAAACAATTGGTCGTAAAATAATTCGATGTTTCTCGGCAATTAATTTCTCTTTATCTTCAGGTGTCAACCAAATATTATCCTGTACACGTTGTACTTCCAATTCCAATTGTTCAAATCGTTTAGAAATTTCCGAATGATGTTGAAATAATGTCGCAAGCCACAATTCATCCCACAATAATGTAATTCTTCGTAATTCTCTAACGAGAATTTTAACTTGTATCACCGAGTCTTGAATTCGATTTGATAAACAATCGGCAAGTTGTAAAAAGCAATTATCCATGAAAGTTTGATTAACATCCTGATTGTGTTCATTTTCCTCTTCTGAAAATTCAATTTGTTCATTTTCCGAATCATCGTCAAAATTTCTTTTTGACACAGCGCCCACAACAGCTGGAAATGTTATTAAATGTGGTGAATTCTCAACAACACGACAAAGTAATTCAGAAACACGTGTACGAACATAAGCCTCAGGATGACTTAATCTTGAAAATAATTGTGGTATAATTTCTTTCCATGGCGCAGTTGGTGTTGTTGATAAACCCGATTCAAGAACATTTTGCAATTCCAAAGCATGTTTTACAATAAGTCGCAATAATCTCAAAGTCGCCGTTATTGTTGCACAATCATTCGTATCTTTTTTCGCTAATTGTAAAAATTTAAAATAAGCATTCGCCGATAATTCATAATATGAATAAATTCGTTTTTGTGCTTGTCGCCAAATTTCCACCAACATTGACAAATGTTCACTATTTGCATGACATAAAATTGAAACATTTCTCAATTGATTTTCAATCATTTCCGATGTATTAATAATATTCATGTCAATATCGCCCTCATCTTCGGGAATTGTTTTATTTTGACTTAAAATTGAAAAAATTGCTGTTAAATCATTTTCGGAAATTTCCACCGGTAATAGAGAACGAATACTTAATTTATCAGCATCAGTTAATTGTCCTGAATTAGAATTGTCCACCATTTTTTTACCCCATTTATAACACCAAGCTGCAAAATTACACCATGCAAGTGGTAAATCAGGACATTGATTTAATCCAAGTTGCATTAATTTACCAATTATCATATCTGAAATGGGAATTAAATCTGTTGTTTTTCCAAATAATTTATCCATTAATCCATCATTGTGCAGTGATTCAAAACTCAATAGTTCTTGTAATTGTGAATTTTCATTTATTTTCGTATCCTGTTGAATCCATTTACCAAGTGTCATTAATAATTTTGTTCCAGTTTCACGTAATTCTGTTGATTGTTCACCATTGACAATTGCCTGCGATATTCCTAATGCGGTAACACTGCAAATTTTTAACGCATCCTCTGTATTTTCCATGCAATAAAGCAATTTTGACATTTCACGAAATGCCCGCATATTATTCTTTGTCCACTTGACACGCAATGGATTTGTTAAAACATTCGTTACAATATCGGAAAATAGACATTTTTCAATAGTACTTGGAAATAGATCTTCCTGTTCGGTTTTAAAATAACGTATAATTTCACGTTTGGCAAGATTAAAATTCCCCTCTTTACGAGCACTTCGAATGACATGTAAACGTAAACTACCGACTTCTTCATTCGATTCAATATTATTGATTCTTGCAAAATAATCCGACCACCAGAGAATTTGTGTTAATGTACTAGTATTGAGATAATTAATTTTATCAGCCTGTGAGAGTTGAAAAACATTTAATTGTTTCCCCGATAAATGACTAATTAAACCGGATGCTGAATATTGCATTAAAATTGAATCATTGAGATATTCCGAAGGAACGTTACGAAGACCTTCTTCCATTGTCTTCGATGCGAAACTTCGACATTTTTCAATATCTTGAATAAAATCTTGTTTATCATCAACACTAATTCGAAGAGCGATATTTGTTAATGTATTCGAACATTCGTTCATTGTTTTAACACAACTCCAATTTGTTTTTGCCTCTTCATCCAATAGAGCCCAATTTGTAAGTTCATCAAGTACAATTGTTTCACCTTCTTCGAATTTTTTTAAACAATTTGCTTGTTGTATAACAATATTCTTCATTGTTTGTTTTCCATTTTCTCGATTTGAAAACTTCATTTCTTGTTGTTTCCATTTCTCAAGTTGTGTCCAATCACTAACTGAACGATAACATTTAACCAATTGCTGTGTACAAAAAGTCATAACTTGATTACTATCTCCGGATTCGATTTTTGTACATTTAGAATCGTCATCTTGTTTCAAAAATTGTTCCTCTAGTAACAATTTATAATTTTCTGCTGCAACCTCATGACGTCCTGCAGCTTCTTCAATTGTTGGTTTTAACCACGAGAATTTTCTCTCTCTCTCCTTTGTATAAATATACAATCCTTGAAGCGCTTCAGCTTCACCGAGTTTCACCATTGCTTGAGCTACACACAAAGTAGCTCTTTCAAATTCCGCTCCATGTATATTATCAGCATTACTTAAATCATCCAATAATCGTTGTCCATTACGCAATGCATTCGTTGCTAAACCCGAATGAAGTGAAACAACACACAATGCAAGTCTAATTCGATTTAACCATTCGCGGCATGTTTGACGATTTGTGTGAAAAAATGTTCTTACTGGTTTTGAATGTGGTAACAATGCCATTGCACAACCATCGGCTGCATTGTGAATTGCTCTTTCAAGATGTTCTAAAAATTCAACAAGCAATCGTACACGCGTGTGTTCATGTAGAATTTTATTTAATTCAAGTTTATCACTGATTTTTGTCATTTCTGTATTGTACGATATTTCTCTAGCCAATGTTTTTAAAGCACTTTCAATTGTTGTAAAAGTTTCCTGTGGTTTACCAAGTGGTGTTCGCAATTTATTTGTGATACAATGTTGTGCTGCCTCGAAACCACCCCAAAAAAATAGAAACGAACAATTTGCTAAAGCAATCTCTGATATTTTCGCAACAGTCTCATTGTCAGATCTGAAAAAATTTTTAAATATATTAAAATCATATTTTTAACGAAAAGAGAAAAGTACATTGTTAAACTTACATAGTTGGCCAACATAGTGTGAACATTTCTTTCAAACTTAAAGCATCAAAATAGTATTCTTGCAACAAAAATGCCATATAAGTTTTGAAATATTGAGCCTGCATTTCGCCATTATTGCTACGCATATGTATTCTTTGAGCTAGTGTCAATGATTCAAGGGAATAATTCCGAATTTGTCTGGATCTCTAAAAAAAAATAATTTTAATGTAACAAATTTTAATTAATTAAAAATTAATTTTTAATTTGACAACAAAAAATACCTTCGTTTCCGAGAGAAGAGTTTCCTTATTCAATTTTGGAATAACAATGTTCAGTGGAACATTCATCAATAAACGTCCATATTTTTCACGTAAATTTTTATCCAATGAAGTCGAATGCAATATAATTAAATCAACAATTTCCATATAAATATTCTCCGGCCATGTTATACCCTTTGCACTGAATAACATTTCAAAAATATTACACATTGCTGATGAAATATCATGATTAGTTGTCGCTGCACACTTGAGTAGACTGGAAATAATATTTTGAAATTCTTCCGTTTTATTAAGAATAGCAAGATAATTGTCCGCTTGAAGGCATATTTCTTGCATCCATTCAGCTAATAAAATAATTGTTTGATTGCAAGCTTGTTGTTTAAATGTTTTTGCCAAGAGATTTAATATTATCGACAAGTGACCACTTGTTGGCGATGTTGTTGGCACATCTAATGGAAAAATATCCATTGGACGACAATTATTTGTTCCCGTTATTAGACTTGAACTTGGCACAAAATGATTGTACCTAAAATTATAAAATTGATAAATTATTAATGAAAAAATGTTGGCAAAAAATAAAAAATTATTTACCTAGAACAATGAGCGTAGAGCAAATATAAAATACTATACTGCAAAAGTGGACTCTCATGTGATAAAACCGAATCGTACGGTTTCAATTTAACAGCCAATAATTCTAAAATACTCGGTTTTAGAGCCCACATTCCAATGATCGAATTACTCGCATTTGCTGTAAAATTATTAATTTTTATAAAATTTAGTCATAATAAATAAATAAATAAAAAAAAAGAACAAAAATTATTACCAATATCAGATAAAGCTCGTAGCAAAAAAATAATAACCAGCTCGGCATCTTTCTTTTTATATGAAACATTATTACACAATGGATTGTCGATGACCAAATTTTCCACATCAGTTACAACTAATTTGTAAGCAATTTCTAAATCCGCAAGTACATAGCGATAGGCTTCTTGAAGTAATGGAATATTTTTTAAACTCAAAAGACTTTGATAAACAGCAAGACTTGCATTTTGAATTAAAACCGTATCACTGAAACGTAATTTCAATAAAATTGAATTTTTTCCCAATAATGTATGAACCAATTCAAGTGGAAGATTTGCCGAAACTTCTTTAATAACTTTTGATATTGTCGTTAATGTCGAAACAATTGTATCATCCCAAAAAATATTAACTCGTTGCAATTGAAGATCAATAAATTTATAAAGTAAATCATGATTTTTTGTCACACGACTTTGAAGATGACCCAAAAGTAAAAAAGCACATTCATTAGCGACAACAATTAATTCTTCTTTTTCCTCAAGATCAACATTTTTTCTCGATGTTAAATCCAATGATTTTAATAAATTCAATAAAGATTCCTCTTTTTCTTTTGTTATTATACATTTATCAATTGAATCAATTTTCTTGTCATTCTTGTTTGTAATATTTGATTTGATCAATTGCACAAGATTTTCTTCATTCAAATCATCTTTATTGAAATTGTTTAATAAAGTTTCAATATTCTTTTGTGAAAGATTCATATTTTTCATACATTTAATTAAACTTTCTGTATTCTCTTCGGAAATTCCTAAATCATTGATATTATTTGTGTCAACTTCAATTGCTTTTACAACAATACGTAACATTTTTGAGAGACAATCATTTAAAAATGACCATTGAACAGCAGGATTTAAATTTGGATTTAAATGATCTAAAATACTTTTAGTCACTGTATTAAATACGGAAATAAGTGAAGTTATTTTAACTATACATTCTTTCATACATGGAGTACTTTCATCGCCTGGTGAACTTCGACCTGAACCAGGCAATGATAATTCCTCGTCATAACTTTCCATATCTTCTAAAAATTGTCCCAATAATGTTAATGTGAATTGTAAATCTGCCAACCAAAAATTACGCATCTTTTGTAAACTGCGACTCGCGTATGCAACAATTGGTTTCTGTTGTGTTAAATCAATGTGCCAGCCAACAAGAATGTCAACTGTATCACGAAAATGACCTGTAAATGTTTCTGGATAGAGATCTATTATAAGTAACATTGCGTCTACTGTTGTTATCAATAAATCCGGACTTTCTACATTTTCAAGCAATGACTGTAGATGAAACATTATTGACTGGAAGAAAAAAAAATCAATTAGACATAATTAATAATCAATTAAATATTTAACTAAAAAATTAAATTTACCACTGAAAATTCTTTTAATTTTGGTGCCTCGGTGTCTAGTTTCAATGTTTCTCCAAATGATTTTATTAATAGACATTTCACTTCGTCTTTTCGTTCTTGCGAATATTTGTTGAACATCCATTCCATGTATCTGTTAAAAAATTTATTTTCTTTCTGTATATTTAAAAATTTTTTCTCAAAAACATTAGAGAAAAAAGAAATACCTCTTAAAATCTTGATCTACAACATAACCAACGCGTCCCAAACATTTGACAATTTGTTCTTTTGCTTTAATTCCAGGTCCTGAATGCAATGAATCGAGTAAAGTCTCACAAATAAGATCCAAATTTCTTCGAATATATCGCTGATTTTCTGGAGCCAATATACCCTCTTGTAATTGTTTACAAAGTCCTAAAAAGTGATCGACATCGTCCTCTCGACACAAGCGTCTCAATAGCTTTGATATTCTAGAGTCCTCTATAAAAATTTAATACAAAAATTAAATTAATTAAATTAAATTAAATTAAATTAACTCACCATTTATTCGTTTATCATCATAGTACTTGGTTTGTGAATTTTCGTGATTTTTCAACGATTCTTGAAACTTGGATCTAGATGGGGGGTGATAGCTAGACTCTGCATTTGAGTCCCTATCACCGATTGATGTTTTCTTAAAAGCTCGTCCTCTTGTACCGCCCCTACCACGTTCACCACTTCCTCCTCCACGAGCCATTCGAAACTCATTTCGTGGTCCACCTCCAGTTCTAAAGCAAATTAAATTATCAAAATATTCCATTTTTTTTTTTTTCAATAAAAATTTTAATATAAAATTTACCTCGGTTTAAATCTCGAGAAATTGTGATCAGTCGAATAATTATTGGAGTTACGTTGACAAATAACGAGAGTTGCTCTTGGTATATTATAATCGTTTAAACTGTATCCACTTAAAATATCAGTGTCGTCTTTCTCCAAACTTTCTTCTTGTTTACTTTCAACGGAATCTTCTTGATTTTCCAAGCCCTTAGATCCTCGTAGCTTAGTGCCAATATTTGAGTTCCCACAGCTATTCATTACATTACTCTACGAGTGGTCGGCATGACCCGCACTTTTAAGTTGGACCTCCAATTCTTCAATGACGAAAACTAGAATTTGATAACAAAAAAAAAAGAATTTAAATTTTTGACCGTTTTTTTTTTTTTTCCTATTTAATATTTCCCAATACTTATTATATATGCGTGACTTAGCAAGGTCATCTCAGATAAAATTCTAACCTGCATGCTTTTTTCAAAACAATCTATAGGCTATAAAACTGTTTATCTTTCTCGAACATACAATACTATATATAAATGTAATCTCAACAGGCAAATTAATAACTAAAATTAAAATTAAAGGAATTTATTTATAACTGAAAATTTTCCTTCTTTTTTTCTTTCAATTAAAACTTAACAAAAATTACCATTTACATATCATTTCAAATAATTGCACAATTTTCGAAACAATTTGTGAATTAGCGAAAAAAAAATTGCACATTTAATAAAACCGGCTTTAATTAACGTATCATGAATTTTAGAAAATATTTTGAAGGTTTATCCCACAACGCTTTGAACTGAATGGACGAAGCCATAAAATTTTCACTTTTACAAATTCGGACACTCTCACTATGACCTTTCTAGATGTAACTTCTTTTTGTGTAACAGATTTTACCTTTCGATATGCGTCCAAAATTTTACAGTTATATTTATGAAAATTTTGTGAATTTGATTAAAATGAAAATTTTAGCACAAGCTAAACTGATACACAGATATCAAGGAATATTTCTCAAGAGAAACGCATACACTATATGGAAAAGTGAATTGACTATTCTAGATGATGATCTTTGCAAAAAGAAAATAGGGCCTCTTTTCTTATAACTCGAAAATACTGAAATTCCACCAATCAAGAACGTCTTCTTCAAGGTATAATTTTACAAGAGGGCACCACGTTCACAAAAAGTCCCTTAATAAAAAAAAAAAAAATCAAGATCATCATGGTTTCCTAACCTTCAAAATCTTTTTGTGTTTATATTATACACTATACAGTTTTCACCAATAAGTATATCAATTAATCAAATTACTTTATACATAAATTATACTTTAATTACCCAGAAAATCGACTCAAATATAATTGAAATTTATCCATTTAATTCACAACAGGATGTTTAAATAATTTTTCTCAACTTTACTGACTTTACTCAAACTATATAGATATATAACATGTAAATAATATTGGACAACTTTCTCTTCAGTAAGCTCTGTGATTGGTTATAGTAGTGAATAAATGTTGTCAGTGATTAGTTAAAATTAATTTTTTTCCACTAATAGAATTATAACATATTGTTATTTACCTAACCTTTATTGTTTGATAAACAAATGGAAAACAAAACAAAAAGTTCAAATTTGATATATAATAAATAAGTGGTAAAAAGAAATGTTTATTAAAACAATCAAACCTGATTTTAAAGCAAATAATTTTTTTATATCCAATTTTTATGGAGAAGAAAAATGTTTTGTTTGGAGAGACGATCAATTAATTGTTTTTTCATACAACGAAAATAATGATTCTGATTGTACATTACCTTTAACAATTATAACAGTACCTGGTACATTAAAAACAATTCAAAATTTTGATGATCGTGTTTTTATGATTTGTAAGCCTTGTGGAATTTATAAATTAACGGAAAAATTACAATTTGCAAATTTAAGTAAAAGTGGCATTGGATTAGGATGTCTCTTTTCAAATGTATTTTCATTTTCCGATAAATGTGTACATTTAGAAGATAAACAAAACAAAACTGTTACAAAGTTATTTCAAGTGCCAAGTGATAGTGTTACTTCAGATGAATTTTCAAGTGTTAAATTAAATGTTAATGAAACAGATGAGGCCTTTAGAATTGCATTTTTAGAAGACAATGAGGAAGGTGATGTTTGTTTAATTGCGTATAACAAATTTCTTTATAAATTGACAAAAAATGTTATAATATTAATCTACAATTGTGATTATACAATTAAAGATATAATACCTATGCAAAAAAATGGAGTAACTGCTGGCATCGCACTTTTAACAATTTCAACAGCTGTGATTTTTATTTATTTGGAGGAAAATGAATTGAAATACGATAAAATCTATTTGAATTATGATGGCAGTAGTATAACAGCGTTCAGTGCTAAAATTGAAAATAATTCAGATCATATTTTATTTATTTATTCCACAAAATCAAAAACATATCAGTGTAGAAAAAAATTTAGTTTTAAATCTGTACAAACTATTTTTGAAGATGATCGTGTTTATATTGCCTTAAGATTTTACAAATCTAATTTTGCATTAGGTCTAACTTCATTTAACAAATTGTGCAAGATTCATTTAAGAAAGGTAAATAAATTTATTTTTAATTATATAAGTATTTTTTTTGATAATTTAAAAAAAAATGTATTAATTACAGACGTTTGAAAGTATTTCGGAACAAGATCGTATTTATGTTGATATGAAATTGGATATGATGCAAGGCACCGAATTGATAGTGGATAAAATTTGTGAGAGGGCAAAAGAGCTTCAACATTTGAATGACATGTTACAAGAGCACAAAGATATTTTAAATAGAATCAATATGTATGCATATGAAACACGTGAAAAATATTGTCCAGCGTTGCGTGTCAAAAAATTGTCAAATAAAACATATTTAGAAGCAAAATTTCAAAATGTTTTGCCTGTTAATTCGCAAATTGTATTGGCCGCCAATTGTGGTGATCAAAGAACATATTCTATCAAAAATGTTGTCAGTTCAGAAACACAAATTGATTTACCATTAATACCACAAAGTATATCAAAATCGATTGATGTAACTGTTGATTTAATAACTTATAATCCAAAGGAAGAATCTGTTTGTATGATCAAAGATTTTATTAAAGATCCAGATATAGATGAACGAGGAAATTTATCAGCGCAAAAGGAGAATTTTATCAAACTTAAAATGAGAGCACTCAAAAATTTTATAAACGAGGGAAAAATAACAATGGAACTATTGTCTGAAATGAAAAATGATATTCGTATCGAAATGCAAAATACGAATTAAAATTGCAAAACCTTTTTTTCTTTACTCTATATGCTCAATGTATTTGATAATTAAGTTAATTTTTTTTATACTAAAATTAAACTATTTCATATCATTTAAAGTTATAAATATACTATTTTTGCATTTATAAATTATTTGTTGTTCTAAGTGTAGAAAATAAAAAAAAAATTTCTATTTATGTCTTTTATTTAGAAAAACCATTTGCATATACGTTATTTACAAATTTACAATTCACCATCAATTATGGACGTATTTTTTAAAATGATTTTGTAATTCTATTATTATTTTGGTCTAAGAAGTTCATTCTAACGGATTTTTTTTTAAAAATATTTACAATTAAATAAATATTCGATTAAATTTTAAAATTGATTTATAAATTATGTTCAATTTATGTACAATAAATCTATATTTAAAAAATAGATAACTAAACAATTTATTTTGTATGTAAAATAATGTATAAAATATTCTTTTAAAACATTTAAAACGTGTGTATAATAAATAATTCTAAAAATAATCATTCACTTAGTAACAAAATAACTAACAATTTTGAGAAATTGAGGGGAATTTTTTTTTGAAAAACTTCCTCTTGTCTTGATCCCTGTTTTCAATTATCAAATATAAATTATGTTTTTATAATTATTCCTGATTAGAAAAGTAATTAATTAATGCAGCTAAACATAAAATCATACTCTTTACAATATATTTACAGAAGAGTATAAAGCAACTAATAATTGAAAAATTTATCTTTATTTTCAAGTAAATTTGACTGAATTTTAGAAGATTTATAACATACTATATTTACAATAATTTAAATTAAATATATATAAATATATATTACAAGATATGTTCTCTATTTTTACTGACGAGTAATATTTATTTTTTATTTATGTTACAATTCTTCCAAAATTCGTTACCTTATATTTATCTAAACTAAATTGTCAAGTATCAATATTTTCTTCTAAAATCATGTTAAGAGTTTTAAACTTACATTTCTTTTATGAAGCTTTCCATTTGAAATTTTAACAGCAGTTTCGAATTTTAATAATGTTAAGAACATTAAAAAAAAAGTTTACAAAGAAATTTGTAAAACAAAGAGAAATCATTTTTCTTTTTAAATTTAGAATTTTTCTTCAATCCGTTAAAAAGAATCCTACATATGTATTAAAAATTAATTAAAACTTAATTTACAACTGGAAAGCCCCATTAGTGAATTTTCTATTTAATCTTATTAAATATAAAAATTATCACCCCTGAGATAATATACACTGTACATTGATTATTTACTACTTACTAGATAAGATTCAGACTTTGAAAAAACTAAATTATTTCTTTCAAATTTCACATTTTTTCCGAACTTGGAACCTCAATAATACTACCGATACTGCAGCTTGAACTTTTTTTTGGCGGTCTCGATGAACTTCTTGGAGTTCTAGGACCACCCAATCTATCCTGTAACACTTCCAATGATTTAACACCTTTTCTCGTACTATTACCACCACTTCCACGTTCACTTGTTCCATTATTGTTATCGCGTTGAAAAAATTTCACAAAACAAGTTCGAATATTTTCAGAAAAAACACCATAAAGTAATGGATTAACAACAGTATTAAATTGAGCTATAACTAATGTCCAAATAAAATGATGAGAACGTAAAAAGAAATTTGTATCCTCAGTTGGTCGACTACCATCGAGATAAATTAAAAACATGACAATTGTTATTGGTAACCACATAACAAGAACGGCAACAACATTTAGCAATAAAATTCTCACTACTCGTAAATGTTTATGTAAGCGAATTTCCTCGTGTTGCGATAAACTTCCAGCACGACCCTGACGCCCTCCTGTCACTGACGAAGAGGATAATTTTCTACCTCCCCAAGGTACCAGTGTTCCAACCACTGAAAGCTCCGAGTCTCTTCTTCCCGATCCGTCCTATTTTAATTAAATCAGGATTTTTTAATTTATTTATAAATTGCTTATTCAAAAATTTATATATTTTTTAAAATATCGAAATATAATAAAGTTTTTTTTTATATATATATTTAAATTTACAATGAAGAAAAAAATCGACAAATACAAAAGACAATATTAATTATTGTTAATTGTAGTTTCTATCTGCGTAGATTAATTTTGCCAATTGATTGAAGGATTAAAGTTGTTTACGTTGCTATTAATTGTGTAAAATGAACGTAGGAAGATTATTTACCTGTACAACACATGGAACAGCCCATCTATTTCTGGTGTCCAAAATACTTTGAAAAATTCTTTGATAATGATAAACCAAAAGTCCCATTGGCAATAAACAGGCAATTATAATAATTGGAATTGTAAAACATAGAGAAACATTTATTATTTCACTTCTTGGAAAAACTAGCGTACATATTGTTATACCTTCTTTAACAACCTGAAAATTTAATAATTTAAATATTTACGAAAAATAATTCTCTAATTTAGCAAAATAAATAAATTAACAAATTACCCTTGATTTAAACCAAAAGACGGCAGGTAAAAAAACTAGTGCCGCAATTATCCACGTGGTGAGACCAGCAGCCAATACACGAGGAACTGTCAAGGCGCTTCGATAAGGTGCAACAGCCAAACATCTGTGTCTATCCATCGATATTAACGTTAACGTCCACAGCAAAACGAAACCACAAACAAACTGCAAGCAAAGAGAGAGAAAAAAAAAATTAAATTACATGCATCAAATAATATTCTATTCATAAAATTTATATTACTTTGAAATATTTTTTAAAATGTAATTCCATTTACAAAAATAGGGGAAAAGAAATTTGTTTTTCAAAATGTAAAAATAAATATTTAAATTACAGACGCAATTCTTAAGTATAAAAATACATATTCAGAGAGTATTTTATTTAAAAAAAAATTTCTTTCATCAATTTTAAAATCGATATATAAACTCCTTTGATCTGTTATTTTATTTTTCGTAAGAAAAAAAAATTCCAATTCCGACGGGTGACATAAGATTCCCGTTTGGGTTTCTCCTCTCTAACATCATTATCCTTTCATAAGAATTGAATTGAACACAACGACAAAGTTTAATTACGTTTCTATTTCAATTTTATTGTTGTCGTGTGTGTATGTGACGCACAAAATGTGGGTGAGATAAAGGTAAAAAACGGAAAATCAAGTAGTAATTAATAAACTATATCTATATTATATTTAAAATAGAGAATTGAAAAAAAAACTCAATTATGTACCTTTTTCTTATTGTCTATATTACGTATAGTGTCAAAGAAATATTAATATTTCATGAAATAACTGAAATTAGAAACAGTGAGTTTTTACGTAACTGTTACATAATTCACGAAAAGATAGAAAATAAAAACAAAAAAGAAAAATCTTTCCTTTTTGAACAAAAATAAGGAATTTTTTTTTCTCTAAAATATAATAAATTCGTTATTTTCATGTGTTTGAAAAATATATAGAATATATCAAGAGATTGAGATTGGTAGTAACTAAAATGAACTCGCGTATGTTTCATTTTTGTAAGAATATTTCTTTTTGAGCTTTAAGAAGCGTGAGAGATTTGAAAGCTGGACTAAAAAACCACAATGGTGTTAGGGAGAAGAAACTCAAACGCAAATCTTATGTTATACATTCACAAATACATACAAGTATGGAATTTGTAAGCAACCTCCTGGAAAATGTACTACTAGAAAAAAGGAATAAAATATCAAAGAGAGCAAAGAAATTTTATAATCATTCGTCAAATATTAATGTTATTAAAAAAAAAAAAAAAAAAAAAACTTTAAACAAAAAATTTTAAATTATACAAATTTTCATTTTAAAAAATAAATAATACTTTAAATAATGTTTTCTTTCTATATATAATTTCTATATAATTAAATAATTTAAAAAATTAATTATTATTATTTAAAAATTGTTAATGTTATATAAATAATTTTATTTTCATTTATTTGAGAGATTTGATTTCTTTTAGTATCCAAATTTATCCATATCTTTTGCGTCACACGATAACAATAAAATTGAAGTATAGGAACGCAATTAAACTTTGTCGCTCTGTTCAATTCAATCCTTGTGAAACTAATCAGAGGCGTATTGACTATGAGGCAGTCATTTAGAATCTAAATCACCCTCTTCTCGCTTTTCATTTGACATAAACTCTTCACTATAGGAATCTCGAGAGAACTTTGTTATCAGAAAAATCGAGAAAACAATGATTTAATGACTCAAAATCGTCAATTATAATAATTAAGTGTAACTAATAAAAATTAAATTAAAAATTTTTATATTAAATTTTTAAAAATTAAAACTATAAATAATATTTAAAAAAAAGTTTATTTGCTCTATTATTAATTAAAACGTATATATTTTTATTTTAAATTGAATAAAAGAACAAGGATCGTTTATAAGAATCCCATTTGAGTATATATAGTTATATTGAATGTTGCATTTAATAAAGTTGTTTACTTTGGAAAACGAATATTCATGAGTCTTCTATATGTACCTCGAATGCAGTATGATGGAATGTTTGCTTTTACAACTTAAATCCAGAAACATTTTCAATGTTTTCTCAGGACAATAGAGTAACTGCTTCGAATAATAATTTTTCCATTTTAATTTCTTCAAACTAATTCATGAATTGTAATCGTTTTATTAGAGATTTATTTTATATGATTTTTTACTAAAAAATTAAAAATAGAATATTCTCGAATTTATATTTTTTTATATAATAATAATAATAATAATTTATATTTTATATTTTTGTGTTCACTAATTTTAAACTCAATTGTATATAGCAATATTAAATGAAATGCCAATGAAATTAATTTTCCTTTTGCACGCAAAAGAAACAAAATTACTAAGAATTTTTTTGTAAGATAATAATTATTATTTCTCTGTCATTAAGATTCGCTTTAATTATTGCGAAATGAAAGGGTAACCAAGTAGAAATATTGTCTTTTTCTTTTCATAACTGTATCGAATTTCGCTCTTCACAAAAAGAGGAAAAATTATTAATTATATATATATAATATATAATATTGAAAATAAAATATGTATAACATAAAGTAAAACATTTTCTTGGAGCTTAAAAAAAAGAGAAAATAATGAGAAATTGCTAGAACTTTTGCACAAGCTTCTTATTTAAATAAAAATAAAATGAAAAAAATAATAAAAAAAAAAGAAAGATAAAAGAAAATTTAAAATCCATTTTTATATAGAATAAAAAAAGAATAAAATGAAAAAAAAAAGTTGCATACTTGAGAATATGGAATTAATCTGCAGACTGCATCGCCTAATTTCCAGGACTGCGTTAATCTCGTGTAGGCGACCGCAGGAACGCCCAAAGCAAAGAGTAGATCCGCAGCTGCAAGATTCACCAAGCATAAGTTCGTTGGTGTTCTCATTTCCTTGTACCTCAGGACGCATGTTGCCATTCCCAAATTAGTGGCTACTGCAATCACGAACGTGACAGCGAGGACCAAAATCTAAAACCGAAAACCAATTACTTTAGTACCAAAGGACGGAAACAACACCCCCAGATGTGCAATCTTGTTTCAAGAGTAAAGTTTAATGTCAAGGGAATGAAAAGCAAGTCCCCCTTATACTAAACAAAATATTTATCTTGAGTATACGTTATTTTTAAAGCTATTTTTAAAACTCTTTTATTTTTTCAACTACTACTTTCTAAACTTGAGAAAAAAAAAATTAAAACATTTCCCAATTGCAATTCTAAAATTTACATAATATAAATATCAAATTCTTCAAAAGGAATTTTAAACTTTTTTTTGATAAAAATCTCAGGTACTAAATAGAATAATTTCGAGGACAATGCTCTCAAAAAAAGAATATAAATACAAAGAGTTAGCGAATTATCTCAAGAGTACAAAGTTATCTCTTAATCCATCGTAATGTTGATTCGGGCTTCGTATATATATATAGGAAGTTTCTCCTTTCTTGTCTCTCGAAAACTCCTTAATTTTCTTATTTGTCAAAATAAATTGGAAATGAGAAAAATAATTTACACAAAATTAACTTTCTTTTTTTTTTTGCTTACTTTCAATTAATTCACTTTCATTTTAATTACATTTTTAAATCGATCTAAAAATATAAAAACTGTAAAAAAATATGTTTTAAAAATAAAAAAAATTTCTCACCTCTACACCGCTGGTACCTTTCCTATCACCAAATTCACTATAGTAGGTAAAATAATATCGTTGTCCCCAATCTTCATCTTCTCCCAAAAGATATGAAGTATTCATCTTTGAGTTTGATCAATATCCTTATTTCTCTCTCTCTCTCTTTTTTTTTTCACCTAGGTTACGTATAAAAATTCATCATTGCACGACCAGCTTGTAAATCGTTCTCTCAAGTTTTTCGGTAAATATTCATCGTTGATCCTCCCCATGTGTCCTGGGAGTTTTTCAGCAAACGAAAAAAAGTCACCAAAAGTCCATTACTATATATACCTGAAAACAAGAGAAAAAGAAAACTTATTATAACGAAATTATTCACATTTAAAAAGAAATAATCTTTCAAAATCGAAATTCGTCAATTTTTATTCTAAATTATTATTTATTTCTCATTTTTTGATTATAAAAATTACAATCGTAACATATTTTTGAGTTAAATTAAAAAAAAAATCTCAACGAAAGAAATAAAAACCCATAAATAAAAGGGTGACGTGATTATTTAGAAGAAAAAGTCAATTGTAAAAAAGAAAACATGTCCCTGACAAAATCACACCAGTTTGGCCTGACCGTAGCCTAAATTTTGATGAAACAATATAACGGGACTTTTCATGAACACAATGTGACATCGATCGAAATTCAAGTGCCAATTAGTTCAGTCAGGCAATCGGCACGTTCTAATGAACCAAGTATTTATTGAATGTTATCATTGTTACTCCTCAATAGATCTCTGCAAGTACTCTTCACTCAATGAAGTCACACAACTTCATTTTTTTTTTTAGACTATTCAAAATAATGTAAGATTCAATCTTCAAAAAAGGGTAAATTATCACGAAACAAATTAATAATTTACAAAAAATTGTATTTTTTTATATAAATTAAAAATTCTCAAAAGTAAAATATTAAAAAAAAATAAATTCTTTTAAATATATCAATTGAAATATTTCAAGTGTCAATTGATGAAAATTGAAGTATCATTTTATACAATATCAAGGAGTTTAAATTTAATAAAAATTGAATGACACCCTCCCCCTCAAAGATAATAAAATATAGTATAAGATGCGGAGAGAAATTTCACGACGACTTTTCTTCTGTTTTAGTTTTAAAAAAGTTAAAGGAGATTTGGCATCGATAGGTATCCTCTTGAAAGTTGTCTTTCCGAACTTAGACTTCCGTTCGTCATTTAGACAGCAAGTTTCTTTGGATTGAAAATCCAACAACTCGAATCCAAAGTAACTCAACTTTTCTCAACTCTACTACTCGCGCACAGTTTCCCTTGACGTTTAATCAGTCAGAGCGTGACTCAACCCCCTTTTTCTCCAACATTGAGTGAGTGCACATACGTTAAACAAAGTCCATTTTATCTCAATAGATGCACATCGTACACGAAGTGCATCAAGTACAGTAATTACTCCAAGAGGTTGAAAAATAGTCCCCTATTTTTAAGTATGCAAATAAATACAAATTTAATGACTAAAAAAAAAATTTCAGATCAATATTATTTTTCAATTTCAATTAATTCACAAATCTCAATTTATATAAATGCTGACCATTTTACGATTACTGCGCTTTATAGAAATTCAAAACTTAATAAGTTAAAGGCGTTATAAAAAAAAAAAACTGCCAATAAAAGTCGTCCATGCTCTCTAATTTGAAATTTGAATATCTGAAAGAAAGAAAATTGAGGTCAGTGAGAAAATGAAAAATATTATTCGAACTGAAAAATGAGAGAATATTATAATATTGTAGTATATATACAATCACAAGTTATAAAAATAATAGCATAAAATTAGAAAATAGGTCAGGTTAAAAAAAAATTTACTACCTAAAATTTGACTTTTTTAAAAATAAATATTTTTCCCCTCCCATAAAGTTTCGATATAACAAATTTTAGGGGAGAAATAAAAAAAAACTGATGAGGATGTAAAAGTTGATCGTAAAAGTGTCATTTTCACACTTGTTATTTTACTAAATCTGATTCTATTTTATTAAAAATATAAATTTTACATTTGTTCCAATAATTTTTTTAAAAAGTATACAATTAAAATAAAAATAAATTTTTGGTAATTTATCAAAAAAAAAAAAAAAAAAAATTAATTAATTGGAATAAATTCCACGTGCAAATGTGTCATCTTATTAAAAACTTGACACTAAATTATTTTCTTGTTTTTACTGTGGTTTTAATTTAAAAATATGTATCATCATATTTCATAAGCGCTGCAAGACCTCAGAATAGAGAAAAGTCAGGAGACCAATTTATTCAACAGCAGAGGAAACGAATTGTCTAGACTTTAACACTTATACAATAGCTTTTACATTAAATGAATTTAATATAAAGATTTTAAACTAAAGAAAACCTAAAAAAAAAAAAAATATGAAACATTCATATGCGCGAATTTCAATATAATGAACATTAAAATTTCAATCATATTCTAAAAAAAAGTCTATATAAAAGTATCAAAAAAAAAATATACACTTGTTTAATTAATCTCAATATGAATATGGTATAAACAAAATAAAAAAATAAAATAAGATTTTAAAGTAAAATCCCGATATATTCATCAGCGAGAGGCAATTAAAATTTCACCATCAACTCCTCTATTTTTATTCCTCTCCGTGCAACATTCAATAAAACCGAATTATAACTGATTAACGTGGTCGGATTTTAATTGGATATCGAATAAAGATTTTCCATCCAGGATTTATTTTTAAAAATAAAAAAAAAAAAAAAAAATTCTAATCGATCAAACCCAGGAATAATCACTAATCAATTTCGCAATAAAACATTGACGGGGGATATTTTTGTTTCTATACGGATTCAGTTGGAGTTCAACGATTCCATGTTATATATATAGACATTTCTATTCATTACTCTCGGGACTCTCCTCTTTGAATATATATTTGTGTGCATTCACATTAGGAAATAAAGTATTCACTTGACGAAAATAAAAAGAGAAACGTTTTATCATCATCAAGACGGGATGGACAAAAAAAAAAGAAAAAGAAAAAAAAAAGGGGGCAAAGTTCTCTCTATCCCAAGGCAGATTTCCCGTATTTCGTGAATTCGATGAGAGAGCGATGTGCACTACTCATACAAAAAAAAAAAAAAAGAAAAAGAATCGTTCCTTTTCATTGTGACGATGAAAGCCGTCTAGGAACTAGCGATAAAAGTAAGTCGTTGTTGCAAAAGTTTCCAACAAGAACGGTAAATCTCTCGTTGAAAATTATTTGCGACTTGAGATAAATTTTAACAGACATTTTTTGAAATTTTTTTTTTCAATCGATATAATTCCATCCTATCAAAATAGAAGTTAATATAAAATCGAAATCAAAAAAAAAAAAAAAAATTCTCTAAAACATAATTCGAATTTAAAAATTCACGAGTAAAAATTTTATTCATCTCTTTTACATATAGAAAGAATCTATGAATGATTAAGGGAGAAAGTAAAAGAAATATTTCAAGTAAGAGAATGCAATCGATTTATATCAAGATTCATTGAAACCCAGTTTCCACGTAGATTAAAAATATACTGATTTTGATAAATATAACTTCAGAATCGATTCACGCATGCTCAACAATTATTTTATACAGTGTTATTAATGATTCTAGGATAAAACTAGTAAAATAAGTCATACCAGTCTTTAATAATTTTCCCTCATCACCAACGGATGAAATTAGCTTAATGAATTATTTACAATTCTAATAATAATCACTACTGACTGGAAAAAAAGAGAATAAATTTTTAGAGACAAAAATAAATTTGTTCTATAATAGAACAAAACAAAAAAATTTTTTTTAAATAATTTTCTTTAATTAGGAAATAATTTCTTGCAATAAGAGGGAAAATTAGATCTTTTAAATATTTCGTCTAGATTATAATGAAAACATAATGAGAAATTTTTTTCCTAAAATTGTAATTATCGACAAATTCTATAGAATTTTTTCAAAAACGTTATTTTGTGAATCAGAATTTTTCATTATCCCATTGGTTTACATCATGATGCTGGGATTTGACTCTTTAAAACGATCATCGTGACATTTAATGCTTTTAAACTCGTCAGAATGATTTATAAAGCGCGTGTAAAACATTTTAAATCCCCACCTCACATCATCGAAAATTCTCGAAACAAAAAAGTATTTAAAAATTAAATTTCTGGAAATTAAATAACATTTCCAAAAGAGAAAAAATTTATTTTTGATTTTTCTTTCATAGGAATATATATATATAGATCATGACATAAAACCTACAAAAACTCGATGATCTTGAAAAAAAAAATTAATTTAAAAATTTATTCTTAAAACTTTTCCAACTTGACAGCCTTTATAAGAAAATATAATCTCAAGTTTCTTTTAATAAAACTATTAGGCGAAACTTTTCTCTATTGAGTTACTTTTATCCTGAGGAAAATAAATTTATTAAACGTCCTTTTTTGGTTTGATAAAATGTTATGTGACACAAGGTCAAGGAAAAAAAAAAAAAGAAAAACTTTCACGAATCTTCTTAAAGGTTCAATTTCATTGTCAGGTACACTACGAAAGATCTATATTATTATATTTTCCTTGGAGGATTCTTTGAAGAATTTGAAAAAAAAAAATTCAATGCTTTAAATTTTCTATATAAACGGAGTATTTTTAAAAGAATTTAATAGATTAATAAATAATATAATATTTAGAATTAAAAATATATAAAAGGTATTCAGCATTACATTTACAAATGAGTCTCATACTGAGAAAATTTAACCATTCTGTACTTTATATATACCCCAGCTTGAAAATAAAATTACTCTCTGATTGGCATTTGTATGTTTTATATAAATAGAAATACAACAAAAAATAAATAAATTACATGTAGGTATTTCTATTCGACAATTTTTACATATTTTAATTATTCAATTTTTTTTTTTTTTAAGATAATATAAGAGTATGTACGATTGAAAGTGCAGGTCATTTTAAATTTTATATTGAGAATATCTTTTTATAAAAATGAAAAATCTATATTGGATATTTTAGTGAAAGTCGATTAATTTCAAAGACTTTACACTCGTATGATTGTATCATATTCTCAGGGTGAAAACTGGGGTTGCGCGCATTCTCTACTCTCCTGGCAAACTTTAATGTAGCGTTCATAAACTTTTTCAATTTATTAAATTTAATATTTCCACGAGGAATTAAAATAATTGTTCAAAAATTTTAATTACATATTTTTACTAAAGTTATCATTGAATTTCTAGTCTATTAAAAAAAAGTGTATATAATTTATTTTTCACATTATTTGCAGAAAAAAAGGAAACATTAATTATCAAAAAAGAAAAGTTCACTTGAGAAGTTTTCTTCATAAGTACTCATTAAAAATTGTATAATAATAATCGAAGGCATCTTATTAGATAACAAAAATTATATTCTATATAATTTTTAATTTTTTAATAATTAAAAAAATATTAATTTATTAATATTTTGTAAATAATAAAAAAAAATTTTTTGAAGCAAAAATAATTTTTAATTGAAAATCATGATTAATATTATTATGATTCTAAGAATAAATTAAAGTTCTGTTTAAGGCGTGCAAAGCAATTTCAATTATATATCATGTGCCCTTTATATAAATAAAGCGTAGGTAGAAGCTTATAAAATTATTCAAAAGCTTTTCAAGAATTATCTGAAAATCAAATACTGATTTTTAAAGAAGAATCTTTTCAAATGAAAAGAATATCACACAGACATCTATTTTCTCATATTATATATATAGATATAGATATGGAAATCTATTTTAATTTCTTGACATAAAAAGAATAAATTCACATATAATGTAAATAAATATTATTTAATTTCAACTTGAATCTAATTAATTAATTATCATTTCTTGATAATATAACTATATTATTATTAATATATACAAGATATATATTATTAATCATAACATTTTCTTTAAAGTATCTGAGAATTAATACATAAACTAAACTGATATATTTATATAATGAAAAGTTATTTAACTAAATTTACATACCTTTGCAATTGTTGGAGCATTCGTGTTTCTCAAATAATCATGTGGAAAATCTTCTGCCTCTTTCAATAAAGTGTGTCTTTAAATACTGGAACTGCGTCCCAATCCCAAATTGATGTCTTTATGGTCATTTAATGATCCTAATCGACGTTAAAAATAGATTTCCTTTATTGTCCAACACATAATTTTTCCTTTTCCATTTTCTCATTTCATCTCAAATGAGAAAAATAAAGCGATTCCTTCTTTTAACCTTCTTTTTTTTATAATCTGAAAAAATTATAATTTAAAAAATAATTAAAATTAATTTTTATAAATAAATTTAAAAAATAATAATAATAAAAGGGATCATTAAAAAAAAATTCTATACAATTCTCAACAAAGCTATTAGATTGATTATAGAAATAAATTAATTAACAAAATTAATTAGTTTCACTAATTAATATATTTGTAAATAATTGTTTTAATTCATTAAATTAATATTTATAAAAAAGGGATTAATTTCTTCCTTCCTTTTTTTTATAGACACGCTTCTAATTTTAGCTTCAATAAAATTAAAACGTCTATATTTGAGATGAAAATATGCCATAACTTTAATTGCACCCTTGACATCGACATAGTCTATGTCAACAGGTGTAAGTCGATCTATCACGTATCTTACTCGAGAATTCATACTTTTTTCATAATCCGTCTAGACATTCTCTCACACAATATTTCAATTTTAAAATTACATTTCAAATTAATTTCAATTAAAATAATAATAAATCAATTTAAACAAATTTTTTTAATTTTTGTATTAATAATCATATACCTTTTATTTTGAAAAATATCAAATATATAAAGACTGATTAAAATAATAAATACAAAATATAATTTAATTATCTAAATAGAAATAAATATTATTTTAAAATAAATTTTAATTTAATTAATAAGTTATTGTTTAATAATTATATTAATTAATTTTTTAAATTGAATTTTTCTATTTTAATATATATTTGTTGAAAAAAAAATTATTTACCTTTTTTTTATTGTTGAATTTGTATCACTGATGAGAACAATTGTAATTTCTTATCTTGAGAGACAAAATGATTTGCGTAGATCCGAAGAATGATTACGTTTGAGCGCTTCCTGCTGACTGATGTCCGGCGTCTATCATATCATTCACTATGAATCCAACGGAATCCCACTCCAGGAAAGCGTCGCGACGCGACATCAACGTGCGCCGAACGGCACATTCTCTCTACATATCAAAATTGTAATCGTAGTAGTAGAAGAAATTGTTGTGGTGGTATTCTTTCAACAAGGGATCTACCCCTAAAGTGATTGACTGCTTTTGGTAGGGTAACAGCTGCACTCAAACACCTGGAATTCATATAACAATTATAACTAATCATATTATATATAGAAAAAAGTTAAAGAAAACAATTAACAAGCAATTAGTTTCATTTTACAGTTTATATATAATATTATAAAAATATTATTATACATTACCAGTAATTTAATTTGTCTTACAAATTTTATATATATGTGCCTCTCGAATCTTTCTCACTCTTCAATCCTGACCTTCCACAATATCGATGAGACTAAAACTTATCTAAAGAAAAATAAATGAGAGGAAATTATAAAAAAAAATATCCCTTTTAAAAAATTGTTCGCAATTTAAAATAAATGATCAATTATAATAATCGTGATAATCCAGAAACATAATAAATCAAATAAATTACAAGTGTTTTTTTAATTTTTAAAAACAAAATTTTTAAATAATTATGAAATCAACTTTAATTATAACAGTTCTTTTTTATTTTAAATTGCGAAGTTGAAATTTTTGGTTCTTTCTTCATTTTTTTTTTTTTTTATTTCATAAGTACATGAAATTTATAATTTTTTCTAGAAGTACAAACCTTTCATTCGTTGGACATTATTTTCATTAAATGCTTATTGCACTGCTTTCGCGAATGCAAAATTTGACATAGATTTCTTTTTTTAAAAGCACATCTGACTTCTTAAGTACAATTTATTACAATTTTTTTTTTTCTTTGTAAGATGCTTAATCGCATATACTTGTTATCTCTGCTCAGTCATGGAATATAACGAACAGAGAAAGCTCTAAAATTAAAAAAAAAATTTTTATAAGTAATTTACACCTACAGTGTTAATAGTTTGTAAATACATGAATCAGAGTACAAAATTACGATAAATCTTCTAAAATTATATATATGTATAGTATTAATATTATTTCTATCTAAACGTATATAGTCGATTCTTAACATTATATAATACATATATTTATTTTCAATTCAAATATTTCATGTGAATAAAAATTGAGTCGTCTTTTCGATTTGTCAATACATAAACTAAATTTCAAATAACAATACAATTTAAAATAAATAAGTTCTTTCAATTTTTGATTTAATTTTAATTGTCAAAGAATTAATATAATTTTTTTTCAATAAGTTAAAAAATATTTTGACAAATTCATTCTTACTCACATGATAATATATCAATGTAACTCGATATTTTGCAAATTTTTTTTTTATAATTATCGAAGTTTCATTTACAGTTATAATATATTTTTTAAAAAAAAGTTTAACTGAATTATATTTTTAACTATTAGTTTTTGATATTAAAAAATTTCACTCGTAGAAAGACAAAGACCTATTATCTATCACGCATAAGCAAATAGTTGTTCATGATAAAGTACTTAATTTTTACTAAAAGAAAAAAAAAGAATTAACAAATGATAATTATTGCATTCAACATTTTAACTGATGCGTATAAACGGCACAAACTTATTTGAAAAAAAACTCTCACAAAAACTAATACCTTATTCTCATTTATGTTGAGAATGTATATTAATAAATACAAACACTCAATTCCTATATAGTTATAATAATTAAAAAATAAGATTTCGTTTCTTTTAACATTTAAATAGGGGTATAATTTTTATATATCAACGTATAATTACGAAACACTTTCTCTGCACGCATTCGCTATTTTTTAAAACATTATTATTCTCGTAATTATTATATTTACTAACAGATTTTATCCTCTCTTGGTGTTATATTAATAAATATGAATAACAATTAAAAATTTAAAACGATAACAATATTTAATGTATTAAAATATTATTTTTTTTCAATATTCCAGATATCAAAATGGATGTGAAATTTAATACTCTTTTATTGATTTTTCTCAGAAGACGCTATGAAAGAATAATTTTTCATTAATTTCTGTATTTTACGGATTTAAATAGTTGTGCGTAAAATAACATTATTTCAAAATATTATAACAACTCTAGATTTAAATTATAGCTACACACTATTTAAAAAAAAAAAATGAAAGATACTTAACGTTTTAAAAAGTTGTGACTGCACTTTTTTGAGTCTTGCCAAATTTTTTTCAAAAAAAAAAAAAAAAAGAAAAAAAAGTACTAGACTAAATGGCACAATTTGGAAGGATTGTCATGGTTTGAAACAAGTAATGTAAAATATAACAAAGTTTCAATTCAAACTAATAATTTAAGTGCAGTAACACAGCTTTAGTTGGAAAAAAAAATTAGAGGAGGTTCGTTGTGGCAAAATATCAATAAAAAAAATTGATCTTATTATAAAATAATGTTAATTAGAAAATTGTTAATCCAGATAAAAAAATAAAGATATCTGGAGATATTTGAAAATATTTTCAAAATTTAATTTTTCTTTTTCAATAACGTTTATAAAAATAATTCAAAAATTTAAAAAAATGGTTCAAAATTTAAAAAATGTATTATAAATAACAAAAAATAGTAAAACTTTTCATGATAGAATATTCCATCAATTTTGTTTTAAATAAATAATATAACATTATTTTTTTTTATTATTCGTTCAAAATAAAATTGATTTATATCCTAAAAAAATGTTTATCAATCAAACGCTTAATAAAACATAAAAATTTTACAAAATATTGACAATTTGCCAGATTAACGTCCCACAATGATACTTTAAATTTTCAGGGTATCATCGAGATTGTTACACTTCAAGTGACATTATAATATAATTAATTGAAAGATCATATCGTTCTATATATTATGTGACTGCATACTTATCATACCAAAAGATATGTCTTTATAGTGATTTCTTCGCGTATGTATTTGAGTTTTGCTCTATACATGTAAATGTAAAAAATAATTACCTATATTTCATTTAATTCTTCTAATTACTCAACACTCTCTATTTTACAATTAGTTAAAGATCGCAAAAAATGAGTGAAGATAAATTTGAAAAGAAATTTATATATATTAAATGCGTTCTTTAATATTCGAATATTTCTAGTCGATTAATTTTTATTTTAGGGATCATTCATTAACTACGTAAGGACGATTTTAGCTAATTTTGACCCCCCCCCATTCCCCGATGTAAGAATACATAAGATCTTTCTGACCCCCCACCCCCCTCTTACGTAAGTTTTTAACAATGTTAATGTAATTAAAAAATTAATTACAACAATGCAAATCGAAAATACTTGGCAGAATATTTATGTAACAATAGCTTCTACCCCCCACCCCCGATGTAAGACCATGTAGAGATTTTATACCCCCCCCCCCCCTAAGGACCCTTACGTAATTAATGAATGGCCCCTTATTGTAATATTATTCTAAGTCAGAAAAAAAATTAAAAGAACAATTAATTATGTTTATCAGGTCTTGCATTTTTTTTTTGTTTTGTATTAAGGCACTAAATAGAAAATATTCTAAAATGAATTCAGCAAAATTTTTAAATTAAATAATTACTTTTTGCTTAATCTCATCAAAAAAAAAGAAAAAAATGTTTATCAAATTTATAATTTTTACAAATTACTTTTAATAATTAATAAATTTCAAAATTCTTATTTTTAACTTCATTAATCATTTAATTGCCTTCAACTTCTTGTAAATAAAGCTAAAAAGCTGTACCCATTTTGACTTCATAGACAATCCACATGTAAAACATTCTCTTACATCGAGAGCAAAATTCATACTCGTTAATTAAAATATGTAATAGACAAATAAATAAAATGTAAAAATAGTTTTTACGCTTATTATATACAAATGTGAAATGAAAATTGTTTTTAAGAAAAGAAAAAAAAACAATTATGATTTGTAGCACACATAATTATAAAAATAAATTATGTGAAAATATTTGTCCTATTACAATACTACGTATGACTGGAAGTTACATTTTTATTTTCAAAAATGTTTTTAACCATTTTATATAGAATGTGATGATTGAATTCTATGTAGAGAAACATTTGCGAAATTCAGGAATATTTTGTAAATATGTCCATAAATTAAGTTCCTCAATAAATAAACATATATATATGTACAATATTTAAAAAAGTTAAATAAATGAAAAAAAACAAATATAAGTCAATATTAAAACAATAACGCAAAAAATACTAAAACAAAAAAATATGTACAAAAAAGATAAAGAATTGAAAAAATTTTTATAAAATATTCTTCAATTTCGTATATGTATATTAATTCTTGTTTTCTATTCGCGATATTTATCGACTAAATGATTCTTGTTTTGTACTTTATGTTTTTGTTCATGTAAGCTAAATGTAGTTTAGTGGAATGACCATTGTATCTCATGGTACACGTGAATTTGGCATCCAGTCCCTGAGTATAATAATCTCAAAATACGAGAGGATGGGTACAGCTTTAATTGCTGTGTATTAATGGATAATGATTTTTTTTTTCTTTTATAAAGTAAAATGAATCGAATCAAATTAAATAAAAACAAAAAAAATATATATATGATCGTGATTTGTTTTAAAATCTAAGTAATTATACTACTAAAAAAATCACAACTTGCGTCACGCTGAAGTTTCCTGACCTTCGTTGTGCAATTTTTTGTTTCCTTCGTAGATAATGTCCGATGTCACATTCCATCGGCCATTCTGCAAGTGTTAAGATTTATCTTCATTTGGTAAAAGTGTTGTTCGTTCACCATCTTCGTGGGATTTTCCTTCCGCTAACAATCTCACGGATTCTCCTTGAACATCAATTTGTGTCCTTACAGGTGAATTCGATAAACTTGTGACCTAAAAAATTTTTTACATTTTAAAAAAATTTTATAACTTTCAAGCAAAATTAATAAAAAGCGGTCACTATTAGACTCTAATTTTGTGACTTGGATTAGCAGCTAAAAATGATTGGTAAAAAATAAATTCCAAATAAACAATGAAATGTTAAAATAAAAAAGTGTCCATATTAATGACCTTGATGGGTGAGGTTTTTAATTTTCCATTGTATTCACTGTGAGGTGAAATAAATTTGGAATTTGTGATGGGACTAGCGCTGACAGGTAGAAGCGCAGGTAAAGTTGTCACCTTATGAATTGGTGTATGTGATTGTGACTCCTCAATATCGTTAAATCCTTTATCCTTCGGTAAAATTGGAGATTCTGGTGCACTGCGATCATCCTCGTCCAAAGAATGTAACAGCTGAAATTTATCAACAAAATTCTCTAAATAAAATATGTGTAAAAAATCAGTTTAAATAAAAACAAAAAAGTACATTTTTATTTAAATGTTTGTAAAAAATAAAAGAAACCAGAAAAAAACTGTCTGAGACTTCTTTTTAATTTATCGTTAAAATAACATACTTTTTGATAAAAATTTTCTTTCATGTTTAATTCTCCTCATCTTCATCAATATCATGCATTAATAACTGAAAAGCGCGAGAGAAATGATAATTACGTATTTGTTTTGAGAAAAACTAAATTTTTGTTATCCTATAAATAAAAGAATCTTATATTATTATTTATTTAAAATAATTTACCTTTTCGACTTCATCATCAAATTGATCTGTACTAGGAGAAATATCCTTTTGACTTCTTTCTAATAGAGTAGCACGTTTAGCCGCAAGATACAACGATCGTTTAATTTTCACGTAAAAAACTTCAGTTACTGCACGAACAGTATAATCCGGAATAAATGTATGACGTGCTATTGCATTCAAATTCACAGAATGAATGCTTCCCATTGATTGTGGATTTGTATTAACAGGTGATTCAACTAGAAAAAAAATAAGTACAAATCAATAAAATTATAATTATTAATCTTGAAATTAAAAAAATGACATAAAATTATCTTACGTGCAGAAACATTAATAGCTAATGCTTGTGTTCCAAAATAAGTAAATGGTCCACTCTCAAAAGTCATGTTTTCTTTACCCAAAGTAACTTCAACACGACCTTCCAATATTAATACAAAATAATCCGCTGCCTTATTTTGTTGGTAAATTATTGTCACTGGATCGTGACGCGCTTTTTCACGCGATTTTACTTTTATATAATAAATAACATCATGCTTTAATAAACGACGTAATATATTTTCCGATATTACTTCCGATTTGAAGGAATCAACTATAAACAAAAGAATATTATTTATTTTCAATTGATGTTAAAAAAAAAAAAGAAAATTCTGAAAAAATATACAATTTTACTTACTTGTAGATAAAAATTGAAACAGCGCTAACATTAATTGTGGCGAGACATGTGTTCGTTGATTTTCATTTTTCTCCGCAAAAACAGTAAAATCTTGCATTCTTGATTTCACTCTCTTTCGTTTACTTCTGTTATCAGCTAAAAAAAAAGGAATTCAAATAAAAATATTAACTTTTAAAAATTGAATTTTTTAAATTAAATTATTTTTCTATTCTGTAAAATTAAAAAAAAAACACACACACATACAGAGCAATCAAACTATTACTTACTGATAACATCAGTTTCATCCATTATCTCAGCTTGAATCAGTTCTTCAATAACGTCCTCTAAAGTTACTAAACCAATGACCTCATAAAATGGATCACCTTCACCTTCACTATTGACTCGTTGTACAAATGCCATATGACCTTTGTGTCCTAAAAAAAAAAGTATGTCATTATCAAAGAAAATCTCAAGTATTGAAATATGAGTTATCTATTTAACAGTAAACTGAACCTTCTTTAAACTGTTTGAACATTACGTCCAATGTAACGTCTTCAAACACAAAGTTACATGGATTTTTATAAAATTCACACAATGTTTTCAATGGTTTATTATCGTCCGGATCAACAAATGCCAGATCCTTGATGTATAATATCGAGACAATATTATTTCTAGTTTCTTCATAAACGGGAATTCGTGAAAATCCTGTAAAAGAGAAATTTGATTTAAAGAATATTTTTTTTGTATAAGCATAATCAAAAAATACTTTTAAAATAGTTTATCAATTTTTAAATTATAGCATTATAATGAAACATTAAATTTCAATTAACTAATTAATATGATTGGGCTAAATAAAAGAAAATAATGCACTCGAGATAAAATAAGATTATATCAATAAAAGTGACAAAAATCTCCTCCCTCAGATGATGATGACAAAGAAGAAGATAAGATCTAGGAAGTTTTATCTATATATTAATGGATAATCTTCATACCAATTGGTCCAAATTGATTAAGACCATTAACTCATTTATTTCATTTTACAAAAGATGTTTAAAAACTTTTATTTTTAGTTTTAGTTTCATAAACTTTTAAAAATGAATTTTTCTGAAAAGAGATATAAAAACTTACCGGATTTCAAAATTTCCGAAACTGTTTCAAAATCTAAAATAGCATTGTAGTCCAACATATAAACATCATCAATTCGAGTCATGACATCGGCGACTGTTTTCTTACATAATTCCAAAGCACCGGAAATAATATTTACTTCTTCTTTTTCTAAATCATTAAATCCAGTAGTCACCTACAGAAAAATAATTATTATAATGAGGCATTAATTATTTTTATATTTAAAGTACTAATATTGATGATTCAGTTCATATTACAACGGTTTATTAAATTGAATTTATATTACATATTGTATCGAATTACTTATGGGTTATCTTTTAATGATATATCTTTGTAAAAGAAAAAAAGATAGTAGCTTTGCATCGCACGTTAACGTTTCGGTTTGATATCTCGCAATTTGAGAATATCCGACTTTCTGATAAGCACCCTCCCACCCCACCCGGTGCATGACTCATTAATACATGTGAGATTGTTTTAATGTCATGTTTCTAACAACATAGAGAATGGTATGCATGTCACTATCATTTTAAATCTAATATAAAAAAATGTCTCTTCGGCTTATTTAATTATTTTATTTATCCTTCCGATAAATGAAGACAGAATGTCAACAATAAAATTCTTTTTAATTTCCGGTTAACTCCGGAAGTCAATGTTTAAATCAAAAAGATATGTAAATAATTTCACATTACTTTAGAATAAAACATAATATAAAATGAATAATTAAAAATTTCTTAAATTTTTCAAAATCACTTCTAATAAATAAAAATTTTATCAAAGAAAAAATCTAATAATCAGTTAAATTGAAATTCTCACCTTGACAAGTTCTTTTAAACGTTCACGATTATAGACGTTTCCAATTTCTTCACCAAGAACTAAATCTAAAAGCTTGCTTATTGGATAACTTAAAGGAAATGTCAGGATCATTGTGAGTTTTGTCATGTAAATTGTTTTTGCACCGATACATAATCCATGTCTACTGCAAATTGCCTAAAAATAATAGAAAAATATTTCAAATATTACAATTTTCTTTTTAAAAATCATTAATTAATTATCATTATTTATAAATAATGTAAAAAAGAAATTGAATAATACACACTTGAGGTGTAATTTCACCAAAAATAACAATAGCAAGTGTTGCACAAATAACAGCCACTTGTCCAGATGTAAGTTCCTCTAGGACAATAGTAAAAATTGAATTCACAAGAACATTAGAAAACAAAATGGAGCACAATAAATAATTTCCCATATTTCTCACGGGTTCAATTGTTCTCGCATATTGCTTTTCCTGAAAAAAAAAATTATTTTTATTATAATTTTAAAAGTTATAATGTAAATTTTACATTTTTTTATATTTTTTCTATATTTATATCGATTTATAATTGATAATTTTACCTTTTCAGTTCCAGTATTGCAAAGAATTTTCAGTTCCGTTCTGTCTAATGACATGAGACCCAAATTAAGACCAGAAAATAATGCTGAGAAACTGAGACAAGTAAGAATGATGATTATTGACGCCCAGAGTGGCAGAGCTTTTTCATAAGCACGAATCTATAATTTACGTATTCTATATACAAAAGTTTGTATGTCAAACATAAATTCACACAGTATATTATAATCATTTTAAACTATTTTCCTTTCTTTTTAAACAAAAACTTACAGTCATATAGCTGTCAGCACCTTGGTGTATAGCTGAAATAGGAATTTCTTTTTCTTGTGCTCTCCGATTTGCACACAAATAATAAACTCCTGGTTTCGAAAAAATTATCGAAACTAAAGCTGTATTCTCCGCGACTTTGTAAACCTAAGGAAATATAATAAATTCTCAATGATTATATATTAAAATAAGTTGAAATATACTTAAAAAATTAGTTTAATTTTAAAACTTACTGGAAATTTATCTGTGCTGCGTTTATCACATAAGGCACCTTTATTTTCTTGTGAATTTGTAAATGCAACTTCAACATCTTCGGTGATTCCAACGCCAAATAATCGAAGCACTACCTCGGTTCCAACTAAAATTTCTGGTACACCATCATCACCATAAACGGTATGTTTATCAGAAATTTCGACCCTGATACCACGTATATGGAAATCTGAATTATTATTTGAATTTATTGGTAGGTTTTCTTGGACGTACTCTCGACGCGTACGTGAATATATTCTGTAAAAAGTAAAATATTTAAAAATATCAAACAAAATCCTGATTATTATAAACATAATTAATTTTTTAATAGTAATAATTATATTTGTAATTTTAATTATACGTATAAGTAAATAACTGAATGTTATTTTTCATTAAAAAAAAAAATTTCCTAAATATAAAACCATTTGTTATAAAAATTACATATATTTTTTCAGTCACTTAATTAAGAATTTTTGTGATATATTCGAATTTCAAAATAAAAGCTAGATTAGTTTTATTTTATGTACATCGATATGAGCTATCTCTCTTACGAAATATATATGCTTTTAGTTTATATTTTAAAAATCATTTCTTTATAAGAAAAATTTCCAAAATCAATATCTTCATTTAAAATTGTTTTCAGTGAATAAAAAAATAACATTCATATAATTAATAAATGCTAGTGAAGAAAGAAAAAAATCAAAAACATTTTGTTAAAGATATTTTTGAGTAAATTTCTGTAACTTGGCAATTGATTATACAAGTCAGTTTAAGAATAACTGAATACGTACAAATGCAAACATAATTTCTGATTATAAAATGGATATACAATTGACAAATTAGTTAATTATGTGCTATTTACACCTTTGAGATTGAAAAAAAAAATTAATACTTAAGGGAAAATGAAAATTATCTTTTAGGAAAAATTCTCCAACTTACATGTATATGAAATATATAAGTATATATGAGAACTCAAAAGAATTAATATACATATATGCAAATGGGTCAAGGTTAACAAGGCCACCCCTTGGCATCACATTCGCACTCCTAGGCTCTAGGGTTTGATAAATACATACATACACTACACTCTTAAACCCACAGACTATTGATTAATTCTACATCCAAATGTTATGACTTTTTAAAATTTCTCATTTATCATTTCTCATTTCTCAATTTTATCAAAATAATAATTTTATAATAATTAACTCTCACTGTATTATTTTGTGTGATAATGTTCTTATAGAAAAAATTCTTTTCCTTTGAATAAAAAAGAAAGTGTACTTTAAAATAATATTTTCCGGAAAATGAGAATACTTACTAATTAAATATTCATAATTTTAATAAATTCTGCCTCTTATTATTATTTTGATATTTTCTATTTATATACTGAATTTTGATTTTCTTAATGTTTCCAAACCCTTGAACCAACAAACTATATATATTAATATCGATATAATTTTTAATAATTATTTTCATAACTGATAATTAAAAGATAACATTGAAATTTCAATTTAAATTACAATAAATAAAGAAAAGAAAAACATTCAATTAAATCTTGGGCTTAATTAACTAAAAAAACATTTTATTTTGTGACTTAATTTTTCTTTTTGAATGACTAATATGCGGGAACTCTACACTTCTATGTATTATTCGAGTTACCAACACAGTGTCATAAAACATTTTAATCAAAAATCTTCAAGTTTTAAATATAACGTTCGTGAGAACGAATATTTTTTTTCCATTTAAAAAAAATATATACATATATATAGTTCGTTATTAATTAACCTGATAGATTAACATTTTTCTTTTCCGGTGGCAAATACACAAAATAATGACGTAACAAATTTTTTTTTCTCAACTTTCAGAATAACAGGATTTAACTTGAAATTATACTAAAAAGTAATGGCTCACAGCCAATATTCCCCTGATGTCTACTTCTATCCTTTACTTTTCAAAAGGTTAAGTCTGTCTCTGAATCATTTTCTAAAATTAAATTGAAAATAAATTTTATATTGAAAACAGTAAATTATCATTCACAAAAAAATGATATACCCATATGCTAGATCTTAATTTTCATCTTTAATTGATAATTACAGACTTAAATAGGCATACCATGTTATTAATTACAATATTATAGTTTAAGTATGATTAAATTCTGAGAGGCCAGTATAATATAAATAAAAACACATTTGAGTTAATGGTATTATCAATCAAAGCAAAGTTCGAATATATTTAGATAAATAGATATTTTTCATAAATTATATTGATATATATTTACTTTGTACTTTTATAAATATATATATATATTGCATTTGCAAATATTGCAACTTTTAGATAATGAACATATATTTTGTTTACTAATGAAGAATGCACTATTTTAATGAAATATATTTATAATCAAATATAAATTTAGGACTGAATTCTAGTTCTGATTCGTTTTGGTAAGATCTTACTAGTACTGACCTGGTATGAACCAGTTTTTAAACATAATATTACGTATAAGTCGATAACCTATTATCTGAAATTTTTTATAATATAAAATGCAATCAAAGTAGCAATCAGTCAAAATCAATTTATTTTTTTCATTCTAGTTAACATTTTATTTTTCCACCTGAAAAATCCTATAAAAGGAAAAAAAAATTACTTTTAAAAACTATAGTTGTTCTTATGAATATATATATAGAGTACTTTATTTAATTAATCAAATAGTCTTAGCGGATTATCTAATTAAATTAATTAGTGTAAAATGACAAAATGAAAATAACTATGTTTTTAAATTGGAAAAAAAATTGAGAATTCTAATATAGAAAATAAAATAAAGGTTTCTTTAGTTGTGACAAAAAAATTATTTTCTTTAATGACTCATAATTGCTTAGGAAATGAACTCGTAGCATGTGTTGCATTGTAGTTATTAATATGACTAGGTCGTTCAACTTTTCTCTATTCAAACAATTTAAGATTACATAAATGAATTAGAATCCTAATATTTAAATTGCAAAATTAGGCTGAATAAATAAATTCTGGAGTAAAGTGTTTATTTATATACGATCACTCTTATAACCTTGGTTTTATTTATATTTTTGTATATTTGTAACACTTTAGAGTTTAAAATTTAAGTTTATTAAACTTAAGTTATTTAACTAATTTTTTTTTTTCAAAAATCACATAAAAAAATTTAATTCACAATTGCGTAATAAAAAGTAAACAAATCGGCGTTTTACGATTCAAACCACTTAAACTGCAAAGAAACCGCTAAAATAAATTTTATTTAAGCTTCAATCAATCTTCGGAAGTTAGGCAATAATTGTTCAATGAATACTAGACTATTCTTATCATAAATCAATTAATATCTCACAATTTCGTAAAATGATTAAAGAGAAAAAAAAATACACGTTTTTACTATTTCTAAAAAATTGTTCATTTAAAATTAATATAATTTGTATTAATAACTCAATTGTAATTGAAAAATAAATAAAAAAAAATCACACACCAACTTCTTTATGAATGATACAAAGAAACTTGTTTGTTTTTAGACAATAGTGATTTCATTCATTGCCTTTATCAGAATACAGTGAGGCACAAAGAATTTTGTTTCACATTGTCAGCACTTCAGAGAGTATAGAATAAATCCTAGAATCTTATTAAATTATATAACTTGACAATTATTTCTTATATGCATCACGAGTTAATGCACTTCTCCCAAGATATAAATGCATTAAAATTATAAACAGACACGTTAAAATTTATTCCGCAAGTTGAATTTCATAATATAACTATATAGATAGCAAGGGGCGTTTTAAACAACAAGTACAACAATCATTATCAAGAATTCAAAGAATATGATTATTTTCCTTAAGAAGAAGTAAAATAATTGCTTACCCATTTGATTTTAAATCTATGGAAAAATCTTTTCCTAAGTTAATCCATTCCATCCTGTTTTCACTTTTTGAATTAGCATAATTGGTGCAAAAATAAACCACATTAACCTCAAAGATACGATTATCCTGGAATTCGTAAACAACATGCTGAGCATCGCTGGCTGCCTGTATTTTTCGTAATCCATTTTTTGATTCACAATCTCTTTCATTTACTGACCAGATGAGTTGGAGGTCGGCATGAAGGTCCGTACCATTAACTTCCACCAGGATACCAAACTTGGACACATTTGACTCACTTATAGGTAAATTTTGAATGCTTGACAAACCTATTCTATTTATCGTAATATTTGTTATTGTGCTAACCTGAGGCAGCACGAAAGCATTCGCTAGGTGAAATGATAAAAGAATAAATAAAACAACAACCGGCAACCACGAGTAATCAACATGACGCGCCATAATGCGACAAAGTCAACGCGACAACTTCACTCTGTTTCATTTTCAGCTGCATTTATAACCTCCAACACATATAAAGCTTGATCATGCGCAATGATTTATTTTACACTTTTTTAAAAATATAAAACGATATAACATTAAATTCAAATATTATTTTACCAAATTTATTCTACTTTTGAACAATTTTCGTAAGAATTTCTTTCATTTTTTTTTTAAATTGAAATAAATCATTATTTTAGTAACAATTTTTAGTTAGTTTCTTAAATCTTTTTTGAATATAGTTTTAAAAATTTCGACCAATAACAAATGACTTTTCTTTTGGAAAACCAATGGGATTTGTTTCACATTGTCACATGATAATGAATTTAATGGCGTCTTGGCGGGAGAAAAGTCACGTGATTTAGTTGCCGTTGTGCAGTTAATTCATCAACAATGAATTATATCTGTCAATGTAATTGAATAGATAATATTAAAATTATTTACATTTAAGGACGCTCTAGCTGCAAATTTCATTTGGCAAATTACATCATTATGCCCGGTGGTGAGTATTTTTTACAAACAGTGTATTTTTTTAATAATTTTCTGTCATAAATCGTTTAAAATGGAAAGTGTATAGGTTAGGTTTTATCATCATTATGAATATGTTTTATGTTCTGTTTACATATTTTTTTAATGTTAATAGGATATTTTTAAGTATTATTATAATAAATTTTTATTAGAATTTTTTAAATATATTTCCTTATAAATAAATTGACTTATCTCTAGCTGAAAAAATAATTTCGTTTGAAATTAATGTTTATTTCTTTTTAGCTTTGCTGAATGAAAAGCGGCAAATAATAAATATCATAAAACATTTTAAATTTGAAGAATTAGAAAATACTGTAGTGCCAGTTTTTCCCGAAACATCATGGAAAAAAATCAGAACCGATTTAATAGAAAGTCAGCAAAGGCTGTCTGTTTTGAATGTGACAAAAATAATATCAAGACTAATTGATGTGAGTTTTCTTTTTGTTATTGTTAATTTACTTTTTGTGTAGTTTTTATTAATTTATACATTTTAATTATAGGATCACAATCTGACAAATAAAGATCTGAAAAATCGTCTTTCATTACTAGAAGTAATAGGTAAATATTTCTTTTTTCAAAAAAGAAATACTAATTATTGTTGTTGTTTTTTTTATTAAAATTTATTTTTGTTTTAGACATCAGTAGACATCATATGAAAAAAACATGGTATACTTTTGAAATGTTAAAAATCAAGGAAAAGATAAATTTTATGACAAAAAGTGAGGTAACAACAAGAATTATGGAATTCTTTAGTGAACAGAATGTAAGTGCTGAAGTATATACTGCAAATTATGACGGTTTTATTTTTGTTGCAATAAAAGAAAAACCAAAATCAAAACAAAGAAAAACTGTTCGGCTTATACCAATTTGTTTTGCTCTAATTTTGGGGCAGGATCATTTTTTCTGTTCTAAAAAAACTGTGACAAATCCGTATATTAGAGTAATTTCAAATTCCATGGGGTATGGTGAATATAAACGAGTTCAATTATTTGGTAGAAATTTACGATCACTATTTAAATTGCTGTGGCAAAAGAGGCAAGGTGCAATTAATACTGAAACAATGGAAGACGTACCATATCAAGATCATAAACCACTTATCACGTATGTATTAATATTTTTCTATCTTTCATTTTTAAAATTAGAAATTATAAATTTTATTTTCAAATTCAAGGAGTACGGGTATTAATTTCACACAAGCTATACATAGAAAACAATATGTGAAAAACTTTTTTGGACCTGATCCACCACAAGTGGAAACATTAGCTTTACAATGCGCAAATTCCACTTGGTATGATGAGGAAACAGTTGAAAAATTACCAAATTATAACTTATGCATTGGGTAAGTTTTGAAAATAAAAATTTATTTATAATATACAAAATTCAATACTATATTAGTATTAAATTATTTTTAGATGGAATTTTAATAGTACAAATGTTAACAATTTATTACAAAATTTAATAAAGGAAAAAGTTATTCAATTACCAATGCCTGCATATTTATCAAAATGGACAACGTCAGGAAGGAATTCTATAAAATTAGTGGAAACATGAAATTTATTTTATTAATAAAATCATCATTATTTGATGTAAATTAGAATCAATTTATTAAAATTGATATCTAATATAGGTAATGTCTATTTTTTTCTATTGATTAATTTTCTTTTGTTTATTAAAAATTTCCACTTTTACAATTTTAATTAAAAAAAATGTATAAATTTCAAAATTAATAAAAAAAAAAAAAATGTAAATTTTTGTAAAATTATTAACAATTGAAGTAAATATTAATTAATTTAAAAATGTTTTTTTTACTTTTTATTTAATAAAAGTAATTTTTTTGGTATCATTTTGGATTGTATAAAAATCAACTAATTTGCGATAAAAAAAACTGTTTATTAAAATGCATGTATATAGGGTTTTAACTATTTTATCGTATAAAAATTAATATTTTTATCTTGATATATATCATCATGATCACAATGATTCATCATCGTCATCCTCATAATCTTCTTCAGAAGTAACGTCAGGATCTTCTGCCTGTAATAAACATCTTGTACATTTGCATATAAACAAATACTGTGAACTTAGAGCTTTTTGTCGAGAATGTCTACTTCTTTCAAGGAGGCATTCATCCAAATAAGCAATACAAATTTCTTCTTCCGGTTCAATATCTCGAATTACCTTCAATACCAAGGTACTATTTGAATATGGAAATTCAACAACGGCATTTGGTAAGCAACTGTGATTTATTGTTGATTGTAAAGTATACAGTCCAGAACCTTCATTATTTAAGAATGTGCCAACAACTAAAAAATTATTTTTATTTTTCAATTTCATTGATAAGCAAAATATTTTAAAGTTTCTAATATTTTCTATTTAAAATAAAAATAATTATTTACCTTCTTCCATATCGTCGTAAATTTTATCAATGAGTTTATCAACTTGCATTCTTTGATCGTCGGATAATTGTAAATTGGTTACATTTTTAACCCATCGACTAAAAGCACTTGTACCAATGCCCTGACCATTTGTGCCCACTAATGCTAACAAACTTTTAAATCCTTCAGGTGTAAACCACTAAAATCAATTTCTTCTTTTAAAATATAGTTTATAAGAATTATCATTTTATGATTATCAACTTACGTCCTGTACAAATTCAGTATTTAAAACATTTTGCATTGTCTTTCTCAATAGATCGATTTGACCAACAAATTTTTCACCAAGTAAATTGTGTGCTATTTCTTGTGTTTCGTTAATTGTTCGATGACAGAATTGAGATAAAACAAATCTAATACTATCTTTATCATTCGATTGATTAATTAATGCAACCATTCGTGCTAGTAACATTACAGTCGCAGTTTCCGGTGGATAATGCAATTGCTTCCACGTGTCATTTAATCGTACAAGTGGATGAAGATGATTTTTACTTCTCGAATGTAAACAAAGACTTTCATGATATCTATAGATCAATGAAAAAAAATAAAATATATTAATTATTTATATTTTCTTAATTGAATATTTTTATTTGTTAATTCACCTTTGTAATGCTTCAATTTTGCAACCATTACTGCAATATTTTACTCCACATAATTCACATTCTGTGATTAATTCCGTTTTAGTTTCACAACATTCTGGATAGGGTAAAATAATATTTGATTTTTCAGAAAGTCGACGTACATTCTCTTCAGCAGTTTCTAAGGGTTTTAAACAATTATCACAAGCTAAATAACCATACTCAGCATTCCAAGAGAATTGACAACAAATAAATGGTTTTTCCTCAAAAATTGTATCACCTTCCTTAAAAGAACGAAGAGCAAAAAGTCCTTTACCCTATTAGTAAAAGAAATACATCATAATAATAATTTTTAATTCATATCTACATAATTACAAGTAAAAATAATTTCACTTCAAATAACGCATTTCTACACATAACAGTACAAAATTTAAAAGAATTTAAAATATTATTTAAGTTCATATAAATATTAAAATTTTATTTTTAATATTAATAAATATTTACCTTTTCATTACTAATTATTCTTACTTGAACACCTTCCATTATTTACATAAAATTCAATTGTTATTTAGTGTATTAATCGGTACAGGTAACATAACCTATCAAAAATCTGTCACATTTCCTTCGATGACTATGTGAGTCAAGTATCTTGTATAATTGAAAATATTTCCAATTTTATTTACTTAAAATTATGATATAAAATAATTACAAATTAAATAAATAATACTATAAATAAGGATTATTTTAGAAAATTTTTATCTATTCGTTATATTCAAGTTATATATTGTCATTTTAAATTAGAAATTAGTTGTTCATTTGAACTTACAGTAGGCATAACTCTGTTAACAACTTCCGGAAGAAACAGGAACAAGAAAAGGATTGTCTCTACGTTTATTTCTATATTTATAATTAACAGACGTCGTTTATATTTATTCTTAGTGTAAATAATAGTGTAAAACCGAGCAGTTAATCAGCTGCTAAAATGAACGGTACAATATCAATGGTAAGAAAGTTATTCATATTCTAAAAAGTGCTTCTGATCTTTTAACACAGATTAGCAATTTCGTTATAGTGTAATGGCGACGTTTGCATTCTTAATTTTTTGTTTAAATGCATTTTTATAGTATTCATTGAAAAATATTCAGTTTTATTTACCGAGAATATTTATTAATTTATTGTTTATTTCTATGTAATATTTTTCTTTTGTAATCTGTATATTCATCACAAATTAGTGTCACAGATTATTGATTTTTGCTTATGATCACGTCAATTTAATATTGTTATGTTAAATATTATTCTTATTATGAATTATATTGAAAAAATGATCCTATTTCAAATTTTTATTGCAAAAATTAATTAAATTAGTTATCAAGCATTAAATTTTATTCTTAATTTTTGTTTTGCTTTTAAGGTTATGTCAATGTCCTATTTGTAATATAATTATAATTATATAAAAAGGTTTATTCCAAGTCATAAATTTTCTTTTCAGATGTCAACACAAAACAATTCAGAATCACCTAGCAAGAAATTCCGAGCAGAAGGTATTTTACTTTTACAAAACAATTATAATTTTTTTTTTTTTCAAATACTGTAGGAAACTACATATTTGTACTTAAAAAAAAAAAAAGAAAAAAAAATACAGATGGATAAAACGGTGAATGCAGAAAGCAGAATGCGAAATAATAATTTATGTTGAAAACGGAATTGCAGAAAAAGAAACATGTTTTCTCAAATTATTAGGGATGTCAAAAGTTAGCTCTATTTTAAAAGCTAACTTATTTGTCGTTATTTGTTGTCGAATGGTTTTCACAATGTAACATATTTTGGTATAGGCTTAGGGTGTTAGGCGAACCGTTGGCCCTAAATAAAACTAATGTATGGTTGTCCTTTTGTTCTGAGATGTTACAGCAGAGAGACAGTACAGATTCTGTGGCCTTCGACTGAGCTGTGATCATGAGCGTGTGCCAAGCAAAGAAAGAGAACGCTACATACGTTGAACAGAAAAAATCAGAGTTTTTTTATTACATAAAAAAAACTCCTACTGACAATAATCGAGTATCAAAAAAAATACTCACAAATTCTAGATAGGTTAGCATTTTAGGTTAGATTTTTAAAGTCTTGCTAATTATGAGTCTCATTAAAATAATTTAAAACAAAAACATTTGAATAAAAAAATGTTCTTTAAATTTTCTTAGAAATTCATTTTTCTCTATTTATTTAAAATTAAAAAAAAAAAAGAGACTTTTAATTAGAAAAGGCAGTGGTGATAATTATTGTACTCATTAATATTTAGATTGGAAACAAAGCAGGTAAGAGATCATAAAAAAGATGAAGGCTATAAAATATATATATTAACAAAACAAAACTGACATCGCCATTGCTAAATAGAGAAAAAAAAAGTATTAGGAATAAATCAAGATTAGGTTGGAGAAGGCAAAGTATTAGGAATTGGCACAGAAAAAATGCACTGAGAGTGTTCTCCTTTGCTTTGTGCTTACAGATTTCGTGTGTCGCCTGTCTCGGATATTTTGTACGCGCAACCTTCAATTCCTCAGCCCTGAACACGATTATATACCTTAATCGAACACAATGAAAAAAATCGTGATGCAAACTCTCTCGAATTTGAAAAAAAAAATCGTAAAGTAAACAAACAGCTAAATTTTCACGCTGCGTTACCAACGTGTTCTGATTTCTGTTTCAGAGACTAGAAGAAACAAATTGGTCTGATTCAAAAGTAATACTTGAAATCCAAATAGGTCGTTTCATGTAGGTAATTGGATGAAAAAAAAATCAAAATGAAATAAAAGATGCGCATGTCTTATACAGATAAAGTCGGATGTATTAATTTAACAACATTTTTAGATAAAATTAATTAAAAAAAAAAAAAGGTTTTGAAAACTATCGATTTCAGCCGTGAACGTTTCTCGAGTTATTTTTGTTTTTTATGGCATGCAAAGAGAATTCTGTTTCTCGATGAAAAAAAGAGATTTTTCCCATAAAAAGAAAAAAAAAAGTGAGGGTGGGGAAAAATAATAGAAGGTGATAAATTGACTGTTTTAATTTCTTTAAACTTACAGTTTCGAGGAACTACCGGCTCTGGATACTGCTAGGAGGCATCGTAATTTTACATCCCCTTTTTATGATTCGTCAAATTTTTAGGGAAATTTTCCTTAATTTTTGTTTTCCCCCGAAAAAAAACAGTATTTAGTGCACATCTTTGTCCGTTTATGATTAAAGTTTATTTATTTTTATTTTTTTTTCTAAAACAAGGGTATTTTGACTCGACCAAATTTTTCTAAATTTTTTTCTTTTTTATCAAAATTTTTACAGATTTTGTTTTGAAAAAAAACTTGAGGTTGATTATGTTTGTCGAGTGAATCATCAACACTACAATCGATTAATGGCTTCAAATAGAAAGTGCTAAAGCATCTTTAACAGTTAGTAAAGAATATTTATTTTTAATAATCTTGTTTTTTAGATTCTTTTTTCTCTTCATTCGAGACGAGTCAATTTTAAAGAAAAAGAAAAATTTGAAAATTATTGTAAAAGTAAGAAATGGTCGACCCTTGGTTTTACCTCCTCCATCACAGAAAAAAAAAACAAATATATATTTTTGTTTTAAATAAAAAATTCGGGTTTCAAAGCCTATTCGTTGTGATGGATGAAGTATCGAAGAATTTTTTTAATTAATGAAAATGCATATTTATACTAATTAGTTATTTCTTCACAGGAAATGCTAGTGACTTCTTGCAAGGACCAATTTATGATCTTAATCAAACAGGTCAGGTTGTCGCTGGTGAGTAATAATAATAATATAATTATTATTTTTTGTATAAATATTATTATATTTTAAAATTTTATTGTGATGAACCTATTATTTCGTGACAATTAAAATGTAACGAAGTCTCTTTCATTAAAGTTCCATTGAATGTAGATTTCTATGATTCACTGGACGTTTTTGCTGATAAGATCTGATTAAAAGTAATTTTAAAATAAAAAAAAATAATCCTGTGATTTTAATAATTTTTGTTTAATAAAATTATAATTCTATTTACAGGTCCTGGAGCAAAGTATCTTACTTTGCCTGGAATCTTGGGTGCTGGACTGCCGAAAATATCGTCAGAGCAACAAGATACCGTGAATAAAGCCAAAAAATATGCCATGGAACAAAGTATAAAAATGGTCCTGATGAAACAAACTTTGGCTCATCAACAACAGGTAAGTTTCACATTTCATGTAATTTATTCAATTCTTTTTTACACTCGTGTGATTTTTCAAATTAGTCATCATTTTTCAAAATTTCATTATTTTCATTTTATTAGATTCATTATTAAAAAAAAATCCTTTTTAAAATTTAATTAATATTTGATATCAATATTTGTTTTAATTGTATCAATTTTTTTTCGTAATTTTTCTTTTTTTCATTAATTCTCTTTTTTGAAATTAAAATATAACAGTAGTTTAGAAATAATGTAAAATTTCAAAAATTACACTTTTAAACAATCATTTAATTATTAAATCAATTTCACTAGTTTATTTAACAAACTTTTGAATATAATATTTTTGACAAAATTAACAAGTTTCGGTAAATTTTTTTTTCAAATTTCTTAACAATGAGAAAATAATTATTATAGAAGCAGCTTTTTTTAAAGTATAGAATTAAAATTTTCAACTTAGTGAAATTGATTATAATTAGCTTTTAATAGATAATTTATGGGGCATTTTTATTTTTATGTAGATTATTTGCATTTTTAAAAAATATTTTCCCCTAGTTACATTAATCATTTCATTTAAATTAATCATCCACTTATGCTGTTTATTAATTTAATGAATGGCTTTTGAAAATGTTTTTCACAACTTTTTCGGTTATGGAAAAAGTGACAAAATAATTAATAAATAAAAAAAGGAATAAATTTTACAAATATAATTGAATGATAAAAATAATTGCTTAAAGTACAGCTTTTATTTTTTGTTTACTAAAATTAGTTTACGTTAACAATTTTTCAATTTCAATTTAAAAATATTAAGTGAAACATTTTTGAAATCCATTCACAATTTTCAATAGTGCTTTACTAACAAAAATATAAATTCAAAACGTGAAACATTTAAAAAAAAAAAAAAAATACGTGTGGTCCTCACAAATTTAGCTCGTCCCGCCGAGTCGTGTTAAATTTGTGTACTAACATTTTTAACCCGCTAACTAGTAGAAAACAACACGAAAAAAATCAAGAACTAACTCTGATCGGTTAATTTTTTCTCCCCGCAGAAGAATAAGTTGGTCCTGCGGCAGCAAGTTTTATTGCTAATGTGCAGGTTAGTGCCTACCAAGTCAAGAACGAAGTTTTTAAATCCGATCGAACCTATATATATATATATTTAAACATTTTCCTAAGTTCCTATATACAAATAACAAAAAAGAAATAATAGAAAAAAAGTAAAATAAAATAAACATAGTCGCACCTTAACCGGGTATAATAGTCGGCGGGAGCAGAGCTGTTACACTGCAACGAGGACAAGTTTTATGCATGATTCTCTGGGCAAATTCCAAAAAATACAAAAAAAAGGTTGTTAATTTCTGAGCTCAAATTCACCATTCGTTTTTTTTTTTTTTCAAAATTCATCTTTTCTCATAATTATTTTCTCATCAACTCGAGAAAAACGTAATTTTTTTATTTTTCTTTCTTAATTTGAATCATATTCTCATTGAAAATTTTGAGATGGTATTTGTTTTTTTCAAATTTTGTTTGATAAAATACCATATGTTAATTTTAGAAAAAGAATTATTTTTTTTTGTATACAATATATGAGAATGGTGTTTGAGTGAGGAAATTAGAATGGTAAAAAAAAAGAACATGAGTACAAGACATAGTGTTTATAAAAGGGGGAGGGATATCAATAGAAGGCCGATGGTCCTTTGTGTTGCAGCAAATGGCTAGTCAACGGAATCAGGTGCAGAGACAGCAGGCTCTCGCCCTCATGTGCAGGTTTGTTTGTTCTTTGCTATAGCCCACCGAGATTTATCCAGAAGTTCCTCGGTAATTCAACTCGGGAACATCATCTGTGGTTCTTTACTATTTTTAAGTTATAGTTTAATTAGATTTACTTTAGTTTTACCTAGGTTTTAAAATCTATTTCATAACATTTTTTTTTTTTTTTAAACTAAAAGTTACATTTCTTTTAATAATTTTTTGTTTCTCGAATTTTAAAAAATTTGTTTTAATTTTTTCTCGCGTAAACTTAAATTTTGCATGTTATTTTTCATTTATTTATTATATTCAGAATTTCTTAGGATTATCAAAAGTAAGGTTTAAAAAAATTCTTTGCCTTTAATGATTTAAATTTCTTCATATTATTAATTATTCCAGTATTTATTATTAATTAGGGAATTTTTTTTGTAAAAGAAAATATATATCAAAATTGAGAATTTAAAATTTTTCTATTTAGGGATATAATATATTTTGAAAAAATTAATTTTTATGCTGTTATTTCAAAAATGTTGAAAGAATTTTCCAAAGAAATTCTGATTTTCTTTTTAACCAGTTCATAATTTCAATAAAGATTAATTTATTTTTTATAATTTCTAATTTTTTTTTTTGGTTAAATCTCATTTAGTTTTACGCGAATTTAAAATAATTATTCTCTCTTAGAACGCTTGGAACTTTCATTAACAAACATGAAATTAATCTATATATAAATATTTTTATTTCGAAATTTAATTTTTCTTGAAACTAAAATAACTTTTTCAAAGTGAAATTCTTGTTGTAAGGGAGAAAAATTCGGTAATCTATTTTAATATAGTTATAAAATAGTAATTAACCTTTCTTGTTATTCATCAAATTTCACAATAAATTATAATATTACATGAATTAGATATTTTTTATTTGAAAAATATAATCTTTAAAAGAAAAGAATTGAAAATTTATAATATTTGGAGAAAATATAATTTTAAATCTTGTATTAAAATTTGCAAAAAATTTTTTTTGTTGTGAGATTTGATGGATGAAAATTAAGTGTATATTATTAATTTTGTTTTTTAAATAAAAACAGGGTATACGTGGGCAGCATAAGTTTTGAATTGAAAGAAGATACAATAAGACAAGCTTTCTTACCTTTTGGTCCAATTAAATCAATTAATATGTCATGGGATCCCGTGACACAAAAACACAAAGGCTTTGCATTTGTTGAGTATGAAATACCTGAAGCGGCACAACTTGCTTTGGAACAGATGAACGGCGTCATGATTGGTGGAAGAAATATCAAGGTAGCAGGACGAACCTATATAACGAATTTCCTGTCCATGCGAAATCCTAGCAAATCCTCGGAGGTCCGCAGTATTTTATTTTGTACCTCAAATTAATTTTATTTTGAAAAATCCTCTATTTTTACTATACAATTTTCATAGTCCTCAAATTTTTTTTTTTTTAAATAATTGAAAAATAATTGTCAATTTTTTCGCAGTTATAACAATTTTCTAGTAAAAAAAAAATCTATTAATGACAAAGGGTTAACAATAAAACGAAGACTGTCTCCGAGGAAAATCCTATTAACTATAATTAAATTAAAAATTTTTTGAATATATTTGTTATAGGCAGTTCCATTCCTCGCTGGTAGCATCTTCTGCTCCTTGAATGTAACCAACATTCCTTTCCTTTTGAAATAATATTTTCATTATTGTAAATATTTGTTTTTTTTCTTAAAATTATTATGTAAATTTTTTAAAGGTCGTTGGAAGACCATCAAATATGCCTCAAGCACAATCGGTGATTGATGAAATTACCGAAGAAAGTAAACACTATAATCGCATTTATATTGCGTCAATTCATCAAGATTTAACCGAGGATGATATTAAATCGGTTTTTGAAGCATTTGGACCAATTACCTATTGTAAATTGGCGCAAGGAAGTTCACCGCATAGACACAAAGGCTATGGTTTCATTGAATATGAAACAATGCAATCTGCATTAGAAGCCATTGCTTCAATGAATTTATTTGATTTGGGTGGACAATATCTTCGAGTTGGACGTGCAATTACACCGCCAAATGCACTAATGGGACCACCAAGTGGTACCAGTACAATGCCAACAGCCGCTGCAGTTGCCGCAGCTGCAGCCACAGCTAAAATTCAAGCGATGGATGCAGTTGCAAGTAATGCTGTTGCATTGGGTCTCACAAAACTTGGAGCAACGACACCTCCACTCTTATCTCAAGGTAAAAAAAAACTAATTTTTAATTTCAAAATATTTACTATTTTTTAATTTTAAAATAGAAAAGTTTTTTTTGAAAAAAAATAATTGCCTTTTTAGCACTTCCAACTATTGCTCGTTCAACAACACCGTCAAGTACAGTAATGGCACCACCATCGGTAGCAACAATTGCACCTATCATTCCACCTCCTGGTATTGCAATTCCACAAACTTTGACGCGACCTCTTGCCATTATTCAACCGATTACTGGTCAACCGGTCGCTATTCCACCTCCGGCTGTTGTAGCGCCAACTGCAGTCGGTGCACAAGTTGTAAGTAAAAATCAAAAATTTACTTATGTATTTTTATTAAAATTCATTTCATTAAATATATTAAATTGTATAAAATTTAGCAAATACCAGTAACCGCTTCATTAACCGCACCAAGTACGGACTTGATGAGACGAGCTCAAGAGCAAGCGGCACATCAAAAACAACAGGAGGAACTACAAAAGAAATTATTAGAAGAAACTGAACCACAGACATTACAACAACAAGAAAATATGTCAATAAAAGGACAAAGTGCAAGACATTTGGTTATGCAAAAATTAATGAGAAAAGTTGAATCTCGAGTTGTTATTTTAAGAAATATGGTTGCACCCGAAGATGTTGATGAGAGTTTACAAGAAGAAATTCAAGATGAATGTTCGAAATTCGGTGTTGTTGAACACGTTATCATTTACAATGAACGACAATCTGAAGACGATGAAGACGCTGAAGTTATAGTCAAAATATTTGTTGCATTTAACCAAATGTGTGGTAAGTCAATAACCATTTACCATTTTAATATTTTACTAAAACAAATTACAATTCTCTTTTTTTTTCTCTTACAGAAGCGGAACGAGCAAGAGATTCGTTAAATGGACGTTATTTCGGTGGAAGAATGGTAAAAGGTGAACTTTACGATCAAGCATTATTTGACAACAATGATTTTTCCGGCTGATTTTTATTTATTTTTTTTTTTATTCATTCGAAGTTGACAGTGATCTAAGAGTTTATCTATTTTCTCCTATGGAAGAATACGTATTATTGTTGAAAAAAAAGAAACAATTTGTGCTAAATTTTTTATGCTGAGTGTATGAATGTTAATTGTATCGAATTTTGAATGCCTTGTATTTTTTTTTTCTTTCTTTTTTGCTAAAGTAGCATAGTTTGAATGTTTTTTTTTTAAGTTTCATTAGAAATTAATTCTAAAATAAATTTGATTTTTTTTTGAGAATATTTATAACGTCAGAAAGATAATTGATATTAATGAAAAAAAAGTGATACGTTTCTGGTAATTTGTGTAAATTTAAAAATGTAAAATGAATGATATTGTATATCATATGCAAATTTTCAACGCATTTTGTGAACTAATGTTAAATGTATTCAGTCATTATTATATTATATACATGTAACTATACATACATTGGTAATTAATGACAGAAATACAAGTTTTTTTTTTGAATTAATGTAAATTTTTTTTATTAATCTATCAACATTTTATATTACAAAATTTTCCTAATCTATTCTTATTATTTATTTTTTTACATGAGGTTGATATTTTACTTCTACATCTTGATACTCTTCGTAAACTGGAAAATTACCGGGATTACTTGCAGGCATTGGTGGATTTATTTTTTCAATTTCTTTCCCTGAATATTTTTCCACAAGTTTCGCTGCATTTTCACGTTTCGTTAATATTAGTTTATAATTTTCTTCAACTTCTTGATTTGTTGGTACTACACGTCGACGATATCGTAACCAAGCCTCCCATTCTGCGGGTATTTCTTGTTCATGATCATCTTTATTAACAGGCTCAAAATGACGTGCTGGTCTTTTAGATGATCCACGTCTTGGAGGAGTTTCAAAATATTTTGTTCCATAAAAATCTTCACCCATTAGCTTTGGTTTTTCAGCTCTTACAAATATTGATGAAATGAAATCTCTCCAAATCATACGAAGTACGTTTTGTTCTCTTCGTGACATTCTTTTTTTTTTTTTATTGATAACTAAAAAAGATCAAATCCTTTCTAAATTCTGTTTAATAATTATTACTTTTATTAAATTAAACAAATATTTAGTAATTAGGTAAATATATTACTTCAGATAAAATTGTAGTTTCTTTATATTAATTTTAAAATATCTCACACATAAAAAATGAAAAACTACGTCGAACTTTAAGAAATTAAAAATTAAACTTATTTCTTTTTCTATATTTAAAAATATTTTTAGATCTTACGAAAATTAATGCAATAATAACAATATATATATCTATTTTGTTTTTGTTCTATAGATTTTTGAATAAATCAATTCAAAGACTTGGTAAATAAACTTAAAAACAAATTTGGATCATTATATTTTATGAAAGTAAATATTATAGTAAAACGTAAATAAAAAAAAAGTATCATTTAATTTAAATACTAAAAAATCGTTATTTACTTACAAATCAATGAGATTTCAGCTGTGAGGACACTCACACAATAATTATATAATTTAAATAAACATTACTGTATGGTAGAATGCAGTAAAAAATCACAGGTAATTTAAGAAATAAATCTTAATAACCTTATCAGAATCAACATTCTAAATAATTTCAAATAGGAGAATTAATTTTTTCAAAACACTTGTTCTTTGTCAGTAAACAAAAATAACAAAAAACAAGTTATATGAGGTTATGTTTCTTCCACTTCCTGTCAATGTGACAATGACAGCAATGACAATGACGTTTACAACCGGTGTGAAGTTGGCAAATATACATTTTTTAAAAATGTTGTTAAATTTTTAAACAATTTTTCGCATTTAAACTAGTATAAACAAGTTAATTAATAATTATTTAATTAAATTTTTGAATTTTGTAATAGAATTTAAATGTTAATATCACTTAATAAATATTTTTTAAAAGTTTTTTAAAATTGAATAATTGATAAAGTATAATTTTTAAAGAAAGACATTATTTTAACACATTTTATCGTCAGATTTTGATGATTTTAATCAATTAACGTCAAATGATGCAACATAATACTAATTCTTCTTCCAGTACCTTCTGGAACATTCACTAATTTTTTTACGTTGTAGTCATCAACAACAATCGAAACAAATCACGATCACGTGATTCGAAAGTCAGCAATTTTGCATATCATTCAAAAATGGTTCCAAACTCTCATTTCCGTATCCAAAGAGCCATTAGTCAAAACAAACATTCTAAATAATTCTAAATCTATTATTAAAATATATATTTCTTCAGATTATGAAAAAATAATACTTCTATTTAGTATATAATTATATTTTTATCATCAAAACAAGTTTAAAAAAATTATTTGAAAATAATTCAAAGCATTTTCATATTTTAAACTGAGACATATAACCGGAAGTGATAGTGGCGCTCTCTCTTTGTCGCGTTTGTAAACATATAAAACACATCTGTCATCTGCAATTGATGCGTCATTGTGGTATTAATTTCTTTCTGCTTGTATATAAAAGGATTGAAATTTCTCGTAACTAATTATATTTGTTCGCAAGATTTTGTACAGTCCAGTTATCATAGAGAATTGAAGAAATACACAATTAATCATAGTGTGAAAGTGGAAATAGTTGACATTCTCTTATTGACATTCTATTTGCGTACGTTTCGAAACAAGCTGTCATCATGGCTGGTACGGTGGTCAATTTTAAAGTTTTCTTGATGAAAGAAAATGCAACTTTAACGAAACCAGAAGTAAGAAGATTTGGCATTGACAGCGATATTGTGACTGATTTTCAATATTTACGTGAAAAATTGCAAACCATTTTTCCCAATATTCGTGGTAAACGATTTACTGTCAGCTGGAAAGGTTAGTAGAACATTATGTATTACACATTTGTTTTTGTTGACATTTCGCCAGATAAATTAAATACATATATATATATATATATATATATATATATATGTTGTGATAGGTCATGTTATCAATATTTTTTTTTCGACTTAAGTAGAGCATTTTCATTTTTTGCTCAAAGAAATTGAAAGAAAAGTTATAAGGAAATGTATCTTTTCGGGAAATGAAATTGAAATAACAAAATAAGGAAAAAAGTTTCATTTTTTACGAATTGTATAAATAAATTAATTTTTACGATAATTTTCCTTGGAATTATCCTCCTTAAAATATAAATTACGATAAATGTACTAATTAGATAACTTTAAAATTAGAGAAAATGAAAATACAGAAAAATAAAAATTTTGGGTAAAACGAAATTGTCAAAAATAAAGTTGAAAGAAACCGACTGCTAGTTTTTAATTTTTTAATTAAAATTTGATGAATTTTTACATCTGATTTGAATTATTTTTCATAAACATTTAATTGACTCGATAATTGAAGTAACAAGTTAGTGAACTCGTTTCGAGAGCTGAACTTTAACATAAAAAGGATTTTAAAATATTCACGTTATTGATATCGACATAATTTGCAATTCTACTTCTTGTCAATATCAACGAATAAATATTAAATTAACAATTTTTTTTTCTTTGCGAATAGAAATATAATTTTCCCTTTGAAAAAAAAGGAAAATACTGAATTATGCAATTGTAATTTTATGTCTACTTTAATTTTAACGCAATATAGATTATTGCTGAAAAACTTTCACCCAATCACTTTAGTCATCATGGCTGCGAATGTTAGGATATTGCGTCATTTTGTAGGACAAGTGATATTCAATATAACACATAATGAGTTAAATAAGCTAGCGGTTGGTGGAGAGATGATAATAAACACTTGACTATAGGAAATTAAAGATAATGAATCACTTCCTAAACATTAAACAAACCTCTTTTCTATAGAATATTTTAATTGTTAATTAAATTATTTTAGTGAAAATTAGTTTAAATTTTTCTATTTTAGTTTTATTTATTTCTTTAAAATTATTCACAAACGTAATTTCTAAATATAGTCAATTTTTTTTTTGTTCTAGCTGAATGACTCACAGAATTTGATAACTTATTCAACTTAAACCTAAATTTAATATTATACTTTTGTAATATTAACAATATTTTCATGATAATTAAATTTCTTTAATTTTTATTTTTTCGAGAATAATAATAATAAAATAATAATCATTTTTTTTTGTAGATTGCGATGGAGATAATATTGTGATCTCAAGTGATGAGGAACTACAAATTGCACTTCTCGAAACTAATGGAGCGCTAGTGCGCAAATTTTATTTGACACTTTATTCTGATTACGAGCAACAAGGAACACAAGCAACAGCCTCTGAGGAAGGCGTTCGTCACGATGGCGTCACATGCGATGGTTGCGAAAAAAGTGTTTACGGCTTTCGCTACAAATGTATTCAATGTCCCGATTATGATCTCTGCAAAGAATGCGAAGCACAAGGTCTTCATCCTGAACATTGTATGCTACGTATGCCTTTACCAATGCCATATTCAAAAAATCGCTACATCAGACATTTTGGACGTCGAATGAATAAAAATCAACACAATAGCACAAATTTCACTGATAATTCAAAAGAATCATTCAAGAATTGTAAATTCGATAATTCACGTTCACGTCATTGTGGTGGTAACAATTTCCCCTGGACAGATTTCTTGGGTTCATTTGTTTACGATGTTAATAATACAGCAAAAGAATGTGAAAAACAATCGCAGGATAAATCTTCTGATCCACAAAAGGAACAACAACAACAACAGTCACAACAATCACAATTTCGCAAAATTTCCGAAACAAATATTGAATTTTTGAAAAATATTGGTGAACAAATTGCTCAGAATATTGGCGAACATATTACACAATTTTTAGATCCACTTGGAATTGACATTAATGTACCACAAACGAAAAATGACAATGTTCAAAATAAAACAGAAGATAAAACAAATTTGCCAAGTACTTCAAATGATGATTCTTCGGCTACAAAGCAAACACAAAATCAGAATGAAAAGCCAAATGAATCAGACAAATCTCCAGTGAAGGATCAAACAAAAGTTAATGATGAATCGAATGTGGATTTGAATAATTCAACATCAGAGAAAAATATGCCTGAACCAGAAGGTTGGACTTTGTTAAATGAAAATGATAGTCCTCCAACAACATCAAATTCATCACCAATTTCTTCTCGTGCACCATCAATTGCTGAAGCTCCTCTTGCAAAACCGGTAAATTATTTTTAATAAATTGTTTCTAAATACGTTTTAATTTAATTCCTAAGAATTCATTTAATCTTCTTTCTAAATTAAATAATTTTCTGACGGTGATTTTTCTTCATTAGTCACAGCCAAGTGCACCGACAGTCACCGAACCATTAGCGGCACCTGAGAAACCACTTTATCCACCATTGCCAAAAGAAGGTAAACTTCCATATCATTCAAATCCAAAAATTCAACGCGCTATTGAAACAATGATGGAAATGGGATTTTCAAATGAAGGAGGATGGTTAACTCATCTTTTGGTTACAAAAGAAGGTGATATTAGTAAAGCTCTGGATATTTTAGCACCTATTCGTCGATAAAAAAAAATATACTTTTTTTCAAATCTAATTATTGTTAAAGCTTATACAGAGAGGGAAATCATTTACAAATTGATTTCGCATTCCATTCAGCAATATTGTTACTATACATTAATATTAAATAAATGTGAATGCATTAAGAAAAAAAATTCGTAAAGTAGAAATTACTTTAGTTGCTCTGCATGTACTAAATGTAAACAAAAATGCATTCTATTCATTCCTGGTGACTGTATTACTTAGTGTCCAACAATAAAAAGTAAAAAAAAAATATTTCTCTCGTTATTTAATTTATAAATATAATTTAAAAAATTAATTCAGAAAAATGATCTTTTAAACTGTTGTTTATTTGTAAAAATGTACACAATAGATATATATAATTCTTTTTTTTCGATTTTCACTATTACAAACTTGCACAATATAATGACAGTTGTTTAGGATTATTATTTGTTAATAACTGTAATTCCCGTTGAGCATTGGGTGTTATATTTCTTATCCATTTTCTGTCTTTATAATATTCTATCATCATTTCAAATTCACCGTCGTCGAAGTTTTCAACTTTAATCGGTATAAATGGATCCAAATGTTCGAAACCTTTTTCTTGCAATAAATATCGTGGAAGATCCGAATCTCTTGTTTCCTGTTATTAAATTAAATTATAAATAACTATTTTTTAATTTCGATTAAAATATAAGTATTTTTTTTTCTATTACCTTGACTGCTAACTTGTCGACACTCACAATTACTACACCATTATTCCAATTGGATTTAGTAATATCGAGAAATGCATGAGTTATAGTAACATCTTGTGTTGATACAAATTTTTTATTTTCATTTCTAACTCTCGTGTGATTTGATATTAAAGCATTGAAACCATCAATTAAAACCATAACTTTACATTTATTATCGGCACACCATTGTTTTAATTCTTCCATCAATATAATTATTATTTCACTTGCAAATTTAATACGACTTATACCAAAATCAATTACTTCCAAAATTGGTGTACCTTTTGGATTACTTTCCCTTGCACTCCAAATATAATCTTTTGATGTTCTTAACTAGAAAAAATATTTTACAATCAATAATAATATTAAATTATTTGATCAATTCAAGTTATTAAATTTATTTTACTTACATCAAGTGTATCTAGTAAATGTTTATTTTGAATTTTAAAATGTCCAAGCCAAGTGGCCGATTCTATTGGCAAATCTGTGAGTCCTTCTCGAATAGTTGATTTTGCATATTCTTTTGGAAACTCATACCATCGTTGAACTGAAATTGTTTCAATTGTTAAATTAAATTTTCTAATCTTAATGATTTTATTTATTTTTATTTTACATACGCCAAGAAACATGAACAATAATATGTCCACTCTTATGACCATAGTGCACCAGGTGCATAAGTGAAATTGATTTTCCTGATCCTAGTTCACCATCTGATTTTTAGTATTAAGGTTTATAATACTAATCTTTATTATTAAGAAGATAAAAAAAAAAATGTCGGATAAAAAGTAAAATTAATTTATAAAAGGATACACATAACAAATTTATTAACTGGTCTCGAATAGTCACATTGATGTAAATATGACATAATTTCCAAAGCTGGCCGTCTAATCATTATGGAACATTCGTTAAAAGTTTTTACATCATCGACAAATGCTTTTGGCATTGCATTATTGAAAAATAATCGTTGTCTCTCATTAGGTGATATTGTGTAAAATCTTTTTAAATGATCTGTAGTATGATTAATTGGATTACATTCGTTTGTACGAAAAAGTTGCAATGGTTCTTCTGGTGGTAATCGTACCGGTTCAGCAACAGTACTCAATTTTCGAACTGCATTTGAGGATATTCTTCTTATCACAGATTCTAAAGCAAAAAATTCTCCTAAGTTTTATAATTCGTTGATTTAAACTTAAATTTTGCCAAAAAAAAAATTTAGTTAAATAGTTGTTATTTCCATATTTTAAGGTGATATTCATCAATTTTTTATCCATGAATTTAAAAAAGTAATTTTAATACTTTTTAGAAAAAAAATTCGATTTCGCTTAAATTTTAATAAAATTATTTAAGAAGCATTTAGGTTAGGTTGATTAATCTACTTGTCATATTGGAAATAAATTGAAAATTGATGATATTATTAACAACTCACCGATACAAAAAGCCATAATGTATTTTTTATTAAAATTCCAATTGTATTGAGCATAAAATTAAAAGTTTTGAGAATTTTTCATTTGCACTGTAACAAATCCATTTCCGTTTTTTTAATTATACTTTTGAGGTTAGGTTTGACTTCGCCGATATTTGTTTTGACTCTCGCTGTGGTGGCAGTTTGTTTATATTTATTTTTAATTTTGTGCTTTAATTTATAGTTCACAATTAAAAATAACAACGTTAATTTAAAAAATGAATATTTTGTTTACTAATTGCAATAAATTTAATTCTCTTTATTACAAAATAGAGAGAGAATGAGAAGAAAATTGTGAATCATTAAAAGTGGGGTTATCAAGGAAGAATATTGTATTTTGTATTCAATTTTGAATATAGTTAATTTTTATACCAAGGCAACAATTAATAGTGATAAAAATGAATTTAGAATTATTGGGTAAGTATTTTTATATTATTAGTAAATAAAGTTCAAATATAATCAGTTTTTTTTTATTTCAGAATCTTTTGGACAAAATTATCCAGAAGTAGGTATAATTTTTTGTGAATTAGATATACAAATAATTATTTTAAACTAATTTATTTTTTCTTTATAAGGAATTTGACGGAACTTTGGATTGTATATCACTTGCCGTAACGTGTACGTTCAATAAAAGAGGAACGCTACTTGCCGTTGGTTGTAATGATGGTCGTATTGTTATTTGGGATTTTTTAACTCGTGGTATTGCAAAAATAATAAGTGCTCATGTTCATCCTGTTTGTTCACTTAGGTGAGGTTTGTTTTATATTTTAAAGTCTGCTATTTAGTATCACATTTTCCCAAATATATAAATCTTAATAATTTTTTAAATTAAAATTATTGTTATTTTTACTGATCTATTTATTTACAGTTGGTCACGAAATGGTCATAAATTGTTGAGTGCATCAACGGACAATAATGTTTGCATTTGGGACGTTTTATCCGGTGAATGTGATCAAAAATATAGATTTCCATCTCCTATATTAAAAGTACAATTTCATCCTAGAAATTTGAATAAATTTTTAGTATGTCCCATGAGACATGCAGCTGTTATGGTAGACGTTGAAGGTTCCCATAGAGTAATTCCTTTAGATGAAGATGTAAGTATTAGACAAAAATTAACTAAAAAGAAAAAAATTAATTTAATTTGTATTTTTTTTTTTTATAGAGTGATTTAAATATCGTGGCATCATTCGATAGACGTGGTGACTATGTTTACAGTGGAAATGCACGTGGACGTGTTTTAATTCTTGATGCTGATACTTTAGTTGTAAAAGCTTCTTATAAAATATCACAAGGAACTGCCAGTAATACGGCTGTGAAAAGTATTGAATTTGCACGAAGGGGATCATGTTTTTTGATAAATACATCGGATCGTGTAATTCGTGTTTACGATAGTACAGAAGTATTGGCTTGTGGAAAAGATGGTGAACCTGAACCGATTCAAAAATTACAAGATCTCGTTAATAAAACAATGTGGAAAAAATGTTGTTTCTCCGGTGATGGTGAATATGTTTGCGCTGGTTCAGCTCGACAACATGCGCTTTATGTTTGGGAAAAAAGTATTGGAAATTTGGTGAAAATTTTACATGGAACTAAAGGCGAACTTTTACTCGATGTTGTGGTAAATTTTATTCTTGTATATTATAAAAAAATTAGAATAATTATTCTGTCTTTTTATTGTTGATTTTTTTTTTCATACTTTAGTGGCATCCAGTGCGTCCAATAATTGCCTCAATTTCATCGGGTGTTGTATCAATTTGGGCACAGAATCAAGTTGAAAATTGGTCGGCTTTTGCACCTGATTTCAAAGAATTAGATGAAAATGTCGAATATGAGGAACGAGAAAGTGAATTTGATTTGAGCGATGAGGATAAATCGGTAGTTCAAGGAGAAGAAGCTCAAGATGAAGAAATTGAAGTTGACGTAGCGGCAATTGATAGAGTTGCGGCTTTTTGTAGTTCGGATGAAGAAACCGAGGATATTGGGTCATTGCAATTTTTGCCAATTTCTCCAGATGTTGAAGAATCCGAAGAGACACCAGCTCCAGCTCATGAACCTCCATCGAAAAAGCATCGCTCTCATGATATTCAATTACAAGGAGCACCAACCGATGGTTCGTAATTATAAATATTATTAATTTATGACTATAATAATATTTATATTAATTTTCTTTTTTAATTCCTTTTTTTTTTTTTTTTAAAGAAATTCATCCTTTGTTAAGTAAAGGAAAAGATAAACCGGCGGCAAAGAAAGGAAGACCAAGATTGGAACATCGAAAAGGAAAATAAATTTTTCTAGAATTAAAAACATTAAATATTTATTGTGAAAATGCAATTTGTAAAATGATCCTTTTACAAATTGTATGGATGTGATTTGTGAGTATCAAATTTTGTCTGTGAATTTTGTGACGAAAATAAAATTTATTCCTTTATATATAAAAAGAAATATCTGCGTTTTTAATGATAATGTGTAAAAACAATATTCGTAAATAGTTTTACATTAATGTAATTAAATTAAATTAATTTCAATTTAAAAAACTAAATTTACCGCGATATGTAAAATTTTTCGAGCGGCTCAACCCTGAGCCACGTGCTAAAAATCATGTGAATGAACCCTAAGTTAGATAACCTTCAAATGTCATTCAGAGTCTGCTTTTACCGGTGTAGAGTACAAATTTACATTTGTCAAACTAGGAAAGTTATTTTCTAACATAAAAAATTGAATAAAATTCAAAAAATATGAATGGAAAGTGGTCAAAAATGGATCCCCTTGATATAGAAGTGCCTGAAATAAAAACTTTATTAGAAAGAGATGGTTATTTAAAGCCATATGAAGCCGACATACGACGAAGGTATATTTTAAAATAAGTTTATAATATTTATATTTATTATTAACAATTTGGAATTTTGCACATCATAGAAATTTTACTTTATTTATTTTATTTTATAATCCAGATATGGTTTATTCAAAGACATCATTGAAAGAATTGAAAGTGGAGAGAGGAGTATAAACAGTTTTTCAAAGGGTTACAACAGTTTTGGAATTCATATTAATGAAGATAATAGTGTAATAGCAAAAGAATGGGCTCCCGGAGCACAGGAACTTTTTTTGACAGGAGATTTTAGTGAGTAATTAATATAAATCACATTGTAAATTAATTAAATTTTTTTGAACAAAATTGTAAAATAAACCGTAAATTGTTTTTGGAAAATTCTCGATAGAAATACCTAAATAAAAACAAAAATTTTAGATGAATGGAACAGAACGAAAACTCCTTTTAGAAAATTAGAATATGGAAAATGGGAATTGAAACTCAATGCAAATCCTGATGGTACTTGTCCTCTTAAACATAATGCTGAAGTGAAACTTATTGTGAAAAATCAAAACGGAGAATTATTGGAGAGATTAAGTCCATGGGCAACATATGTTACACAAAATCGTGCCGAGGGAACAACTTTTAAGCAAAGAATTTGGCATCCCAAACCGGAAAATGTAAGTCATTTAAATTATATAATTGAGAAATTTAATTTCTTTAAAAAAATTCAATTTTTTTTTCAGATCTACAAACCTAAACATCCAAAACCAAAGAAACCAAAAAGTCTCAGAATTTATGAATGTCATGTTGGAATTGCAACTCAAGAATTAAAAATTGGCACTTATCTTGAATTTGCAAAAAATATTATTCCTCGTATTGTAAAACAAGGCTACAATGCTATACAATTAATGGCTATTATGGAACACGCCTATTATGCAAGTTTTGGTTATCAGGTTAGTATTAATTTATAAATTATATTTGCAAAGAAAGGGAGAAAACATTGTTATAATTTTCTCTTTGTTATTAAAAAAAAAAAAAAAAGGTAACGTCATTTTATGCTGTTTCATCGCGTTATGGTACACCAGAAGAATTAAAGGAATTAATTGACGTTGCTCATGAAAATAATTTATATGTTCTATTGGATATGGTTCATTCACATGCATCGAAAAATACTTTAGATGGCTTGAATATGTTTGATGGAACTGACGCATGTTTTTTCCATTCAGGACATCGTGGTGATCATCCCCTATGGGATAGTCGTTTATTTAATTATGCAGATTATGAAGTTTTAAGATTTTTGCTTTCAAATTTACGATGGTATATTGAAGAATATGGTTTCGATGGATATAGGTAAAAAAAAAAAAGTTGATAGTTTTGATTTTTTTAAATTCTATTTTATTTTTTTTCATAAATTTTATTTAAAAATATTTTATTTTTGTAGATTTGATGGTGTCACATCAATGTTGTATCATTCACGAGGTTTTGGACAAGGATTCAGTGGTCATTATGATGAATATTATAATTTAAATGTTGACGTTGAAGGTGTTGTTTATTTAATGGTAGCAAATCATCTTTTACACAGTTTGTATCCAGAAATTGTAACTATCGCCGAAGATGTAAGCGGAATGCCAGGCGTTTGTAGGTATATATTTCGTGAAAAGAATTAAAATTTACTGGGACAATTAACATGCATGATATCTACCTAGAGAAGAATTTAAAAAAAAATATATATATATATAGATTTGGAAAAGAAATACTAATAATGAATTTATAAATACAGTGAAATGAAAGGTGACAAAAATTAATTGTAATTTAATATTTCTTATTACTATGGTTAATAATAATATTAATATTTTTTAATAATTTTTTTTTTTTGAAATTTTAGACCAGTTTCTGAAGGTGGAGTTGGTTTTGATTACCGATTAGGAATGGCAATTCCGGATAAATGGATAAAATTATTGAAAGAAGTTAAGGACGATGATTGGAAAATGGGTGAAATTTGTTGGACATTGAGTAATCGAAGATGGATGGAAAAAACAGTGGCTTATGCTGAATCGCATGATCAGGCACTTGTTGGAGATAAAACTATTGCATTTTGGCTTATGGATAAGGAAATGTACTGGAGTATGAGTACTGTTAGTCCTCCAAATCCAATAATTGATCGTGGAATTGCTCTTCATAATTTAATTACACTTATATCACATGCACTTGGCGGCGAGGCTTATTTGAATTTCATGGGTTGGTTATAAAAATCATTTTTACTATTAAAAATAGTAAATAACTATTTTAAGTTAAGGATTTAAAATAAAATTTTCTTTTTTTTTTTTCTAAAAGGAAATGAATTTGGACATCCAGAATGGTTGGATTTTCCAAGGGCGGGAAATAACGACAGTTTTCATTATGCAAGACGTCAGTGGAATTTGGCTGATGATGAATTGTTGAAGTACAAATTAATGAACAATTGGGACAGAGAAGTCAATAAACTTGAGGAAAAATATGGTTGGCTTCATTCTAATCCGGTAAGAAAAATTTTCTTCTATTTAGTAAAATTAGAAATTTAGTTTATAATAGATGAGTTTTAATTTAATTAAATTCAGAATTTGTAATAAAATTTCTGTTAATATTTCTATTACAAAGGGCTACGTCAGCTGCAAACACGAGGACGATAAAGTCATTGTCTTTGATCGAGCTGGTCTCGTTTTTGCCTTCAATTTCCATCCAACAAAATCATTTACCGATTATTCTGTTGGTGTCGATAATCCAGGAACTTATAAAATAGTTCTAAATAGTGATGATACAAATTTTGGAGGACACAATAGACTTGATATTAGTGTTTCTCATTTTACAAAACCTGAACCATTTTCGGGGAAACAACATCGTATGATGGTTTATATTCCCTGTAGAACTGCAATTGTTTACGCTTTAGATGTTTAATATTGTTTTCTATATTTTATTTAGAATTAACAATTCTTTTTTTAACTTGTTGGTAATTTTTAAAAATTTTGACCAATATTTTTAATAATTGATCTGTAAATTTTGTAGTATAAATAAAAAGAGATACACCAACTTCTTAAACAAATCGTTTTAATATTATAACCATAAATTACAATTTATTTACAAAAATGGGTTTTTTATTTTTTTTTTTTTTATTTATTATCTAAAATTGAGCTATATTTACATCATAATCGTGCATTTTGTCCTCGAGTAACCACCATTTATCCATGAAACCTATATCAATTATTCTTTTATAAAATGTAAGATACTGAGGTTTTAAGTATGAACATTTTGCTTTATACACTGCAGAATTTTCATCATAATTGTCAAGCCATATAAATGATATAATTCCTAAATTTAATTCTCTAATAATTCCCTCATTGTAACATTGTTCCACCCATGTAACATAATTTTCTGATTCGGAATTTCGAAGATGTTGCGCTACTTGTGTTAATTTTGATTCATTATTCAGTAATTGATCACGATACGATGACATATCAGGATTGTGTTGCGAAAGGAAATATAAACTACCTAAAGCTATAAAAAAATTGTTGTTTTATAAATATAATTATTTAAATGCAACTAATAAAATAATTGTTACGTACCGGCAACATAACTGGAACACTTTAAAGGTTTATTTCTGAATTCCTTACCAACATCAATAGCAACATCTCTATAATCTAAGTAGAGACTTTTCCAATATTTTCCTAAAATTAAAGATTTTAAACACTACTCATTTGATTTTAATGATAAAAATATAATTACTTACCCCAACGTTGAATAAATTTTTCTTTTGGTTGCACTGATGGTTGTGTCTGTGTTTGAAGTGTTCTAATTTTTACACAACTATTATTACATTCAGAAAGAACAACTTTCAGAAATGGATTTAAACGAAAGCTCGCTAAAAAACTTCTTTGGAGAGCCATTAAGTTTTATTTATATTTAATAAATAATAGTTGAAAAAGAGAATTTTATTAAATCTAACCTAAAATATTGTTTTTATCGTCTTATGGGACTTGAAGCATGAAGTATAAAAAATTCAAAGATAGGAAACCGGAAATAAAATATGAATGTATATTAAGGTGTATTCATCCGTCAAATATGGGTAAATTAACGTAAAAAGTGTTTCGTGTTTCTTATTTCGAACTTCCCAACGCTGGTACTATTGTTATCATCTGTCAAATGTCAATAACAAACTAACTTATAAAAAAAAATTGTCAAAACAATGGAATCAGAAGAAAATCAAAATATTTCAAAAGGAAATTCATCATCTGCTAATGATAAATTAGCCGGTGTTAATGATTTCGATGAAGAAAAGGTAATTTTTTTTCAATTATTTACCAATTTTCTCTATTATAAAAAAAATAAACAATATTCGAATTCCAGTTGCATGAAATGACTGCTTCTTATTCTGAGATATCATTTGATTCACAATCATCACCGCCAATTTCGGAACTTCGTTCATTAATAGGATCACCGGATGCTGATAGTGGAAGTTTATTTAAAGAGAGAGTAGATGAAATATCAACAAGACCCGATTGTTTGAGTTTAAAAAATAATGAAAGAAAAAATTGTCAAGAGGACAATTTCTTTAATCCTCCAAATTATCATAAAGCATTTGGTTATTTACAATTGGAAGGCACTGTTATGCAGGAAGGTGATATGGTATTATTTGTTGCTGAGGATTTAGAGAATAAAATAAAATTATCAAGCCCAGTGACAAAAAAAGGAGATACACCATCGTTTCCAGGTTCTCGAAGTCCTAGTTGTTTATATAGACAAGCTCTAACACCTCAGGTACCACTTTTAGATCATAATGTTCTCAATGAACTTGAAATGGAAGCGAGAAAAATAGCAACATCTGTTGATTCACTTACAGAAAATTTAGCAGAAATATTGCACAGTGTAAGTTTTTCATATTTTTGAAATTAACAAATCTTTTTTAATTTTTATGTAGAATATTAATTTTAGGCATCAGCTTTGACGGTCGATTGTCTAGAGACCTATAGAGATACTGTTTGTAAAACTTGTGATGCTGTTGATCATAATATAAAATCAATGTATCAATTAATGGCAAAGTGTGAGGAACTTTCGAAATCAATGGGTCCCATTTATAAGTCAGCTGAAAAAGTGTAAATATTCAATTTTTTTTTTAAATTACATCGAAGTTAAGATAAAATAAAATCATTGAATTTTTATTTTTACAGTAAGGAAATAAAGAGGATGTTGGACTTATTTGAAAATACAATGACTGTATAGGAAGGAAAATTATAATCTTTAATTTTATGCATTTGTAGAAAATATTGTCATATATAATTTATTTTAGTCTTTTAATTTTATTTAAATCAAATAGAAAAATAAAGAAAATTATTTATAAATATTTTTATGTTTTTATTCTCTGTACCTAAACAAAGCTTTTGAAAAGATGCGCGCTGTGTGAGTGTATCAGACGCTTGCGCAACGGAAGGGAAGAGCAACTGCCGGGTATTGTATTTGTTGAGAATGCAGATTTTCAGTGATTTTAACAGTATATGACAGTAGGCGAGAATCAGTAGCCGTCAGTAGTAGGAGTAGAAGTCAAAGACCTACCAAACGTGCTAATTATAATAGTAGTGAAATTAACAAATTACATTTATATATATATATATATTTATATATAGTATAGAAAGTTTTCTAACTTTTTTTTTTCAAAACTTTGATCCTGTAAGTAGATAGTGCGAAAAACATCAAAATACAATTAAAGAAAAGAAGAAAAAAAGAGTGATAACAAATAAATCTTTTATGGAGTGAGTAATGTGATTATCAACAATTATTCCAAGTTTATTTATCATTTATTGAATACTTGGTGACATCAGTCTCGATTGTTGACTTATATTGTGTAAAAAAAATTGACTTCAGGGAATTTTAGACGCGACATGGACTTCATCATATTAAAGGTAAATTAAAAAGAAATTATTATTTTCATTTAATTTCATCACACATTAGAAATACTTTATTTTGTTACTTTTGAAAAAATCTTTCTAAACACCTACGCATCCCTGTCTACTTAATTAAATTACAAATAATTAATATTATAACCTTCAAAATCATTTTCTATATATGGCGTATCTGCCCATAGCATAATCCGTAGGGGGGAATTTTTCTCATTGCTCTATTATATTATTATATCAATAAAAATATTTTCAAAATTTCTAAAAGAAAATATATTTATAATATTAAAAATACAATAATTAAAAAAAATATATATATTTTTTGGAGTAGAAAAAAATTCTTAAAAATTTTAATTGTTATGAAATTATATTTTTATGATTATTGTTAATTTATATATATTATAATTATTACTATAATTATAATCTAATTATAAATTTCTCTGAATTGTATATGAATTTAAAAACATTTATATACATAAATAAAAATAAAAATATTGAAATTTTAGACAAAGTTTTATGAGCAACTTAAAAAATATTTTGGATTTATTTACATATTTACCTTTAAAAAAAAAAAAAATGAACAAACGAAACTTTGTACTTTTTTGATTTAAATAGAATGGCAGAGTGGGATAGTTTAGATTTAGATCCCTGTCGTGCGATAATATTGTGTAGACAAGCTAGTATTTGCTCAGCTACCTTTATTGCTCTCCTTTTTAAAAAGCCGTTTTGCCTACAATCTGACTGGCTTTAGAAATAGAGAAACTTATTTCACTGGTGGCTTCTCTTGCCCTCTTCCTTCCTTACTTTCTTGTCTTTTATAAACTGTCCCGTCTCTTCTATTTGTTTTATCTAGAGCACGTCAAATCGAGGAATGCCCAATGTGATATTTAAAAAAAAAAATGAAACCTCAGACATAATTTTCGTGTGAAATTACACAGCTTCTGTGTATTTTATTTTCTATTATTTTTATTATTATTTTTTATAATTATTTTTATATAAAAAGAAATACTAAAAATAAAGAATTTCATAATTATATGAAAAAATGACAACAATAATGAAATTTTTGTGTGTAAAAAAATTGCATAATTTTATTTTTGATTGTTTTTTTTAGGTGAATGGACAGGATGTATCAACTTCTAGTCATGAAGATGCAATACGTTGTTTTCAATTGGCTGAGGAACCTATTATTGTTGAAGTTTTGCGTCGACATCCTAGTGAACTTATCGCCTCGAATAATGAAGACAAAACAGATTATAATAAACAAGATAAGAATAAATTAACAGCTGCGACTGACGATGATAGTTTTGTTAATGATATACAACAGATAAATGAGGAAAAAACTGATTATGAAACTAGTGCATTAGTGTCAACAGCTGTGCAAACTGATTGGGCGGGATTAATTGAAGAAGATTTTCTACCCGTTTCTGTTGGTGCCGAGGAACAAGTTCATGATTTTTTGACACACGACATTGACTTCGAGGTTCGTTGCAATATTTTAATTGCATCTTTTTTTTTTTTTTAAACTATTGAGAACAAAAAAATAATAAAAAAATTGAGTATAAACTAAATTGTCAATTTGCAGGAAGTAACGTTGGAGAAAAATGAATTTGATGAAAAGATCGGATTAACATTTGGCTATAGTTCTGCTTCTGGAAGTGACGATGCTGATACAGAGATTTATATATCAGAAATAATTCCTGAAAGTCTCGCCGCTCGTGATGGACGTCTACGAGAAGGAGATCAAATACTTCAAGTATGATTAAATTACTTCAAATATTCATATTAATAAAAAAAAAAATAATTACGAACACAAAATCTTTTTTAATAGGTCAATGGAAAAGATGTTATAAATAAAGAACAAACATTAAATCTCTTTGCTGAAACTAATAATGCAGTTACGATTCTCGTCAGTCGTAATCTTTATCAGGTATAAAAAAAAAATGCATTTTTTTTTCTCTACTTCCAAAAAATTGAAATATTAAACACTATTTAAATTACAGGGCTCAATGTCAGATTCGCCAGAACATGTACCAGCTTATCAAAATACAATGATTGAACAATTAATACGACATCAACAACATCAACAAATTGAAAAAGGTTGTTACGACACTGAAGAAAAATCTTCAACCTCCATTGCTCCACCCCCTGTGCCATTACACACATTAAATAATCCCTTTTCCACATCACCTTCAAAAAATTCCCAAAAACCAAATAAATCATCACCATCACATAATATCGACGAATCACAAAAACAACGAATACAAGAATCATTAATTGAATCAATGAAAAAAATGGAGAATTTAAATATTTATCCCCAACAATTTGAACGTGCTCGTGATGTTAAATTAATGGACTCTTATTCAAGTCATATTTGGAGTGATAATGAACATATTTATGAAACTATTCCCGAATCTGATACCGAACCATTATATTCATTTCCCTATGAGCATCAAAATTGGTTACAACAAAAAAAATTACAAAATATCGCCATTAAACCATTACAAAATTCATCATCAAAAAGTAATAGTTCAGGTGAAGAGAAAGATAGTTCGAGTGCATATAATACTGGTGAATCGTGTCACAGTAATCCATTAACATTAAAATTACGTGATCAAAGCGATCAAAAAGAACATCACAAAAGTACATTGGTATTGTGTGCAACAAAAAATTCTCAACAAAAAAATAATACATGCAATTGTCCAATGAAAAAATCCAATAATCAATTGATGAAAAAAAGTTCCTTACATTCACAATATGATCGTGATAATAATTCAAGTACAAGTACATTGCTTGCCGATACAATGTACACAAATGTTGCAAATCTTCAACAAACAATGATTTTTCAACAACAATTATTTAAACAAGCGCTTACAAAGAAAAATATTGCAACAAAAGAAGCTTCAACAGGAGGGAAAAAATCAAAATCACAAAGACATTTTCAAGCACCAAGTTTATCGCAATATCAATTTATTGGCAGTCAACAGGTGTGTACAGTTAATGCATGGATTCCACCTGAGGATAAATGTGAAATTCAAATGGAATGGAAAGTTAAAAGACGAGCCGATGGTACACGTTATATTGCACGTCGACCAGTTCGTAATCGAATACTCAAAAATCGGGCAATTAAAATTTCTGAAGAGCGTGCTGGACACACTACTGAAGATGATACTGTATCTGAGATGAAGGTAATTTTTATAACTTCTATTATCGAAATTTGATTTAATTGTGTAAAATAACAAAATATTTATTTATTTTAAAGGTTGGTCGATATTGGAGCAAAGAAGAACGTAAAAAACAATTGGAACAAGCACGAGAACGTAGACAACGACAACAGGAACTGATTTTACAGCAACAACAATTACAACAAAATAATGATTTATTGATATTTGATTGTGATGAAAAATCGCCCAAGAAACCATTAAATATCGTTGAGCTAAGTCAACGAAAAATGGCGAGAAAAAAAATTGTTTTAGATGATTTTACAACAGTTCAAGAAATGTTGGTACACGGAAGTAAAATGGGTTCTGGAGGTCCTGGAAGTAGTGGGAAACTATTGGGTCTCTTATCCGTAACGACTGTATAACATATTCAATTTCCATTTTTTTAGAACTTTTAGAGCTTTACTTAACAAAAAAAAAAAAAAATTATTTTACTTATTTTAAAGGTAAATATTTTTAGTTATACATAAGTTTGTATATATCTTATATGTTTTTAAAACTCAAAGTTAATTTACTTATTTTTCACAAAATATACATCGATATTGAAATGTATAAAAATCAGTATTATACAAGTATACAAAAAAAAATACCGCTAATGCCATAAAAAATCAAAAAAATGACTGCAATATTTATTAGTAATCGTATTTGTTCTAAATAATTAGAAGCGTCTAAAAGAAAAAAAATATATATATATTATATATAATTGAGAATTCGACTTTAAAGTCTAAATTTCAATCAAAATTGAAAATAATTTTTTGAATTTTTCGCCCCGCATGAAAAAAATAATTTTTTTTAGAAATTGCTTCATCATAAATATATATTGTGTAAACATCAATATGTAGCTGTAAATAATTTTGATATAAAACATTTAAAAAAAGTAGAGTTTCTATAGTTTGTTAAAGAAAAAAAAAATCAAGCAGAAAGCACAAATTTAGATTTTGTACATATGTGTATATTAAAAGAAAATTATTAATTAGATGTGCATTCCCTTGATATTATATGTAATTAAATTTTCTTTCAATGTGTCATTAACTTCTCATTTAGTGTATTAATATATGAAATATATTAATTATGTGTTTTTATTATTATTATTATTATATATATATATGAAAAAAAGATAAAAACTCCTAACTCTAAATTGTCGGATCTAACAGGGTGTATTAAAAAAAAAATAATGAAAAATAAATATATATGTATATAATTTACAGAATTGACGATACATTTTTTTTATCGAAAATAATATACGAGACATATTAAAAAACTACAGATTTTTAATCTTATTTTTGTTAAAAACCAAAAATTATTACAATATTTAGTTTAATAAGGCCTTTTTTTAAAAAAAATGTTTAAATGTAGAAAAAAAAACACTTACAAAAATGCTGTATTTATGTTGATGCTTGTCAGAACTTTTCGTTCCATGTCATTCAAATGCTGTACAAAAGCTGGAAAACAATGATGAGTCGAGAATGTTAATAGAAAATCCCTTAAATATTGAGCGAGATTTAAATGATATATAGAATCTTGAACAATATTTGGATCTTCCTCTTGTTCCTCATCTTCAAAGTCATCGAGCCCTGAAAATTTCATTAATTAATTAATTATAATTAGTTCATTAATTTAATTTTAATTAGAAGTTAAACTGCAATTTTATCAAAAGATTATTTTTAAAGAAAGAAAATTAATTTTCTTTTTTTTTTTTAATTAATTAAAAAATAAGATAAAGTATTAAGAATAAATATTTTTTTTTTGAACAAATATTTCGTTTAATAAGTTTTCTAAAAATAGCAGTTATCAAAAATTAAAATCAAAGACAAATGAAAAACGAGTGAAAGAGTAGCTCCGATTCTGAGACTTGAAATTACATCTGTGTATGTCTTGTGATAAGACACGCTATAGATAAGAGAAAAAAAAAGAAGTGATGTTGATAAAAATTGATGCCTAATCCGCTTGGGTTGATATTTCAAATGACACTGATATACCATAACGTAAAATTAAAATATGTTTTGTTTTAAGAAATGAAAAAATTATAAGACAATTTTTTTTCTTACTTAACATATTCGCTTCATTTCCTGGATCTAGTATCGCATTCTCGCAGTCTGAATCATCTTCAGATTCCTTAAAAAAGAAGAAAATTTAAAAATATCTAATATTATTTAGATTAATTAAAAAAAGAACTTATTTACAAAAAATTACCTCGATACTTTGATTTGCAGCAGATGCATTTTCAATTTCATTTGATAATTCATTTATTAATACTTTAAAAATTTTCACAAGCACTGGAATAGTTGTCCAATTTATTGGCTGTAATTGACTTTTTTTTCTAGTTTTCATACCTTCTGTTTGTTCTGAAAAATTAAAAAAAAAAAGAAAATTCAATTAACATAAGTTGATTTAAAAAAAAAATTAAGAAATATTTTTTAAAAAGTAAAATTGTGAGACAACTAACGTTGATAAATTTCTTCTCCTTGAACAGTGATTTCTTTTAATCTCAAATCATCGTTTGTAACACCATATTCAAGTAGTTTACTTAGAGCAACATTTGCCACTTTACGATCATAAGTTCCAAAAAAAAGATGTTGTCTATTGACCCATTCGGTTAATACAAATGCAAGAGCACTTTGACCTGTCGGTCCTGGTACAGTGGACAAAAAATTAAGAACAGGATCAAAAGCAGAATTAATTAAATGCGCATAAACCATTAATAAACTTTGCATTACAGTCAAAGTTTCAGTTCGTTGCATTTTACTGAGAACGGCTTTCAATAAAAGATCAAGATTTTCACCCAATGTATTTCCTGCTTTTCTTATTAGTGTTGTCACTAATCGACCAACAAATGCGGCTGTAAATTCACTCGACTGTTGAGTAGAAAAAAAAAAAAGAAAACAATAAAAATATTTAAATTTAAGAGATGAATTGTAAAATAAAAAAGAAAAATATGTACAAAAATACATAAAACTCTAAAAATCCTAAATTAAATTAGCATCAAATTATTTACATTTTTTTCTTACCCTAGGATTTAAAAGTTGTGCTAGAGTTTTTAGTATATATTCTAAACCAGTAACACCAGCATTATCCCTTCGATCAATTATTTGATGTGCAGCCACCGAAAGATATGTGCATATTACTTCACTGCCACTTTGTAATGTTCCATTTTCTTCTGAATTTAAAATACAATGACATGCAGCAAAGAAAGCATTTTCAACTAATGCATTACTTAACGGTTGCGACGAATATTGCACTAGTACTTGTAAAACATCTAAAGCTAATTCTCGCGAACGTTCTGGAAAAAGAATTTTAAAAAATTAATTAAAATTTTTTCCCTACTAATTTTATACAAAACAAACAAAAATGTATATTATAAAATATTTCAATAAAATTGAAATTAATTAATTTACCGTCTTTTGATTTATCCGCATGATTTATTGACATCATACTAACGAGTGTTGGCACTAAACGATTATGTAAAAGTTCAATGCAATCAGGATTTTGTGATAATGCCTTAAAAATATCCTGACACACGGGCAATATTATTTGATCATTGTGAAATTTGAGAAAAGCTGCAATTGTAAATGGACAAACTTTACTTTCCACTGAAGCTGTGAAATTCTTGTCTATCTGTAAAAAGAGAGTATTTACAATTTTTTTTTTTACTTTTTTTTAGCAAAAAAGAAAAAAATTAATTTACTTACCAGAATTAAAGATGATAAAGTTTCCATAACCAATGTAAGAACTTCTGTCGATGGTTGACTAACTAAACTAAATAAACCCTGAAATATTGTTGGTAAATTTGAGCAAACTAAACTTTTAATAGCATCATTTTCAGACGATGCTTCGCAAAATGAATAAATTCCTTTAACAGCACTTATACGAATGCAAATTGGTTGATTCTCCTGTAAACCATTAACTGTCGCTTGTAAAAATTGTGAACTAATTTCCACTTGCATTTCTTTTGCAAATTTTCCACCGAGACATAAACAACGACCCAAAAGTAAAGGATGAGCTCCTGGAGAAAAAAAAATGAGGAAAATTAAAAATAATTTTCATATGATTCTAATTTAAATACTTACCGGAATCGTTAAGAGTTGCAAGTACTACGTCAACGAGAAATCGACCAATATCAAAGTGTAAAGCACCAGCTTTTTGTTGTTCAACTATAAGGTCTTTGGTTAAACTTAATGCAATAATTGAAGATTCTTGTATTTTCCACCAGTGTTCATTGTTTGCCGATTTTAATCTATTGGATTCTTCTACATGCCTCGTTACAACATTACACAATGAATTAATAGCCGTGTGATTTGTAAGAGTCTACAAAAAATAAAATGCAAATAAAAAAATTTAACACAATAAAATTTTAAATTCACAAAAAAATTAATAAATATTTACAACTAAAAGTTCTTGTGCTGATATTCGAACATTATACGCAAATACAGTTTGTTCATCTTCTTCTATAAATTGTATTGGATTACTGGTCCACTGTTCAATTTGCTCATCAGTTACTTGCATAAATATAATTAAATAATACATAACATCCTGTTGAAAATTTTCTAAAAGATTTGATAATTTCTTATTTTCAACTAATGCACCAATAAAGTCAAAAGTTGCAATGATAAGATTACTGAAATTAATTATTTCACCTAGAAAAAAAAAAGATAATAAAAGAATTTTAATAAAAAAACAGTAAAAATAATGAAAAAAAGTTTCATTGTTAACTCACCATCTGAATCTACAGCTGTTTCGTTAATATTTCCATCACCGTTCACAACTTCCTCTTGATAAATTTTTGCACTTTGAGTCAATGTCTCCCATATTGGTGGCAACATTTGTGGCAAAAAATTTGACACATATTTTGGTAATCTCGAAATGAGGCAATTTAAAGCTTTAATAATATCAGTTTTCAATCCACTGTCAATTGTTGGACCATCGGGTTGTCTTAAACATTGAACAAATTTTTCACAAAACATAGGAATAACAGGTTGAAGATATTGTTCAATAAATCCTTTTTTATAATAACTTATAGCTGCAACTAATTCGGTTATTATGCGAAAAATTTGTACAGCTCTTCCACGAATGCGTATCGAATATTCCTGTATATTAAAAAATTAATAAAATAATTAGAATTCAAAAAACTAAAATTCAAAATCAAATTTGAAACTCACAGCTTCGCTTTGAATTATTCGTAACATTTCTTGAAGTATAATTGGACCAACATTTGGAAGATGTGTATCCGATAAATCTCTTGTAAATTCAGTTAAAACTCTCATTGCACCATGAACAGCATATTCATTTTCACGATTTAAACAACTTACAAGAATATCAAATAAACCTGGCCAATTTTCAGGCCAATCCCAATGTGCTATTGCCGATATTGCATAAGCCACTGCAGTTCGTACCTGTAAAAAGAAACAATAAATAAATTTTTATTGTAAGTTTCCATTTTTTTTTTTTAAATATTTACTTTGCTTATCGATTCTCGAAGACCAAGTGGTAATAATTCTTTTATTCTTTCTTTCATTTCGGGTTTAATTTCAGGTGATCTGAATTTTTCAGCAACTGTTGTCCAGTGATTTTCAACATATTGTTTTAATAGAACAGAAGCTAATTGACGAATTGGAAGAAGACCATTTTGATCAACGACAAATTCCGTTAAATGAACACCAAATTCTTCAGTAACTTCTAATGCTTGAATTCGTTGTTCAGCAGCTTGACGTGTTTCTTGATGTGATGATAAAATTCCATTTAATGTCTCGTACAAGGCTTCTTTTAAAGAGCCTTGAACATCTCCAGATAAATTCATCGTTGAAAGATTATCCTAAAAGAAAATTATTTTATTATTTATCATATTAATATTAAATCATATTTTATTAATTTATCTGATATAAGTTTTACAATGAAAATATAAATAGAAATTACTATTTATAAAAACAATTACATTAATTATTATTATTTAATTTTTAAATATATTTAACTTATATTTTACATTCTCCTTTTAACAGAGTAAAAATGAATTATTAAATGCAATTTTAAAAGCATTAATTTAACAGAAACCTAAAGTTTTAATTTATTTTTTTTATATTTTTATTAAACATATATACATTTTAATGTTTAATAAAATTGCCATAAAATTTGTTAGCAAAAACCTAACCTTCAATTATATTATACGAGTATAAGTTGTTAAATTCTTCATTACTTTTATTAAAAATACAAAAATTGATTATAAAATAATAATTGCTTTTGTAAAAAATAATATTTCCTTTCAAAAAACATATATTTATCGTATAATTATATTTAAGAAAATTTTTTTACCTGCTGCCGTATTTTCCCGCAGTTTTTCCAACAATTTTTTCTCTTCTTAATAACAACAGGGTTGGGCATTTGAATTACGTAAGAAAAATTGTGTCCACAATCATTTCCGCTTCCGCGTTTTCTATTTAGCCAATCATAATTTGTTCCAATTTGTTCTTTCTTATCGTGGAGCATGCGCATATATAATTTATATAGTATATGGTTTTCTTTTCTACCCTTTTCTTGCGGGCTGTACACGAAGCAGTGTCATTTGGACACTCAAGCAATAAAATTTTGCAATTAAATTAATCAAAGTTAGTATTAAATCCTGACAGATTGACAGAGTCAGTCACACAGTAACAGCCAGGTGGGAAAGCGGAAGACAAAATGTCTCCATCATTATTTGAATCTTCAAAGATGACACCCTTCAGCACGTCAATGGCAGGTCTAAGGACTCAAGGATCAAACGAGGAATGCCAAGGACTAGTAGAAAATCGTTTTATTGGTGCAGCAAATGCTGAACCTGGTGGTGAGCTTTTCTTAATTATTAAATAATCCCTTGTTTTAAATTTTCTATAATTTTTTTTTTTGAGGATATTTGAATTTTTTATTCAAATATTTCCAGATTAATGTTCTCCATTTCTAAACTTCTAAACGTGTGTGCCTATTTTTTGTTAACTATTTTAAAATAATTGTATTCCATCCTTGTGAGTAACTACTCGATTTTCAAGGTTAAAATAGGGTTTCATTTATTATAATTATATAATTTTTAAAATATTAGGCCGGATAGCTCGCTTCTGCATGATTTATCAATACTTTTTGTAATAATTCATAATATTTTATAATTTTTCTATGTTAAATGCTTTTCACTAATCCATAGAGATTCAATCGATTTGGAAAAAATTAATAATTTTCTGTCGTTTTGTATAAATATTGGGTCAATGGAGCAACAATGTGACTACAACAGTTGCATAATGGCTGCCATCTTGAATATAAACGATTTTAAGGAATCTTATAATTTTATCTTTTCAAAAATTTTATCATTAAATTTCGATTTGTTTAATAATCATATTGAAATACTGTAAATTGAATGCTTCAAAAGTCAAGGTTTAAACACCTTGAACTAATCAAGATCTAAGGTCACGGAAGATTTATTTAATGTAAAAATAGTTATTCTTTAATGAAGGTGAAGGAACTAAAAGGCAAAGAATTTTGTGCGTTGACGCAATTAGTTAATCGAGAGCAAGGTCATGTTCTTTGATGAATCTTGAACTTGCGCCAAAATTAAAATAAAGTACACGGTCATACACGTGTATGTATGTATATCCGTAAAATAATGTTTGTTATAGACACAATGTTTCTAAATTTTCTTTCTATTTCAAGAAACAAAAACAATAACATTTTGTAATTGATAAGGAAATAAGAGATTATTTTCTTTATTATATTTATATTTTTTTTCTTTACAGACAGTTGTGAATTTGGCTCAAATCATTATTTTGCATTATGCGGTCTTGGTGGTATTATGTCTTGCGGTTTAACCCACACCATGGTGACTCCCCTGGATTTAGTCAAATGCCGTATCCAGGTTGATCCAGCAAAATATAAATCTGTCTTTAATGGATTTAGAGTAAGTTTTATATTTAAAGTTAATTTTATCTATTGTTAATAGGGGAAAATTTATTAGATTTTTTTAAATAAATTTTTAGGTAACGTTAGCAGAAGATGGAGTTAGAGGATTGGGCAGAGGTTGGGCTCCCACCTTCTTTGGTTATTCAGTTCAAGGAATGTTCAAATTTGGTCTCTATGAAGTTTTCAAAGTATATTATTCAGAACTCGCTGGCGAAGAATTGTCATACGATTATCGAACTACGTTATATCTAGTTTCATCTGCATCGGCAGAATTTTTCGCTGACATTGGTCTCGCTCCGTTTGAAGCCGCCAAGGTAGTTTTTCCCAAAGATGTCCATCTTCCTTATTCCTGATCCTTAGTACCTCGTTTTTTGTAAGATATAAAATTTCTTTTTATTTTCTGAAAAAAAAAGAAATACAAGTTTTCTGAATGTTAAGAAAAAGAATTTATTTTTTTTTTATAGGTCAGAATCCAAACAATGCCTGGTTATGCCAATAATTTGCGTGAAGCGTTCCCGAAAATGTTCGCTGATGAAGGTTTGGGTGGTTTCTACAAAGGTCTTGTTCCATTGTGGCTTCGTCAAATTCCATACACCATGATGAAGTTTGCCTGCTTCGAGCGTACAGTTGAACTTTTGTATAAATACGTTGTGCCTAAACCACGAATGGAATGTACAAAAGGTGAACAACTTGTTGTCACATTCGCTGCTGGTTATATTGCCGGTGTTTTCTGTGCTGTTGTCTCACATCCTGCTGACACCGTGAGTTTTCTTTTTTTTTTTTCTAATATTTTACCAATCAAGTTATTAAAATTACAAAAATATAATTTTGTTTCTTTTTAGGTGGTTTCCAAATTAAACCAGGAGAAAGGTGCAACAGCTGGTGATGTTTTGAAGAAACTTGGATTTGGTGGAGTATGGAAGGGTTTGGGACCCAGAATTATTATGATTGGTACTCTAACAGCGGCTCAATGGTTTATTTATGATGCAGTGAAGGTATGGCTTCGTATGCCACGACCACCACCACCAGAAATGCCTGAATCATTGAAAAAGAAGAGAGGTCTAGCTTAAAAAAAATTTTCCTGAACAAAAATAAAATATGCTTTATCTTTAAAAATTTTTTGATAAAGCTAGGAAGAAACTAGACGAATTTTAAAAAGTAAATTGCCTTCCTGAGAAAACGCTGTTTTTTTTTGAAGAAAAACTAAGCTCCTATATATTTGATTTTTATTTTTAATAGAAAAAATTGATTCTCTCGTAAATATTATTTCTGCATACGATTCAGGAAGGCGATAAGAAAAAAAAAATTTGGTAATTGCACATGCGACAGTTGTTAGTCCTGTCTGTACAATTCCGTATTGTCCGTAATATATATTGTTTAATAATCTTTTAAATTTAGAACCAATACTAAAGGAGCCTGTGATGTACGAAAAAAATCTGTCGCAATGTAAATACGATGATCGTCATCAATAAACGATCAAATTATAAAATCTAATGCTTTTTTTATTCACACCTGTGCGATTCCAAGTGAGATTTTGACTTTTTCGGAGTAGGTTAACCGATTGCAATGAAACTTTGGAATTTTGTTATATATAGTAAGACTAATCTTTAACGTAAATTTCAGCCTAAAATATTTGTTAGTTTACGAGATTTGCAATAATAACAAAAAATTTAAAACTGCTATATCTTCCGTTCTAATAAACGGATTGAGGTCTACTTTTTTTTAAAATGTCAAGGAAAATGAGAGGAATAAATCTCTTTCAGAACATTTTTTTATAATTTTACAACTAAAAAAATTATTAAATAATAATTGAATAACTTTCGCGCGACTAACTAAAATTCAATCACTTAAACGCTAAAATGATCTTACCTGTGTTTTTTTTAATGTTCCAAAGGATTTTTATTGTAAATGTAAGTTTAACTTAAGAAATTTTATTAATTTATTAGTATAAACAATTGAGATTTCTGCTAGTTGACGTGCAGACGACATTGCGCACGCAGCATTCTCACATAGCCAACTGACGTGATTCGTGGACTAAATTGGCTATGTGAGAATGCTGCGTGCGCAATGTCGTCTGCACGTCAACTAGCAGAAATCTCAATTGTTTATACTAATAAATTAATAAAATTTCTTAAGTTAAACTTACATTTACAATAAAAATCCTTTGGAACATTAAAGAAAACACAGGTAAGATCATTTTAGCGTTTAAGTGATTGAATTTTAGTTAGTCGCGCGAAAGTTATTCAATTATTATTTAATAATTTTTTTAGTTGTAAAATTATAAAAAAATGTTCTGAAAGAGATTTATTCCTCTCATTTTCCTTGACATTTTAAAAAAAAGTAGACCTCAATCCGTTTATTAGAACGGAAGATATAGCAGTTTTAAATTTTTTGTTATTATTGCAAATCTCGTAAACTAACAAATATTTTAGGCTGAAATTTACGTTAAAGATTAGTCTTACTATATATAACAAAATTCCAAAGTTTCATTGCAATCGGTTAACCTACTCCGAAAAAGTCAAAATCTCACTTGGAATCGCACACCTTTAAATTTTTTTTTTTTTTAAATAAAACTGAATAAATGTAGCTAAAAAAAGTATAACATAAGAGAACTGTCCATCTGAAAACCAATACAGTTCTTAATGTTAACACTTTCATGCTACAATAAAATTTTTTTAAAACAAATTTATTTTGGATATTTTGGGAATTTTTTTTTGTTTTTTTTTTTTTTCAATGAAATACTGTAAATATTATTCATATACAATCATTGCCTTTATTATTACATTCGCCAAGACTGGCAGCATCAGATGGACAGCTCTGGTGTGTGTAATTATTAAAGTTTGTAAAAATTAAGTCACTTTTGCCATCAAGAGTATAATTAAATATTATGTACAAATGAACATTACTCGTTTTAATTTATTACATCAAATATTTTGCATCCATTATCAGTATATATGTCAGTCTTGAATAGCTTTTACCAAAACTTTTTTTTTTTTTTCCCTTTGTACAATCTGTACACTCTGAGGCTCAACGAGAATGTGTGCGCGAGAATGTAAAATTTGTGCTCGTGTTTTTTTTTTTACATACACAAGCGTTTGAAGAAAGGATTTGGAAAAGAAAAAGTTTTTTCCCCTTAGATTTTTTCAACAAAAAAAAAAGGCAAACGAAAAAAGTATTAATTTAAACTACATTTTTTTTATTTTTTTGAGCAAAAATGCTGTCGTTGTAAATCACACTACAATGCGCATTATATTAAAAGTCGTTTTAAATATTTATAATAACTTACTGTACAAATATTCTTATATTCCGAAGAAAAAAAATTAACAGCCATTTAATCGTCAATTATAGATACGATTAAAGAAAAGAAAAAGTATGAATTTCATTCAAATAAATTCAAAACCTCGTTTAGAAGAAATAAAAAAAAGATTTAAAAAAAATGAATTTGAAAAGAATTTCTTTTTTACGTTTCCGTAAAAATTTGAAACAATTTAGTTTCTTTTTTTTTGTACATAGAAAAATGATAAATAATGTTTTTAATACGCACATTAGTTAACAAAAGAAAGACAATGGTAGCGAGAAAAAAATCCTTTTCTCAAACGCAATGTGCATATTTCACTGTCACGCTTGTGTATTTTAAAGCGACATTGAAACCATTTGAAAACTAGATTCTACTTTTTTTTTTTTTTTTGTTATAAAATTCAATTTGATTTTCAGTTTCAATTCAAACAGCGTTCACATTACAATATAATTATAATAACGGAATGAGTCGTGTTTAGCGACTAGTTTTGTCTGATAAAGTTTCCGTCTACATTTACCAATTCAGCAAAGTGACTACAATTCTAGTTTCTTTTCTTATGTTTTTTTTTTTTTGTAGCACGAGTCACCAAAATCGACAAGATAAAAAGAATGTACAGGTAGTGTCGATAATAGTTCTAATGATTCGGAGAGCGAATCTCAATAACAATATTTTATATTAAAATTAAAATAATATTAATATAGTAATAATAATACACATTAAAAACATATGTACAATTTACCAACCCATTTTCTGTTTTTTTTTTCTTTAAGTATTCTTAAAATTCGCATCATCACTGTTTACGTACTACTTATAAACTTTTAATTGGAAAGATTCATTTTAAATAGATTCTTTTTACAAAATTACATTACAAACTTGTAGATTAAAATATCTGAGCCTGTTACCAGCTACGTAATCACATTTACAGCTGCCGAAATTATTATGGCTGGTTTGTATATATATACGCCACATTTTTGTAAATAAAAGAGATTAGCAGTAAGCAAAATTAACAAATACTACAATTTATTTTTTTTACATTAAAACTTTATATTTGTTATAGTTTGCCATTATGAAATTCTTTTTATTTAAAAAAAAAATCTTTTTATAGTCCTTGCTTACTACTCATCTTCGCATACTTGATAGTTGCAATTCCTCTTTTAAAATAATAATGGCTTCACTACATTTACTTAATAAGGATGTTTAAATCATTAAAATTTAACTAAAAGTAAAGAACATTTTTATAAAAGTAGTCAAACTAAATTTATTACAGTTACTGAATTCTGTTTACAATTAGTATTTTCTTAATATTTTTTTGTAAACCATCATTTAATTTAAGATTAACAAATCAAACATCCTTAAAGAGAAATGTATGCAATTGCGTAAAAAAAAAATATATTCGAATTATCTCAGCGAAATTATTTCGCCATCCATCTATCAACTCTCGCGAAAAATCACAATTTCGCCTTAGAGATGCAAAGTTCTTTTCTTTCAAAAAAGTACGCGAATCGTTTTTTTTTTTTTTTATTTTAAAATATAAATAAAAGCGTCAATTCAAAATTTAACAGTTCGCGTTCTCTTCGTCAATGAATTAAGATATTTTAATTGTTAAAAATATTTTGTACAATTTGTACTTTTGTTACAATGAGATGTTAAATATTTCTAATATTTCATTTTCACATTACTAAAAAAAAAAAAAAAACTATCCCTGAAAAATAAAATTCATTACATTATCTTTCAGGATTGAAACAAAATATACAAACGAAAGAAAAAAAAATAACTAACATAAAAAAAATCCTATTTTTAATTAAATAATATTGGAAAATAAATTACGTCACAAATTAAATTACTTTTGAAGTAAATTCTTTCTTTTTTTTAAATTAAATAATTGTCGAATTAAATAATTTTCTTTTAACTTATCTTTTGAATTAAATTATCGTTTTTAAGTTAAATATTATCTAAAATAAAACTACCAAATAAATTACGATCCTTAAACACTGGATTATCTTACTATCGTGGATCGAACTTGAATGCATAAAAGTTTTGGTAACCGCGACCATATTATGATATGCTTGGCGTATTATATAAATTCATTGAACACCATTCTCTAAATCTAATGAAAAAAAAAAAAAAAATTCCCATGAACGAAGGATCAATGTGATCCAGTGACAGATAATTCGTTTTAAGTTCATAAACTGAACACAATTAAAACTTTTTAAAGTTTTTTTTTTTTTCCTTTAAAAAGAAACTTTTACATCTCTTGGCAAATTTGTAATTTACTAAGAGTTTTATGGTTCAGAAAAAAAGAAATCTGGAGTTCAGAGAAAGAGAAAGTTAGAGATAGATCAGAGATTCGCAGCTTAATGATTATTTCGCTATTTGAGTGTCCTTTAACTCTTAACAAACTTTATTGAAGGAGGGTCACGAGCCTAAGATGCTACGAACGGCTTGATCAAGCATCGCATCCTTCGATTCGGATGTTTGTTGAGGCGCTGGATTTGCGCTTCCTGGTGCTGCCGTTGAAGGATTTTTCTTAAGATTAAGAATGCTGTCTATGGCCGATTGAACTTGGGCGGTAATGTCATCATTGTCATTTGCATTACCCGATTCACCAGAAATATCAAGTGAGCCTGGACATTGTGATTGTGAATAAAGTGCAAGTCCATCAAGACTTTCTGTATCCTCTAAAAGATCACGTTCCAATTCGGTGGCACTACTTAAGCGTTTGGATGATGATGATGATGATGATGTGATATTTCCACTATTTTCAAAGTTCCCTTTTGATGTACTCACTTGAACATTTGAAGAACCACTCGCAACAACACTTGTTTCACTTGCACGAAATTCACCATTTGCTCGCGTTCTTTCAACTTTCGGCCTTAAATGTGCAGTCACTGTTATATTACCAACTAAATTATTGTTTTTATATTTTGATGATTCCGTGGTTGTTGGCGTATAAACACCAAGCTCCTTTTGTATTTCCAGCCATTCATCATAATCGGCTGTTGTACAATTCGAGGGTTTTAATGGAGGACCTTTCGTTTGACCATCAACATCGGGAAAATCGTCTTCGAGTTCTAATTTCACCGATGCACCACCTAATGTTGGAATTAAATTATCCACATCACTCATATCGGCTTCGACTTTTGGTACCAAAAGTTTTTCTTCTTTCTTAAATTCTTCTACAAAAAAAAAAAAATAAAAAATTATTTTTATATTTCGACTATTATTATTTATTATTATTAAAGAATATTAATAACTTATTTTACTCACCACTGACTTTTGCTTCTTGATCACGTAACCTATTTAACATATTTTGCTCCTCGGCAACAAAAGATCGATCGATCATCATTAATTCCGAAGTCCTCACTTCACGCTACAAGGGAAATAATACACGATTATTATTAATTTATTTTAATTGTTATATTATTGAATATTTATTAAATATTATTGACCATTACTTACCATACTTTCCATAAGGAGAAGATAAGTGTATTTATTCATCATAGAATTAAATTTGCTGAGTAAGTGTTTAGCAGTTTCTTCAAAAATCTCATCAGCCTTTGCCAAATCTTTTGGACTTAGTACCTGATCATTGAAACAATGATATCTCACTAATCTTTTACATGCGTCTCTTTTACACGCAAATGGAGTGTTAACATCAGGATTCGCTGCGCCACCTTGATCCATTTTCAATTGTTGCTCCATTCTATAAATTAAAATTATTCCCAGTTAGTTTTTTAGATTTTCCCAAAATTAAGATCTTCATTCAAAAGATTATATGTACTAATAAAATATTTTCACAAATTTTGTTAAAATTAAAAACTTAAAATATTTTTTAAAAAAATTAAAAAGATGATAATATTTTTTGTCTTAAAAATCAATAAAGATGTTTCCGATTTTAATATTGTTTACTCGATTAGAAATTTTAAAAATGAATTTTTTAGTTTAAAAAGAAATAAATATTTTACTTACAGTTCACAATGGTTGTTATTAGGCCTACAAATAGGGCTTGACGATGGTCTCTTAATGCCTTGCCTTGGACAATTGAGAGTATTTGAAGTATTACCAGGAGTTGTCATTTGTTTAACATTGTTACCACTTATTACTGGTAATACAGAACTTGGAATACTTGTTGGCGCAATTCTTGCAACAATTCTTGGTGATGTTACTTGACATGAGGTTGAACCATTTTGTACCTGCACTTGATTTGGTGGAGGTAATTCTTGTTTCACTGGACTTGGTATTTGAATGTTTGGTTTGACATCCAATGGATCAGTTTGACATTGTGTTGATTGTTGATTTTGTGTTTGTGATAAAAGTTGCGATGTATTGCTTTGCATTAAATTCGTCGATCTATTTGATGACGATAAACTTTGCTCTGTCATTGTGGACGGACTTAATGTTTGATTATTATCATGACTTTGGTAACATTTCTGATGTTTATTGTGTACAACTTGATGAACGCTCGATGGTGGAATACTAGGCCCAATTTGCTGTGTTTGCATAAATTGCTAAAAAAAAAAATTGATAATAGAATTTCATTGTTTCGACAATATTTGTAATCATTAATATTTAAATAAATGAAAAAAGAAAACTTACCATGCAGTCTCCCAAATTATCACTCGACATTCTTGCAACTTTTTGCAAAGGTTGAAATTTGAAATTGACATCGGAATTTGTCGTCGTGGTTGTTGTTGCAGCAGGTGTTTGCGTCTGAACAGTTGAAGTTTGATTTTTGCAAGTACTTTGGGCAAGTGAACATGCAGAGAATGTAATGTTTGTTACCTCAGATTCCTGAATGAAAGAAATTAAAATTTTATTTCATAAACATGAGAAAATATAAAAATTGTTATTGAAAAATATTCTTCTAATTCTGTGAAAAAAAAATACTTACGCAGCTAACAGGATGAGGTGAACTGCTAATAATTTTTCCACTGGCCAAAATTTTTGCTTGCTCTTGATAAAGTTTCGAAAGAACCATTTGCTCGGATTGTGAATTTGTTTTACGTGCCAATATTGTTTGTATTTGCGCTTGTATTGTTTTGAGCATTTGTTGCTTTTGTGCTGGTAATTGAATAGTTTGAAATCTCTGTACAACTTGATTATTCGTTGATGTTGATGATGATGGTGGCATTGGACTTTGAGATGGACCATTAACTGTAACTTGAACATTTTCACTTTTAATCTGATCAGCAATTGGAGATGTGAAACCAATTGGTTTTGTGGTATTCTCCAATTTTTGTTGTACTGAGGTTGCAGTAACTATTGTCGGTTTCGTAGCATTCACAAGTTTTGTTGCCTGATGAAAATAAATATTTTTTAATGATTTAATAATTTTTTAAATATTAAAATTGAATTAAATTTAAGAAATTTGGAAAATAATAGCTTACCTGCGCATTAGCGGTGCTTTGCGTTAAAGTAACAACTTTTGCTCTCTTAACGACTTTAGCTTTCTTCGGTGCTGGACTTGGATTCGATTGTTGATTATTGCCCAAATTTCGAATTTGTTGTTGATTCAAATTATCGAGAAATTGACTTGGAAAACCAGAATTTTGAATTTGTATTTGATGTGGCATTTGCGATGGTGCAGCTTGTACAACAATATTTTGTATATTATTTTGAATAGTTGGCGCACCACCAGAACTATTAACAATAATTTGACTCGTTGGCGTATTAATTTGTAATCCCTGTAGATTCTGATTGCTCGCATCAGGTTCGCCGATAACAATTTTTTGCGTTGGATTTTGATTTTGATTCTGATTTTGCGTTTGTGTTGCATGCAATTGTCCTGACAAAAATTGTTGAAACAATTGTTGACTTATCACTTGCATTTGTCCATTTGCATTTGCAATAAGTAATTGATCATTAGGATTAAGATTACTCAAGGCACTCAGAATCTCGGGACTTATTTTTGGCGCATTATTTATGACATTTGATGTATTTGCCGAAATTAATGGATCATGCTTTTGTTCCTGTTGATTTGCGCCATTGTTTGAAATTAAAATATTTTGCTGTTGGAGATTATGATGATGATGTTGTTGTTGTTGTTGTTGTTGTTGATTCTCAAATTGTTGTATATTAACTGGGGTACTCGATTTTTTGCGCTGATTATTTTGTCCACTCTGATTTTGATGAATGTTTTGTGTCTGATGAATATTTTGATTTATATTTTGATTTTGATTCTGATGTATAACGTGATTTTGAAGTATATTCTGACTTTGAATTACATTTTGTCCTTGTATCAAATTTTGACCACTTTGAATTACATTATGTCCTTGAACTAAATTCGGACCATGAATTATATTTTGTCCTTGAATTAAATTTGGAGTTTGAATTACATTTTGACTTTGAACTAAATTTGGGGCTTGAACTAAATTCTGTGCTTGAATGACATTTTGTCCTTGAATTACACTTTGACCTTGAATGACACTTGGACCTTGGATTAAATTATGACCTTGAATGACACTTTGGCCGTGAATTAAATTTTGTCCTTGAATTACATTTTGTCCTTGATGTATATCAAATTGTAGATTTTGATCAACATTTTGAATACAACTGAGATCTTGTTGTAGAACGTTGATTGCTTGTTGTTGAATAGATCTTGCGTTCTTTTGCATTACATTCACTGAATCAATTTGCATACCTTCGGTGGAATTTTGTGATTGATTGATATTTTGTTCGAAAATATGTTGAACATTTTGTGTTTGAACTGTGTGTGTTGCGGCGGCAATTTGTTGTGTGACATTTTGATGATGTGGCGAATTTTGTGATTGTTGTTCCTCTTGAATGTTGATTTGTTGGACATTTTGACTGTTTTTGACAAGTCGTTGAACTGATGTGCCACATTGAAGTGTTTTTTGAGTTTGAATATTTTGTTGTGTGACTTTAACGTGATTTTGACGTGGTGATGTTGCGACACATGTGTTACGAATTCTCACCTGACTACATTTTACATGTTGAACATTCTGATTGAGAACAGTTTGATGAGCTGGTGATTTAATGGTTGATACTTTTGTGGTGGGAGTTGTTTTTGCTTCACTATTGGCAGATTGAACTGTGTTTTTGCAGAATTGAACAGACGAACCGGTGACTGCTTTAGTTGCAGTTGTTGTAGTTGGTTGAGATGTTGAATGTGAATGAAGATTTGTGGATTGTGAACAATTTGGCGAAGTGATTGTCGGACTTGGAGTTGTTGATTGAATATTACTGGGCGTGGAATTTACACGAACGAATTGTGCAGTTGTGATTATATTTTGAGTTGCTGGTGGACTTGTGATTCGATTTGGTTGCATTGCGCCGAGAGCTGGTGATTGAGAGCATTTTTGTCTACTTGGCGTTGGACTGGGAGTTGTTTGTGGAACCGTTTGAACAACATGAGTCTGACCAAGAATTTGGGAGATGAATTGTGAATTTTGACCACCGCCTTGAGTTAACGATCGAATTAAGGCTTGGGCTGTTGCTTGATCAATTTCGGGTTGATTTGGTTCTGGTGTATGATGAAGAACGACTCTTCCATCTTCACCGACTGCTAATCGTAATTGTCCGGAGATGGTATTTTGTACGGGCATTTGTAGTTGCGCTATCAGGGGACTATTAAGATTGTCAGTATGTTGCGATGGTTGGGACATATTCGTTGCAGGTACGTGTATCACATTTTGAGAAGACGTGATCGGAACAATGGGATTTGTTTCTGTTTGTATATGAGGCGCTAATTGTTCCGATTCGTTAATGAGATCATTTTCGAAAATATCATCATCATCATTGATGCCCGATATTTTTATTATGCTTGCCAAATCCAATTTTGTTGGTTCGTCATCCTTTTTTCTCGGTCTCTTTTTCTTCTTGGCTTTCTTCTTTGGAGGCGGTAATAAACTCTGATCAATTATCGTCTGGGCATTTTGAACGTTAGCCGTATTACTCGCAGTGGTTGCTTGCGTTAATTGCGGTTGTGGATTCTGCACCATCGCATTTTGAATTACTATTGAATTATTATTGCCAGAATTTGCTGCAAAATTAATACAATCTGAAATTGAAAAAAAGTTTTATTTTATCAAGTTTCGTTGATGATTGAAAATCAGTAGAATAATTTCGCGACATTTACCTGGTGCAGGACTAGAAGGTGTGTGTCTTAGAACTGGAGGACTCGGTGAAGTAAAACCGTTTGGTACAGCGAAGAAAGTTGGAGCAAGTCCTTGTAACTGCATACCTTGTGCAGTAACAACTCGCACCAATTGTTGTTGCGTTAACTGTAACGTTTATATTTATTTTAGAAAGTTTGATTGAATTTTAAAAATTAAAAGAAAGAAAAAAAGAACGTATATATTTATTAATAAAATTATTAATTAAATCTAAACTTGAATGAATGTCAAAATTAAAAAAAAAAAAACATGACGTGGGTGATAATTTACAAAATTGATGGGTTTCATGAAAACAATTGTTTGCCATTTGCTTCCCACAGTGAGTTTTTGAAAAGTGATAAAAATGATAGTGTGCGAATGGGTGAAACCGTCACCTGTGCAGTATGCGTTTGTTGTTGAGAAGTTGCTGGTGCTCGAAGAATCAGTTGAACGCCACCCGGTTGTTGTTGAACGATTACTGGTCCAGTCGATGGCAGGACCTAAGTACCAAACCCAGTGAAAAAAAAACGATTAAGAGGTTCTCTCGACAATTTTTCGAGCTTAACACCTCTCAGTCATTTCGTTTTTAATGCAAAGAAAAAGATTAACAGAGCGAATTTGTGCAATTCTTTAAAAAAAATAATAATATTAACATTGAATATTTAACAAAATTTAAATTACTTACATAACAAATATTTTTATTATAATAAATAAAAACAATTATATTAAATTTTACACTAGATTATTAAAAAATATATATTTAATTTGAAGGAATAAAGTGACATGAAATTTCTATTTTAGTTTTGAAAGGTAAAAAGAAAACATATAATTGAACTTGACGTTTGAAGATTCTAATAAAATTTTGTCGATAATCGTGGACTAAAAATAAATTTTCTGATAAGAATGAAACCAATAACTTTCAATAATGTTAGAAAAAGAAATAAAAGCCAGCCATTGAAAAATGAAGAGAAGCGTATTATGAGAATGAAAGCTCGATGATTTGTTGTAAGCGTTAAATAATTATATTAAAAGAGAAAAAATAAAGACCTGGTTTAAAAGAAGACCTTGTGCAGTGGGAATCATTGTTGCAGTACCAGGATTTTGTTGTGGACCAGCTAATACAATCTGAGGCTGCGACTGTTGCGTTACCTTTGATAAAAAATACAAATTTTTATAAGACTGTTAAATAAATAAAAAGAAAAATTAGACCCAAGAAACAATAAGTGTTTCTAAAGATTACTTTTAATCTTGACAAAATGCACATTATTATTTGTAAACATACTTGGCTCACTTGATTTGTAATTGTTGTTGTAACACGTTGCTTTTGCTGTGAAACGCCAGCTTGTTGATGAGGTGGCTTTGGCAATATTTGCGGCGGTTGTTTCGCCGGTTTTGCAGTAGCAATTTGAATTTGCTGATTGCCAAAAAGGTGAGTCCTCGTTACAAGTTGAGCTGGTGCCGATTGATATCCTTGTGGAGTTCCATGTATAATTTGTAAAACTTGCATACCTTGTTGAATTATTGGCGTATTTGGTCTAACCTAAACAAAAGAAAACATTTTTTTTTAAAAAAAATGCAAAATATTTTAAAATTCTAATTTAAAAAAATTTCAAAAATTGACGATTATCTTACCACAGGTGGACCAGGACTGCTACCAGGCGCAGGACTTCTATTACTGAGTGAACCTCCACCTCCACCTCCAAGATGATGAGGACTCTTGGAATTTGGATAAGGACTAGGCGCAGGACTTTGAATTTGACTAATTGGACTCTGCATTGGACTGTGAAGTTGCATTCCAAATGAATTATTCGGCGTTGACGATGACACTGGACTTGGACTGTTTCTATTGCTTTGCATTGAATTTGAGGCCGGACTCCTGAGTAAAAGTCGATTTGGACTAGGACTCGGTGTTGGTGGTGCAATATTAGACGCTGGACTTTTCATTGGTATCGAAAATGGACTTCCAGGTGAGCCGGTATTTTGATTTTGCATTGATTTGATATTTGGAATGATTGTATTTGTCGTTGGATTGCCAGCTGTCAATGTTGCTGTTGAATTTAAAGACGGTGAACTTGGTATATGTGAGAATTGCCTTTGAAATCCACCAGGATGTGCTGTGGCATGATTGGATTCATTTGATGTCATGTGCGATGTCACAACACTGGAAAGATTTGATGTCATAATTCCAAATTGCGCAACATTTATTGGATGTGTTACATTCGAGCCATGATTTGTATTTGTTGTTGTGGCAAGAATTGGTCCACTGCATGTACTTGTGAATGTACTACAACTTGATGTCGCACCAGTCGATATTTGTGAGCTGGTAATATTTGTGCTTTGGTGTTGTGATATGGCTGAACTTGGTACGGAAGCAATATTTGAACCAACAATATGTGGCGCGATACTTTGGATACTTTGTATTGTTTGAAATGGAAATTGTGAAGCGGTACTGAAATTATTGGAAGTGAGACCTGATGTTAAAGCGCTTATGGAACGATTTGTCCCTTGATTTAAACTTCCTGTTGTTAAGTTTGCATTTAAATTAGTGTTGAGAGTATTTAAGTTAGATGCAGCAGAATTTGTACCGCTTAAATTTGCATTAAGAGTGGCAAGATTTTGATTTAATGTTTGACTTAAATTCGTCAAATTTGGATTGACACTCGATACACCTGGATTGAGACTCGTGGAATTTAATGCGCTAAGACGACTCAAACCAGTATTTATTCCATTCAATTCCTGGCCTAAACTTGATATTCCATTGGTAATACTGTCCGGTGGTAAGTTCGCGTTAAGATTAGAATTTAGAGCGTTTAAAGGATTTATACTAGGATTAATTGCCGTTAGGCCTGAATTTAAACTGGGGAGACTTAGATTGAGCAAAGGATTCGAAGTTGTGATTACATTCGAAGTAAGCGATGTAAGGCTGGTATTTAATAACGATAGCGGCAGTCCCATATTAAGGCCCACCCCAAATGTGGGGGTGGCCGGGGATAGGCCCATACCAGTCCCAGATGAATTGATGGGACTCTGATTTAATTGATTCAGTTGGTTTAAGTAAACTATGTGACTTCCACTTGTTGTTCCATTTGGCTGCTCCTGATTCTATAAAAGAATTTTAAACAATTTCAATATATTTTTAAATCTTCATTTACAATGTTTAAATTCACTTCTTGGAATAAATTTACTCACGTTATTTGAGGGCTGTTGCAAAGTAAACGCTACTGCTTGAGCTGTGGAATTGTGAGTTTGAAGCTGTTGTAATTGTTGAAGCTAAAGAATAATAAGATAAATGTATATTTCTTTTTACTTTAATTAATTTAAACAAAAAAAAAAAAAAAATTAAACCACTTTTAGAGAACTTTATTTGTGAGACTTTCTCCTCAGAGGTTTATTCAATAAGAGAATAATAAAAGAGAAATTTACCTGCTGTTGTGTGAGGACTGCAACCGGGTTATTCCGACGTGTATTTGGGGATGTTGTAGAGGATACAGAGTCCCCGAGAAGAGGGCGTGACTGAGGCTGCTGCATGCCCACGCAGCACCTCGCAACTATGGGCAGCGTTGGGCCACCTTTTTTCTTCTCCTTATTATATCCAAATTGGCACGAGTTTAAATCTGTAAAATTATCAAAATTCTATTGATTAGACAAAAATATTAACACATATATTATCGTTTATGTAATCAATATGAGCAAAAAAATAAAACAATTTTTTAAAAACGTACTTTACCTTAAAACGAGATTGGATATTAATGTAATTGACAAATTGATATTCGCGTTGCGACGCCATTCAACGCGTTTTCGACCAACGTCGCCTGATCCTGACATGCATGTAATTTCTGATTTCACACAAATTTCATAATATATTTATATAAATATAACATTTTTTTTTTTTTTTGATAATTTTCTTGGAGAGTTGTCCACAGCTATTAATTATTTTTAACCACTCTCGCATGTTATCAAATTTTATTATGTCGTACGTCTTCCTCCATCAAATGCATTAGCCGTTAAAAAATAAATGTACAATTGAGTTTCGAACATTTTCTAATTTCTTTCTGAAGTTCATTTGCTTAAAGACTTGTTCCATTTATAATAAATTTAAATTATTCGTTGTAAATCTTTAATTACATCATAATATTATGCTTTTGGGGAATTGTTTCTGCCTGGATTGTAATTTACCCCAAGTCCAGGAGCCAAAAATAATTGGCTGGCATTGTTTGAACTTTTAAATCAGAAAAAATTAACTTGAAACATAATAAACAACAATTGCAGTTGACTGGCTTTCTGTAACAAAAGAAGAAAACACTATTAGTTTCACAGACAACATAAATTACAATAAATTGTATAATTTAATATTATTCAACATTCAACATTTTTTTAGAGTTAATTTATAATTTGTAATATATTTAGCGCATTTCTTATCAGTGATTATTATATTTTACATGCATTGAACATTCATAAATGAAATTTCTTTAAATAGTATTAGAGATAAAAGATAAAATTAGGTCGATAGATTTGTTATGAAACTTTCAGATATTTAGCATTGAATTTACATAAAAATAGATAACAGTTTCATAAAAATTCAAAAGCAAATAACAATGAAAACAATAAATAATTATAGTACGATGCAATTAATATACATGTTCAATTAATTTAAAATTAATTAATTTAACTAGAATTCGTTTTACCATGTTATAATTCGCTTGACTTTTAACATAAAAAAATATTTGTTGAACTTTCTTTTAACTTTTACTTCAATTTGTTAAATTGAAATTTAGTGAAAAAAACATTTAAAATATGAAATGGTATATTATTTATTAAAATAAAATCGAATATCGATATAAATTTATTCACTGCTTACAAGTAAGTCAAAAATATTACCTATACATTAAAGAGTACATACATTAAAGAATTATGAAAACTATCGAAAAATTAATTAAATTAGGAAATATGAATAAATAATTTCTATTCGACTACTGACGGGTATTATAAAAGTAAACTACATAAATTCATTTCATTGAAACTATATACAATTTAACAAATATTAATTTATAATAACTTTATTCTCTAGTATTTATCAATTATTTTTATACAAAACTCGAATAAAATATCAATCTCAAAGTTACCTATCCAACTTTATTTCGTCTCATCTTACAACTATTCAGCTTTAATTCACATCAAAAAGGGACCAGCCATCAAGAAAAAGAGATCTAGCATTTGTTATTTTGGAATCACAATGCGTGGCAATATAAACGTTATCAATTGAAGTATTTTATGCAAAAGCAAATGTAAACAATGTAATGTTTTTCATATTATAAAATGATTAATGAACAGCTTACATTCTTAATCGGTGTAAAATCGTCAAAAACAAAATCTTTGGCGTTTAAAAGCCGAAAAATTGATGAGAGAAATGAAAGCTACGCAAAGCATTTTTGAGCTAATTTTTCCCGTGTTGATTTTTAAGTAAGCAAGTTTAATTGAAAAATACATTAATATATTATTAGAATAAACAGAGAATTTACTTACGCTTGCTTTTGCCTGATAGACAGCTGGAAGCTGGAAAATTTTGAGGTTATAAGTTTCACGCGCGCTCGAGCGCGCCCTTAAAATGTACGTTGTATGAGTCACATATACACATAAACCTTTACACTTACAGGCTCACATTTACAGTGCTTACACATACACTAAGACAGCCGCGCGCGGCTGCACACAACAAAAACACAAGTGACAAGGCGTAAACAAAAGAAAAAGGAGCTTTCGCCAGAATATCTGCCTATTGGAATCCTGGAAATCAATTAGGAGACACTTAGACACTCTAGATTTTAGGCCATTTAACCAAATGAGCTTAGCGTCTCGATCAAAAATCGTCGATATTACCTCCGTGAACGCGGTTTAGCAACCCTTGTTGTCCAGACACTTCACGCAGTTTATCCTCACTTTTCACCCCGTGAAACACATTTGTCTTTTAATACTTTATCCTTAGTTTAGGAATCACAAACACTTGACACGTGTATTTTGAGATTTGTTACAGTAAACAGTAAAAGGGTCTGTATGAACGATAATCCAGTGTACGCGTTTTCTGATCGGTGGCAACGGCCATCACGTATTTGTCATTGCTGCCATTAGTACAGCTCATAAATTCCCGAAAGAGGATTCTCAATAGCCGTCCCAAGTAGGAAAATAATCATTAACTTCATAAATGTCAATTAAACGGATAGCGGATAATTTGAGTCGAAAACTTGAAACGATTTTAAAGGCATTTAGTTAGAAAATTAGACTTTCTTTTATAAATTATGAGTCGTAAAATGTTTTTATGAAGCTGCAAATGATACCATTTAATGCCAATATCTTAGAGAAAAATTACTATAAAAATCCAGAAGTTTATAAGTAGAGCGCGCTCGCATCAGTGGTGTATAAAGTAGAGTAAAAGGGTTAGATTTTTATCGAAGTCATTCGGATTTTTAGGGGTTTTTAATTTAATTACACTATTACCTTGAACTTCATTTAGCAAATAATTCAAGGACATTTTGAAACAATACTATATTTGTCTCAAAACATTGAATGGAATTATCAATTATATTGCTTTAAATTGAAATGAGGTAATAAATATATATAATTGCAAAAAAGAGTGTTATTAGTAATTTTGTATAAATTGATATCATTTCATTTTTTTTTTTTTTCGTAAAAATTTCAAGTTTAATAAATTATTCATAACAATTTCTTAGAAAATTAAAATTCCAGTGGCACTATTATAAATGTTAATTTATTTATGCTAATTAAGGAAAAATATTGATTGCAAATAAACAAAAATTTAAATTTTGCGCTAAAAATATTGACCAATAATGCATTAGCGTGATGACGTGTCACCAGGAATTCTATGTTTTTATTGGTTGACATAAAACGCGCCTTGTTTGAATATTAATAGACATTAACTTTTAAAAATGTTATTATATTTTAATTGCTATTATTAAAAACGTTTTTTGTAATTAGAAACAATTATTAGACAAAACGTAAATAATATACGTGGTTATTAGAATACAAAAAATAATTAATATAATTGAAAATAATGATTCCAATTTTAAAAAAATTACGAAACAATTTTTTTTTTTTTATTTAAACTTTTATTTTGTGCATAAAAATACATTTATAATATTATAATTTAAGTAACAAAAAATTGTTTTTGTAACAGTTATGTATATATTTCCTTTTTTTTATCTTAATAGAAAAAGAAATGAATTTTTAATTTACATAATTCAAAAACCTATACATGTAAATATTAAAAATGCAGAATCAGGAAATATAATATAATGTTTATAGAAAATCACAAATTATGTACACTTTTAAAGTAAAACTAGATATTGACATCATTTTACTTAAATAAATAATATATATATATGTTATTTAAACAACAAAGATATTTTGCAATAAAATTACACTCCGCAACCAGTGCAGAAATTTTTTTTTTCTTTTGTCGACTTAGATTTATAGTTTTTAAAAAATAGTACCTATCTCCCAATTTCTTTTTAATTTTTTTGTAAAAAGAAATTTAACACCAAGAGCTAAAATACTTACGGAGTCTTACAATTTTTAAACGTAGTAATTTAACTTCCGTTTTACATGAAAAATCTTAAATATATAAACGTACAATATCCGTTGTTAAATATTTTCTTAAGTAAATCTAATTTTACAAAATACATATACATATAAACATGATACATAAAACTGAAGTTGTCTAAGAGAAAAAAAAAAATTATTTCATTTTGATAGGTAACATTTTTCAATGGGAAATTAATTATTTATGTAAAAATGTGATAATTTCCTAATTTCACTTATATTAAAAAAGTTTGAATATCAATTTATAAAAAGTTACATGACGAAAAATGGTGAAGAATTTATGACATTGTCAAACCAATTTTCTTCCAACACATAGAGTTTTAAAAAATACTTCGAGGTCACAGAAATAAAATACAATAAATATGACTATTTTTATTACCGAGTGCTTTAGTAATACTATTTGTGCAGTTGTAGAAACGTTGACATTTTTTCAGATTTGAACTAAAAACACACCTAGACTCCTAATCTTAGAAAGGCGCTTAGGTGACATTCGAATCCAGTTATTTTTTTTTCAAAGATATTAAATATCTCGAAATAAATTTAATAATAATATTCCTGGATTTGAATGTTTATACTTAATTTATATTTAAAACTAAAATTACAACTTTATTTTTTACTTCTAATAATAAAATAAAAATAACTTGAAATATAATTCAAGTTTATTAACTTAAATGTGTTGAATTTTTTTTTGCACTTTGTAAAACTAATTAAAGTCTTTTTGATGATTGTGATCTCAATGATAGGGCGTGTTTATATTCACGTTGATCAAATCGTTGGAGCTAAAACAATGATTAAATTTGTGAAGAAAAGTGTAAATTAAACGAATCAAACGAAAATTGGAAAATAATTAGCATAATTTAAAAAAATTGACATGCATTTTTTAATTTAAATTATTGATAATTTTCTAAATTTTTAATTATATATATTTAACAAAATAAAGCTAGAAATTACGTGATTTCTATTTATTTTATGTAAAATGTTAATTTTTTCCTTTTAAAAAGCATTATATAAATCTGAATTAACAAAGGAAGATTAAAATAAATTATGTGTTATAATACTACTTGAATTTTAATTACTTATAATTACACTTCTACGTTAATGATTTGATCTCTTCCATTAATTACTAAACTAGTTCTAATTTAATTAAAAACATTTAATAAAAATTTATTAATAAAATGCATTAAAAAAAATATTTTTTTTAACTACAATAATAAAGTTAATGACAAAGAAACTTGATTTATCAAAAAAAAAAAAAAACTAAGCATGCAATTTATATTTACTTACATTTTCATAATTGCCAAGGGACAAACTTAAAATTCTAAACATTCAAGAAACATGCCTAAAGTATGTTATTCAAATAATTCTCAAAAAAATTTAAAGAACGGCAAATAAGAAAAGCATGCAAACCAGAATTAAAGGAAGCAATTGGATGCTTTTGGAAAAAAAAATTATTTTTATTCATTGCGGAAAAAATATGTCAAAAATTATACTTTCAAGACACAGCAAACTATAGCTTTTTAAATAAAGCAACTGGATAAAATGCAAAAAATGATATCAAAAATTTTAGTATTGGCAGAGAATGTTAGCAATATTTTTAATAAAATTATAAAGACTGTATATAGAAGATGCAGAAAATACAGTATATAATTTAGCTTTGAAAATCATTGACTCAAAATATTAGAATCACATTTAATCTACTTTAATATTTATAGAATGCAAATTTTACTCTAGCATTTATATGAGAACAGGTTCCTCATTGCTTACAAACTATCAATTTCATTCTGAATTATTTATCAATCATTTTACTTGCATTCGAGTATTAATTATTATCATACACAATATTTTATTCAAGTTTTTTTTTCATGCTTCAACTACTTAATATTTACAAATGCGATAATAATTTTCCAGTTAAAAAAAAAATATAAAATAAATAAATATGACATATTAGGTAAATAAAAAAAATAATATATTTTATTAATAATATTTTAGTAATAAATTAATGTTTATTGGCAATAATTAACGTAAAAAAAAAATAATAAATAAAACATAGAAAAAGTTTTTATTCATATAATAATAGAACTGTTCGTTTTCTCTTCATTTTCATGTTAATAAATCGAATTGAAGATATTTTTCTGCATCTGCTGGAAACGAAATACACGAAAAATTTTAGCATATAAAATTCAACTGAACATTAATGTATTCTAAAAGACTTACAGAAAAAATTAGATAGATTTATAATCATACTTCCTCTGCCCTTCTTTAGATTAGTTTGCTATATAACATACGTTATGTATGTTAATAGTTGATAAATTACTTTATACTTAAAATATACCTAAACTTTTTCTCTTTATGATATTTAAATTTAATGCCCCTTTTATATATAAATTATTACAATCAAATTATGTCTGTTCATAATTTGTATTTATTTTCTCATGTACCGTTCAATTAATAATTTAATTTCCGTTCATTTAGTTTACAACTTGGATATTTTTAAAAGTTATCAAACTTTGAAAACTGATTGAGACAAAATAAAATATAAAAACAAATATAATACATAAATGAAAAATTTACTAATGAAACAAAATAAAAAAATCAAGTTTTGAATAGAAAATCAGTTTTTTTTTTAAATTATTCTATGTAACTCGATCTATTAGAATAAATAGTTAAACAAATATACACAATTTACGAATAAAAAACGAAAGCTGCTTTTAGAAAATTAATTAATTCTAAAATTATAAGCTTTTCAAATCCAACCTGAAATCTCACCTTGCACATCACTAAATTAATATTTACATTTCACTTGTATTTTATAAATATGTTCAAAATATAAATTTACTTTTAAAAAAACTTTTTCTTACCTCTTTGAACATTTAATGTGAATGATAAGCAGCGCCAAACCCATAACTAAACAAATACAACCAACAACTATGTAAGCGATTCCAAGGAAGGGATTTTTTCCTCCTAACAATGAAGTAGTACTCAAAATCATTCTTTTCCTCCCCTCAAAACTGTATACCGAAAATGCTAAAACAAAATTGTTATTTAAAAAAAATTACCTAAAATTTGAAAACATTTTCAAGTTTATTTATTTTATTAAAATCATTTTTATTTTAAATTCTTGATAATAAAATATTCAATGACTTACAATATTTGACAATTAAAGTGTAATTTCCTTCAACTAATCCATCTCTGAATCCAGCTTTAGAATGATCAATACGACGATAGAGTTTTCTAAAAGTCGGCAATGCTGCAGTTCTCATCCAAACAATGAGATCTTCATTTTGAAAACCATTGTTATCATCATTTTCAAGATCAAGTTCATAAATTGTTTTAGTCCAATTTTTTGGCTTAGGATTATTTTTAAAAATTTCTGAGAGATTACCCTCGGGATTTCGAAATTTAATTCTTTTATCTGATGGCCATGCAATTCCAGTTCTCAATAATGGTACAATCTCACTGTCTTTTTTACGAAGTAACGAGAGTTCATCACTAAAGAGAGAATTGGCAATTGCACCACAAGGAACAATTGGTAATTCATTTGATCCTTCATAAGCAAATGGAATGCAATCAGTTGAAACTTCTTTGCTTACTACGCCAAGTAATTGATTATCATCACGTGATTTCACATATCGACGATGATTTTGATAGAAATTCGTGAGACCATAATACATGTAAACATTGCCGAAAAAATCTGTTGGTAATTCAATGTCTATCTCACAAAAGCATGCTAGTTTTGGATCTTTTTGTATTACATTGGTACAAGTTTCACCAAAATCTCGCAATGTATTATTTGATTTGCAATTCGTGTAATCAGTTGTATGTTCTCTAACTTCATCTGAAAAGTACAATAATCCAATTCCAACGGGAATAAAAGCAATGCCTATTACGAAGAAAGTCGGCAATACTGTTCCTGCAGTAAGAATTGGCTGCCATGCTGGTAATCGTTGCTGTTTAAAAGCACTATCTGAAATTTTAAAATATATATTTCAAAAATAAACCAAATTTTTAGTAATAATGTATTAACAATTGAAAGAAATTTAATTATTATTTAATTCATTATTAAAAAAAAACATCTACTCATTAACCTGAATAATATTATGTAGATAATTATCATAAACTCCTAAAAGCAGGTAATAGTTCTAAAAATTACGACATAAACTTTTTCATATCAAGATAACGTCAAGGTCAAAAATAGATTAAATCAATAAGATAAAACCTTGAATTCTATTAAACTATTTGGATAGTACTGTTCAACTATTGTTATTTTAAATGTCAACCAAATGAAAAGGTTACTCTTTTAAATGTTAATTTTTAAAAATTAAATTGTCTTCCTAAGAAAACAAAACTTAAAATTATCAATAACAGAGTGAATGCTCGTCATAAAAATTTGTCTCTTTTCAAATGACTCACCAGCAGGTTTTTTCGTTTTTGATGGAGAACTATTCATGTCGTTAGTACTCGTTGACATTTTTGTATAAGGATAAAAGATATTTAATTATAATATATAAAGTTTCTAATTATGTCGAAGTATATTCCAAACTTGAAATGCTGAAGGTGCACAACTTAAGTGCTAAACAGCAGAGATAAAAAATGTATTCTTGTATCTTTTATCAAATTACAAACACATAACACTTGTGATTGACATTTCTACACTCCATATTTCAGAAAATTTCACTTAAAGTAAGATTATATTGATAATTATAAAGATTGTATTGAGTCATTTGAACTTTAAAGTCACAGAATACGCGAAGTTAGACAACCTAACCTTAAAATTACTTAAGCTTTAATATCTAACCGTAATAGCGCTGCTATCGCTTTGTTGTTATGTCAGTGTCAACTGTCAAAATAAAAATAAATAAATAAAAAGTGATAGAGTTGAAAAAAATTGAAAGAAAAATTAATAAAATGAAGGTGAGTTTTATGAAAATTAATTCATTTACAACAATATGCAATAAGAATTTGTTTATAGACTGCGATCATGATCATGGAGCAATAAATATTTATAAACAATCTTTTGTTAATATAAATTTTTAATTACAAAAATAAGGTAACAATATGTTTTGTTCATTTGAAATTGTGCAAATCTTTCAAGAAATTAATTTATTTAAAAAAAAATTTCTACTACTTAACCTCAAAACAACTTAATTTGCGTTTTTTTTATCAATTTTTTAGATTTTTCAATTTTATTTAAATTCTTTGAATTAATAAAAAAAAGTTAATATTAAATTAAAATAATCGTTTTAGTTTCAGGAGACACGAAAGATACAAAAAATTACATGTAAGGAAAACATGTAAGAAAGAGAAATATTTTGATATAATATTCCAAATAAAAACCTGTGCCTTTATTTACATATAAAATGACTTCATACGTAATGGGTTTCACCTCCTCGGGAGGAATTCCACTATTTTCCCGAAAAAGAGGTGAAGGTGAAGCTCTGTCATTTTCAAAAATGGCATCTTTCAATGGAGTTCATATGTTTTTGAAATCTCACAATATTGAATTGATAGATACCGAGACACCTGATACAATATTAAAATGGAAAGAATTTGAAGAGACTATTTTAATAATAGTAATGGCAAGTGGAACAACAAAAATAATATTAAATAAATTTCTCGATGCAATTTTTAATGCAATGGTTCTTGTTGTTGGAATTGATGACATTAAAAATCCAAGAAGTATCGAAAGACTCAAAAGAGATTTACGTGTTTGTAATCCAATAATTGATAGATTATTAGAATGTCTCGATACAGGTGATAAAACATGTATGAAAATTGATTCAGTTGATATGACAAGTTGTAATATTTATTCGGAAAATCATTTACTTCAAGTGTGTCTTGATTCTTATATGGAATTATTGGATTCAATGTATGGTTGTGTTTTAATACATGGTTGTTTAGCTGTTGCCACGGAAAATTGGTGGCATCTTGATCCAATTGAAAGGAAATTATTAATTCTTGCAATAACATTGGAAAATAATTGCATTGTAAAAGATCTTCCTGTATTTCTACCTAATAAGAGTCCAAGCGTTGCTTTTCGTCTTGTTTCCGTTTCTCTAGGCAATCATGTTGAAGTTTTATCACTTTGTGGACCAACGCCAAGTTTAATTGAAATTGAACGATTGGCAGTACAAACGTGGAGAAGTAATATTGATGTTTTAAAAGATGTTGAACAAATATTCTCAAGAAATTTTTTCACTGGAATAACACTTGAACCGGGAATTCTTGGCTTTTTTCTGGCTAATTATAAAGTCGGTAAATTTATATTGACGAGAAATCCACAACAAGCGAAAAATCGTACAAGTGGAAATCAACGTTTAGAATCATTACGAACATTTTATCATCATGCTGTGGAGATATTTTTAATGGATGAAAATTTCGAAAATGATGGAGAAAAAAAGAAAAATTCTTCTTCTGAAGAAAGTAAAGAGACTTATTGGTGTTCTGAACATCATAAATGTCATGCTTTTAAAGAGGGTGATAATATATTTTGTGTTCTTTATCCATCTAATATTCCTGCTCATACAATGAGACTTATTACTCAAAAAACTTTAAAGGCAATTTTAGCAGAAAAACATTTTTGTTGGTGAGATTTTTTTTTTTAAATTTAGAACTACTTTTTTACAGTTTTATAAATTTTTTTATACAAAAAATAAAATAATTATTGAAATAATAATGTTTTAAATTAATCAAATCAATGTTTATTTATTCCTTGACAAATTTTTCTATGAATTTATTTTTAAAATAAAAAAAATTCTTTTCACTAGAATTAAGAATGGATTATTTTTTAACAAGCAAAATTTAAAAAAAAATAGATTTAATAAATATATTTAACGAAATAAAACGTAATTGACTTTCTTGTTAAGAAAAATGCTTTTTGTCATTAATATAAATATTTCATTTAGTATTTCAAATTTCCCGGGGAATAAATTAATTTCAATATGGCGATAATCAAACCCCTAGCAGAAAACAAATGCGTCGGCGTCTGAAGAAAACGACTCAAAAGGATATATATTAATATTATTTCAATTGTTTAAGTTTATTTGGAGTGATCTCTAAGAAAAATGAGTGTTTTACAAGTTTTTTGATTAATCGAATGAAACTCAATTTGAGGCTCAAGTCAATTGAAAGAAAAAATCAGTCAAAAAATCTTAATGGAAAAATAGGATCAATTTGGTGTGGATAATCGCAAAGGACTCGCGTGGTTTTGGATTTAATTCACATACAAATCAAAATGTCCCAGGACGACGATGTTGGTTTTTTGTATAAAACTATGAGTAAGTTATTATTACGTATTCATTGTTTAGATTTGCGTTAATAATTGAAAGCAGGTAAATTTAAATATACAATTTACATGAAAAATTTGAAACTCAAAGAAGTTTTAAAACGGAGTCATTTTTTAAAATTTACTCCAAATTTCTTTAATTATTTATTTATAAATAATATAATAAAAAAAGTAAATATAAAATTAATATTTAAATTTAATTTAAAATCATTAAATAGGTACTTTATTTGGAATAAAAATAAATAACATTATTTAAACATTGTTAAATGTTAATATATTTTTAATTGAGTAAAATTATTTTATAAATATTAAAATTTGTTTATTCATGATAAAAAATAATTGAAGATTTTAAATTTAAAATTGCTATGATTAGTCACTGTTTCGCGGGTATTTTAATATAACGAACATGGTCGAGTTTTATCAACTATTTCTGTCTCATTTATTGTTTACATAGTTTTACATGTAATGGTGGTTACATATATGCACATATGTCTCATTAGTGATAATAATCATTAAAAATAACTATTGTTGTACGCAAAGAATATGCGTTTACAAAATGCATTTCTAAAATATTTCTATTAATTTTTTTAAGACTGAAGGATAATAATATATATATATATATACAATTTATTTTTAAAATATAATTGTGAGAATTTTTTTTATTTCTCTTTTGAAAGAAAAAAAAATTATTTAAGAAACATGAGTTCATGTAAGTAAGAGAACATAACCTTAAAACGCTACTAATGCTATTAAAATAATTAAAATTTTTTTAAAAATGTATTTTTAATTGAAAAATATGTAGATATTAATAAATTTTTAGAAAGTAATTGTTTTCTAAATTAATATTTATTTTTTTAATCGATAGGGAATTTTTTCGTTATATTTTATTTTTATTTTCTCATTTATAGTTGAAAGAGATCCCAAGAAGAGACGAGTTAAGCCCGTTGAATCAGCACAGCAATCATTGTTAGATTTTGATTTAGGGGAGAGTTCAGATGACAGTGATTTTCGAATAGAGGATCATTGTGAAGAGTCAGATGATGATTCGGTTGATTCAAATGATGGGGAGAAAGGTAATTTATCACATCAATTTTGGAATAAGAGAATTAAGATGATTTTAATTGTTTTTTTTAAACACCAACAGGAGGTGAAGATGATTCCGAAGAATCTGACGATTCATTGGAGGATCCTTTATTGGGAAAGAATAGTACCGGGATGACTGTTGGTGATGTTATTGAGCAGGCACGTCAACAGGCAGCTAAAGGAGGTCCAATTGATGAGAAATTGGCTAAAATGCTCATCTGTTGTGGTTGTCTTGGTGATCGAAGTGACGATATTAATGAAATTGTTGAATGCGACGGCTGTGGAATAACTGTTCATGAAGGTAAATTATTTTTTAAATAATGGAAAATAGTAAATTATTTGTCAACTTTTATAATTTTCTTTTTAAGGTTGCTATGGAGTTTCGGATGTGGAGAGTTTTTCGAGTACAGATTCTTTATCACAATCGGCACCCTGGTTTTGTGAGGCTTGTAGTGCTGGAATTGATGATCCATCATGTGAATTGTGTCCAAATAAAGGTGGCATTTTCAAAGAGACCGATGTTGGTAAATGGGTACATTTGGTTTGTGCACTTTATGTACCTGGTGTTGCTTTCGGTGAAGTCGATCGTTTAGCGAGTGTCACACTATTTGAAATGGCTTACAGTAAATGGGGAGCTAAGCAATGTTCTCTTTGTGAGGATTCACGATTTGCTCGCACTGGCGTTTGCATTGAATGTGATGCTGGAATGTGTCACACTTATTTCCATGTTACTTGGTAAATAGAGATAAATTTTAAATTGGAAATTAATTAAATTTTTTAAATTGTTTTGTTTTGAAATGAAAATTTTTATTCATTCCTTCAGTGCTCAGAGAGAAGGACTTTTATCGGAGGCACACAGCGAAGAAGTGGATCAAGCGGATCCTTTTTATGCTCATTGTAAATTACATTCAGATAAAACACTCGTTCGTAGAAGAAGACGTAATTGGCTTGCCTTGCAATTACGAGCTCAGCATCGTTATCAATTATTGAAACAACCTGAACATCAGGATTCGGAAGAACAACGTAGAATTCAACGAAAATTAGCGAAACATCGACACAAGTATTTGGCACACAAAACTTCAAGACCATCCGCATGGGGTATTTAGAAAATTATATAATTTTAGTTTTGTGTTATTAGGAATTTTTTTTTTAATTATCTATTTTGTTTTAATAGTTCCAACTCAAAAGATGCCTCGACTTTTGACGACATCTGCATCAGCTTGTCGGCAATTAACGCGAAAAGCTGAATTAATGGGAGTTGATACAAGTGCTTTGGAAGCACAGGAAGCTCAATTGGTTGCTTTAGTTGATATAAGAAAAAAATGGCATATCCCACCTGCTTTCAGTGTTGAATTCATTGGCTATTATTTAGATAGAAATTTACGAGTCACTTCAATGAAAAGAAGATTGGAGGAATTACTTGACATTAATTGTCAACTTCTCAATGAACAACAGACACTTGATAAAAAATATGATGAAGTTATGAAGGAAAATGAAGAGCAAATAAAGAATAATATTTCATTAAAGGAAAAAATTGAAATGTATCATCGAATTTTAAGAACTGCTGGTTATGTTAAACCCTTACCTATGGTGTCCGATATAGCAAAGCCAAGAGCACCACCAACTCTAGGTAATTTTTTTTCTTCTTTGTATTTTTTTTCAATCAAAATATTATTATTTTTTAAATTTCTAGGTGTACCAACGGCAGCTGCTTTAAAAATGGGTGTTGGTTTTCCACTTCCGGTTGGAAAAGGTGATGGTGGCCGAGAGGGAAGAGTGCTTAGTAGTCAAGCTCAGGATCAAAATCATAAAGGAGAATTAACATTGAGACATCAATGTGGAATTTGTAGAAGATCAACTAATCAACATCTTCTCGCAAAATGTGATACATGTCATCTTCATTATCATCTTTCCTGTCTCAGTCCACCTTTGTCGCGGATGCCGAAGAAAACAAAACTTATGGGCTGGTAAGTAAAATCCTTTTAATTATGTTATAGTTCTATTAAAATTAATTAATTACAATTATTTAATTGTATATTTAATAGGCAATGTTCGGAATGTGATAAAGAATCCTCAGGCTCGGAAATCGAACGTGTTGATACTTCAGCACCACGAAAATTGCGACACTGCAAAGATGAAGCTAATCACACAGCACCACTACAAGATTTAACATCCTCCTTCGTACAAACTCCAACAACATCTAAATCTTTCGAGAATAATATTGATAATACTCCTGAGACTCCCATAGCTCCCAAGGTATTATTAATTCTAAATAATAAAAATTTATTTTAGAGTAAAGGTAATAAAAAACATTTTAAATTAAATTTGACAAAAAAATTTTTGGTTTTTTAGCTGACTATAAAACAAATGAATCTTTATCCATTGGTGGAACCAATGCAGGTAGATGAAGTTAATTACAATCATCAGATTAATAATATGACGGCAAGAGAGGGTTCTCCTGAGTATATGGTTGCATCAGCCGATGGTACCGAATCAGTTTCTCAACGAAGTTTAAAAAAGCGAAGGAGAGAAAAACATAAACGATACACGCCTGATCCAATAACTGGAATTAAACAAAGAAAACGAAAGCATAAGAGAAAGAGTTTGGATATTGAAAATCCAGAAGGACAAAGTCATCCAGAAATACATAGAAGAATAACAATTAAGGTATATTCAGTGATTAAAATACAATTAAAAATTAATATAACTCAAATTTTGAATCTTTTTTTTTTTTTTGTACAGATAAAACCAATTCCACGTCCAGAAGGTGATATTGCTTCGGATTCGAGTCCACAAATGTTTATTGCAACATCAACGAGCACTGAATTCACGCCAAAACCACCATCGCCCAAATTTCCTGCACCACTGCCTCCACCTCAAATTGTGACGTCAACACCTGTTAATACAACTGGTGCTACTGGACGAATTTCAGGAATAAATAGAAAAATAAAGGAAGCTGATCTTCTTACTCAATGCAATGTTTGTGGCAATCCTGGAACTACACAAAATTTAGTCGTGTTAGTTTTTTTCCCCTTTTTTCTTTGATTTTTGTCGTAAAATTATAAATTGATTTAAATTTAAAAAAAAAAAATTTATTCTCAGGTGTGATGAATGTAAGAAATGTTATCATTTCACTTGTTTGGATCCCCCGGTGAAAAAATCACCAAAACGTCGAGGATATTCTTGGCACTGCGCTGATTGTGATCCAAGCGTAAGTATTTGAAATAAAAATGTTACTTTATTTTTGTTTTATACTTATAGATTATTATTTTTTATATTTGAATATATTGATAATTTTTGTTTTTTTAGGCATCTGAATCCGAGAATTAGTAAAAAAGAAAATATATATATATAAATATATTGAAAAAATGCATCTTACAACTATTTAATCAACTAATGTATGTAAGATTACATTTTAAAGATGAAGTCAATCGAACACAATTTGCAAGTATAAGGATTTAATTTTTTTTTTACACGTAAAAATAAAATTACGACACAGTAGAAAGCAATTTTGTTTAGTGATTCAAGAAAGTCTACATTATATGTAGCAATACAGATTAAAATCAATTTTCATATTATCGAAATTCCTTCGATCATGCTTTTTTTAATGTCGTATATTTTTACCATAAAATATACTTCTTTGTGTAAGTGATTTTTTTTAAGTTCTATTCTCAATAAATTGATTTACAAAAAGAACTGTCATTTTTCTGATAGAAAAGTAATTTAAATATAAGATCACAAAAATGTAGTAGTATTAAAGAAAAAATTAATATTTAAGTAATAATTTATAATTAAAAGACAAAGCTTTTTTGTATCTTAATCTATTTATTTTCTTTGTACAAATTATTATGTGGTAAAGATGCAAAATTTTTGCCTCTTCCCACCCAAAAATCCGTTTGCAAAATTTAAAGCCGACAATTTAGGCTTTCCTGGGACGCCAATTGTTTTAATTGACACCCACGTGTTGTCTTTACATTTGACTATTAGTGAATCAGTCTCTTTGTGATAAAATGCAGTTCCTGGTTCATTTTTTTCTGATTGTATTACGTTTATTGAATTAGAAAATACTTGAATACCAAAAATTTTTATCACCTTATTGTTAAAATTTGTTTTTAATGAATACAATCCTGTTAATGCACGATTTAAATCGTATACATTTTTTGCATTCATTTCTTTCCATTTGATAAAGGACATATCTGGCTTTATTTTTGGAGCTGAAAAAAAAAGAAAATTATTATTTTCTAAACGTGATTTATTAAATTTTTTACTTAATGATCGTTTAAATACCATATGTTATTCCATCTTCATTTTGCCGTACACTGGATGATAAAACTTCCGGTAACTTTTCCATTGTTTTAAGTAGTAATTTAGAACCCAATAAAGCTAATTTTTTATACAATTCCGGTTGAGTTTCATGTAAATCAATACTTGTTTCCTCCTGAGCTATTATATCTCCAATATCAAATCTATAAATTATAATCGTAAAAATTAAAATCAATTTAAGGAAAAAAAAAAACAAATTTACTTATGATAGACCTATTTTACTTTTTAGGCATTATTCTCATTATGGAAATTCCTGTTCTTGTGTCGCCATTCTTTAATGCGTGAATTATAGGTGCTGAACCTCTCCATCTGGGCAATAAACTTCCGTGAACATTTATCATACCTCTGTAAAAAATAATTTGCAATTAATTTTTTAAAAACACGTGTGTTAATTGAAAAGGATTTTCAGTATTAAAATTTAAACGTACAGAGGAAACGAATCTATGATATGGGAAGGAATCAAGTGACCAAACGAAACGACAACTCCAATATCAAATTTCATGTTATGAATTTCAAGAGGCCATTGATGAATAGTAATTTTATTTTCTTTTGCATATTTTGAGAGACAATTTTCATTGCCTTTATATGCAGTGACAATTTCCAGATGACAAAGTAACTTTTGTAGTTTACTATAAATATATATAATAATTAACGAATTGAAGATAACAGCTGAAAAATAGGTATTAATAGAATAGTAACAAATTTTATAACTCATATTAATAAAAACTACTGTAATTCTAGTTAAAGTAACGTTTCTTCTTTTAGAAATTTAAATTAAACTTAGATCATTTTTTATAAATTAAAATAATAACGAATATATAGTATATAAAAAGGATATAATTTATCCTAATTAAAATACGTTTCAAAAAAGAAAATTTTAATAATTTTATTTTAAAATTTGAATAAAATTATAAAAAAATAATCATATAGAAACTTACTATTGGGCGTAAAGTTTTTTTAAACTCTCTAATGCAAATTCATCTGATCCGAAAAACAAAACGCTCCAAGGTCCTTTTAAAACAGCGTTGTGCAAATTTCGTTTGTTGAAAATAATTGAACAATTGTTTTTGTTGTTTAAAACAAAAATTCTTTCCCAACGTGTTAACGCTGTAATACATTTTAAAATTTTTGTTCTAGTGAAATTACACACTATCATTTAGATTTTAATTAGATATAATTGAAAAAACATATATCTATTTTTAAATTAATATTAAACTTCTTTAAAAATTTTACAAATATAATAAAACATTTGTTTTTTTTTGTAAAAAAAAAATTAAAATTTGGTTATGTTTATTACTTTAAATATAGGTTAGGTCATACGTATGAAGTTGTGCGCAAAAAGATTCGATATAGGTTCTATTAATCGATTCGTTCAAAATTTTTGCATTCGAGAATTTCCTGACCGTTTGAGCGGGATGCAAGCTCTGCTTGTGCGAATTTTTTCTTGTGTTTTAAGATTAATAGAGTCGTTTTTTTTATATAAAAATGTATGCTTAAATTGATAATTAATATTCAGTGTACATATTCATTGCAATAATTCACTTTGGGAACGATTCAAGATTGTAATATTGACCATATTATCATGCCATGATATTTGAGGTTAGTATTCTCTCGTGTTCTAATTTTTTTCTTTATTTCATTTTCTTTCGTGTTTCCTGTGTTCTTTTTTTTAAATTTTTGATCTAATTGTTTCTTAAATTGTGAGCAGAAATAATATTATACTGAATGGTAGTGTAATTATTTGGTAAAATTCGTTAATATACGTATTATATATAGGTATATGTCAAAGTGCAATAGAGCTTTGTGGAAAATTGGGAAAAAGATGAAAAACAGAGAAAAGCACTAAGATTCTCGAGCATCTTCTGTAAATAAAAGTGGTGATTTATTAGAAGCATGAATGGAAGTCATAATTAGGTTTTTAATCAATAAATCTGGTTGACTTTTGGAGATGGATGATATATATCAGTATCGGTGAGTAAATATGTAAAATTTTTCGAATTTTCCATTGATTGCAAGATCGATTCAAAGATATAGGTTATAATTGTTTTGAAATCAATTTTTTTTTCTATTAATGTCAGAAATTTTTTTTATTACTCATTTGGTGGCGTATGCAATTATAGTTTTAATTACATCAATATCTTGACAATTTCAGGTTAGTTTTTAGGGTTGAAATTATACGAAATATTTGGCAATATCTATAAAATATAAGTTAATTATAGATTTTAGGGTTTACATTATACAAAATATTTGGTAATATCTATAAAATATAATTGAAATAAATAATTAATTAATTTTTAAATTCTTCATCTATTTTAATTATTTTGTTCTAAGTTTAGATATAAAATAATGAATCTGTTTCTTAAATTATTAAAGAAAATAATTTAATAAACTTAAAATATATAATAAATTTGAAATAATTTTAATAAATTAAAACTGATTTAATATTTTAAATAATAAATGTTAGGGTATTATAATTAAAATTTACATTAAATTTTTTTTCAGGCAATTCCATTGGAAGGACTAGAAAATTAATGATGCGAAAAAAAATGATCAGACAAAAGTGGCAGTAGTGTACTCGCTCTAAAACATTGGAATCTGTGATTGGTGAGTCATTTTTTATTCTCTTTTATTTGTTTAAATCGTAAATTGCTTTTATCCTAAGTTGATGTTTTTTTTACAAAACTAATTATAATTAAACCACTGAGACATTTTTTTGGTTTTAAATTATCCAACACTTGTTTGAATGAATTTAAGAAATTTTTTTTCTGGTTTTCAAAATCAGAATTTATATTCTAGATTTTTATTTGTTTTGTAGATCAATTGAGATTTTTTCTAATTCTATTGATTAAGGCATTCTTAAGTATTTTTCTTTTCTTGTCAAGGATTTGTGATAGCTTTGAATGACAAAATGAAGAGAGATAAAGCAACAAAAAGAAAAAAAAAATCTTATAAAAATCCGTCTGGTTTTTCTTTCTATCTCGGGCCATTTCTCAGTTAGAGTGGCTCAAAGCTATATATATATATATAGTGATAAGGAGCTTTTAGAACTGGCAAAAGTAAATTTTTCTGATGTCAGTTTTCGAGCATTTATCACTTGCTTCTTCTTATCGACTCAAGTATAGAAAAAAGAAAAATAGGGGGCTGTGATTGAATGGCAAACACAGTATTTACTTACATCTAAATTCAAATCTAAAACTTATTACGAATTTAAATATATGTATAGCATTGGTGAAATTCTGCAATTAAATATTAAAATTTAAGAAAGGAAATTCATACATTAAATTTATCATTTGACAAATGGTGTTGATCTCGTATATGGTTCTTGACAGTTCTGAGGATTTTGATAACTTTGAGAAGCTTTTGGATAGTAAAGCTAGAGAGTAGGAAACTGGGGGGGATGCATCGGATGTTTTAGAAGCTGTAATGGATTATGAAGGAGATTCTACCCGGCCGGTGGATATAATGCGGCTTCTGTGCCACCGAAAGATCTACAGCAAGGCGGAGATAAGCTATGCCTCATATAAGTGTAGATGTTATCTAAAAGGGCTATAGGTCGTTGCCACTCTGTGCGCCATTGCGGCAGTTGTAAACGAGCGTGCAGTTTCCCGGGTATAATAAGCGCGAATCCTTCGCATGTATTATCTGCATAACTACATACCAAACCTATATCATTATACACCATTTCTCCTTTTCCTTCATCGTTTACTATACTGGGGGAATTTTTCTTTTCCCTACTGTTTTCCATCTCGTGTGGCGCTTTTCATACCCAAAAACCTTCATATCTCAATTTACAACATTTCTATATTCTCTCTCTCTATATATATATACATATATGGTCGTCCTTTACCATCCTTTATATATTCCTCCTGTTCCGCGTCGACGGACCGTGCAAACCCGAAAAGAGCTAAAAGCATGATAAAATGCAAAATCGCGTTGAATTTGGACGTCCTCCAAAATAAGATAAAAAAAGCCGCGCGCTTCTGCTTAAAATCACTTTGACAAAGGAATATCTAAAATCTATTCCGGTTTTCGATATAGTGGTTTTTATTGAAAACCGATTTAAACGCGGCAAATATCAAAAAGACATATAAAGTGCGAGTTGGGTATATTAGATAAGTCTTTTTTTTGTTCTCAATATAGATATAATATTTGATTGGAGATATTTTCCATTTTTGTGTCTATATGTAAAAAGATATTGTAAAAATAGTAAAATATCGGAAATTTGCAAAATTTTACTATTATTTAAATCGTAATTATTTTTTTTTTTTTATTCAAATGAAAAATATCAAAGATTTTCTCTATAACGCGTTTAATAATTATTAATCCAATTCTTAAAAAATTTTTTATTTGATTCAAATAATCCGGTTATTAAATAAATATTTAATTGAACCAAATAATTTTGATTTGAATTAAAAAAAATTTATTTGAATCAATAATAATTTCTGTATTTGAAACAAATCAACTTAAATAATAATTAAATATTTATTTAATATTAGTCAAGTAACGGATTATTTGAATCAAATAAAATTTTTTCTTCAATATCTAAAACAAAATATTAAAATATTGTTTCTTTATACCTTATGGCGAATGTGACATAGATCGCGTATAGTAATTTGTTAAACCTTAATGCTAAAGGGTTTTCATGCTATATATATATATAGGTGTTGAATTTAGTGATAAATGCATTTTGAACTGCAGAATGGGTACGTGGGAAACTCCGTAATTCACGACAAATGTGCAGAATGGACGCCTAGAGATTCGACTAAAGACCTGCATTGTTAGGCGTATATATCCGCATTGCCTCAAAAAAATGCCTTATATATACAATAAATATATATAATAATTTATAATCTATACAAATATATTTATATATATTTATGTAGTGCTCTTTAAATTTTAATTAGTTAAAAATAAATAATTAGTTAAATTCATTTTCGGATCATGTCAATCTAAAATTTCTGGTAAATTGAATTGTTCAATTTTTACTATTTTTTCAATTATTTTTCCACTTAAAATGAATAAAATTTTACCAAATTTTTACCATAAAAAATTAGTTATTTATAACTATTTCAGATTTAGGGAGTATGAAAAAACAAATTTTACTTTAATTCTATTTCAGTAGTAAAGTTCAGTTTTAGTTAGACAAAATATTAAATTCTTGTAATTTGAGAAGCGAATTTTGAATTTTTTTTACTTTATAACTAAAATGTACTTTATTAACAGAAAAAAATTTTTTTTTTCATTTTTTATCTTAGTAGAAAAAATCAATTTTAGTCAGACAGTACAATTATTATTAATATTCTCGTTATAAAGTAGTAAAAGTCGTTGTTATTATTATTATTAATTATTAAAATATTATTATTAATAATAAGAATAATATTAATAATAATTAATTGATAATAATAAATAAATAATAATTTATTTCATTCTATACTCAGAGTTTTTATAAACTTTTTGCTTTCGTTAAAACAAATATTCCGCTCTTTTAAATTGATAATATTAATAATAAATAATATTTTTTATATAATTTTTAAAGTTTTTTTTTAATGGCAATTAATTAATGCAATACATGTGAATTTTTTTTTTTTTTTTTTTTTTTAATATATATTAGAGCTTATTTTCAAAAAGCAATAAATCTTTGCGGCAATGGGGTGAATATTTTATGCCGGATCAGTGCATTGGTCGCAATACATGAATCACATCACCTCCCCTCCCTGGAGGCTAAAGTTTTTTATTTTGTCAAAAAAAAAAAAAAAAAAATTTTTTTTATTTGTTATTTTTGCATTCCCAACAGAATATGTAATTAAAATTTGCGCGGACTTGCGATTATTATGCGGCGAGGCCGCTGACACGTGAAATCATGCAAAATGTTGGGCGTAAGAGCTTGTGCCGTCAGCCACCGTCTCTCAACAGTGCACGGTTAATGCGCTGGAAGTGAAATAGCAGCTGTCGCATTTGAATTTGCGTGGTCCTCGCACTATATGGGAAATAAACCGTTGAATTCGTATAACAAAAAAAAAAAAAAAAAGAAAGAAAGAAAATAATCTATAACCACTCGCGTTTGATATGCTAATATGTAATTTGCGCTTTAAACAAATCAATTTTTTGCATTTTCCCTCCCATTGTATATATACAAAAAAAATATCATTGCATTTAAATTTAAAAAAAAAATTTTGAAATCAATTTTTTTTTTTTGAATAAAAATTAGATTTTCTTAAAGATTGCATACTGGAATACATATCGAAAGATTATTTCAAACTTCAAAGTGATCGAAGAATTTTGTTCCTTTTATGCCTCTTTTGAAAATGTTGAATCAGCAGATAGTCAAATGATCTGAAAAAAAATTTTTTTTTAAAAAACTATTTTAAATTATGTATTCAGTAGAAGTTCTATTTGATTATTTAGAGAAAAATTTTATTTTTCACAAAGAATATATATATGTATATACATATATCTTTTTTCTGAAGCAGGTATTAATTTAGTTTCTGTCCGCGAGAAAAAGCTCATGAACAAGGAGAAAGTTTTCTATACCTAGGAAAGTTTATTTTAATGAATTTATGTTGGTTAGAGCAATCTAACTTTTTGTCAGGCAGTATACATATATATATGTATATATAAAATGAAAATCGTGAAATGTGGTCCACTGAAACAAATGACGAAAGGTTGGAAAACATTATAGGTGAAAAGTCAAAAGGGTTGTATAGGTAGAGAGAAACGATTTGAGAAATGAAGAATAGTTTATAAGCTTTCGTTTCGAGGGTTCTCTCTCTCTCTCTTTCTCTCGACAACTCCATCTCATTGAACAATACTGGGGTCTCCAATGTAACGAATTCGAGATTACATTCCCGTTTACTTTTAATCAAGCACAGTCGCACGATGAAAGTTTTCTTCAGGGAAAATGAAACGAGCACTCTTTTCTGTCGGCAGCAGCGTCACGTCGAGAACTCGTTGACGATAGTTCATTTATTAAGAAAAGAACCAGATTTTATCTCGGGGAACATCATCCTAATACTTCTTCTTCTTCTTTTTTTTCACCTCTCTCTAAAAACCGGCAAAGTATCTTTCTCTCTTAAAAGAAATAGAATTTTCCAGTTGAGCATAAAATAAATCTACCGACAATGGACACTATATTCAGAAACGAGGTTCTTCTTTTTTTTTTCCTCCCCAGAAAAAGATTTTCTATTATTAAGTATTAAAAAATACTTTGTAAATTTTAAGGGGAACTGAATTGGTCATTAACCACTTAGAAAGAAAAGTTCGTATAATGAGTCGCTAGAGGAATGCTTTTCTTTTATATATATATATATATATATAGTTATAGATTCTTTTTAAATATGTACTAACTATAAAAAAGTTTCTTAATTGATAATTAGAAGCTTCGACAGTAGTTTTCAATTAAGCTTCATATATAATCTTAATTAATATATAAGTAATATTGATTATAATCAATAATAATTATTATTATTATATAAAATTAATTGCATTACATACCTATTATAATTATAATATATTTATATATAGTATATTGTACTATATAATTATTACCCCTAATTATATTATTAATTAAATAAATAATTATATATTAACTGAAAAAAAATTTATTT